GGTTCCTTTTCGTGCAGTTGCGCACTATCGGCCCCCACCGCCTGCGCCTGCCAAAGCCGTAAACACGCAATGCGCGAATGCAGCGTTTGTTTTCGGATGCGACATTTATTTAAAGGACTATTTCACAGATGGGGGTTTGGACTAAAAACAGAGAGAAACATTTTTGGGTGCAGGAGTGGGAGGACGCAGAGCAGGAAACCAGCCTTTGCCGCGTCCTCAGCGGGCGCAGTCGCCCCTTGCTGCCATGTGCTTGGAGGAGAGAGGTTCAGTAGGGTGCATAGCGAACACCGGCCGATGCGGGCAGAGACTGGCGGTGGTGGTGGTGGTGGTGGAAGTTGGGGAAGGGGAGGCTGCTCCTGGCGCCGCACACCGGCATCGGCGGGAGCACCGACGCCGTCATCGACAGGATGCCCATGCCCAGGTGCTCGTGAATGGACGGCAGCTGCTGCGGCTGGTCGGGCGAGAACCGCGACGGCGAAGGCGTGCGCGGGCTGACCGAGTCGGTCTCGAACGACGAGACCGTGTCCGACCGCACCATGCGGCAGGCGGACTGCGGGAACTTGAGGGACTCCTTGAACACCGGCGGCGGGAGATCGCAGCCCATGGGCCGGACGTACTGCTCGGACGGAACAATGTCGCTGACAACGTGCTCGCGGACGCCAGGCAGCTCGGCGAGCCCCAGGTGCACAATGGGACGCGTGTCGAGCGCCTGCTTCTGCGCGCCCACAAACATCGACGCCATGTGCGGCGTGGACGGGCACGTCGACGCAGGCGAGCACTCGGCGCGCGGCGTGTGCTTGATGGTGTCCATGTGCATCCGGTGGTGGTTGGTGTAGGCGCCCTTGGAGTAGAACTGCTTGTTGCAGCCGGCGAACGAGCACTGGTATGTGCGCTTGCCGCTGTGCGTGTGCCTGTGCCGCGCCAGCGACGACGAGTCCGAGAACCGCTTGCCGCACCCAGGCTCCTTGCAGCAATGCGGCTTCTCGCCCGAGTGCGTGCGCAGGTGGACCGTCAGCGCCGACTTTTGCACAAAGCTCTTGCCGCACCCGGCGTAGTGGCACGAGAACGGCTTCTCGTTCGTGTGGATGCGGTAGTGCCGCTTGAGGTCTGACTTGCGCGTGAAGCTCTTGCTGCAGTCGCCCCATGTGCAGTGGTGCGTGCGCTGCTTGTCGCGCATCAGCGAGCCATCGGTAATCTCGAGAATGTCCATGATATGCGAGAGGAGGGGGAATGAGGAAATAGAGGTGCGTTGCTCGTAATTGTTCTTCAGTGGGGACCGGTCTCGGGACTGGTGTGTCTCGTAAAGAGCGAGGGAAAAATAGTAAAGCGAGAATAGCGAGGAGAGAAACCAGTTCGACGGGCGTGTGTCTGAGGGAAGCACCGCCGAGGGTGGGGCAGGGTCTGACTTTAAGAGAAACGGGGGCCAAAAGCCTTTTGCAAGAATGCCAAGTGGAAAAGGGAAATAAAGAGACGAATTTAGAGCTCGGCCGTGTCCCCAGGGAACAAGGCCCGCCGCAAGCCTCTTCGTTTTTTTCTCTTGCTGCCCAGCTGCCTGCCTTTGGAAGGCCAAAGAGGGGATACTGGATTGACACCTGCGATTTTCCCCTGGTGCATCGCAAGCACTAAAAAAACACAAAAAATGGCTTTGCACGCCCTACGGATCCTTGCCAGTGAACAGCCTGCCAGCCTGCACCTTGTCGCGCAATGCTGCCCTCCTGCCCAGCTTCCATTTCCGGTTACACCGTTCACAAACGGAGCGGCCCCGCACCTGGCTGGACGGTACAGGTGTCGGTGGGCTACAATGGGCCGCGACAATGCCTGCCATCTGCTTCACAGCAAAGTCTATCAGCGCTGTCCCAACTTGGCACGCGCAGCGCACATGTATGCCGGCCCTAGCAACACCAGACGCTGTGTCGAGGGAGCCTTTTTCGCTGCTGCTTTCGCTGGGGGGCGCCACTGGCACAGGCTGCAAAAGGTTATTTGCGCTATAACCCATTATGAGAGTTACGAAAAAGGATATATTGGTTTTGCGATTGCCCTTTGTTTCAAACACACGCAACAATCTGCCCTTGTTGCCCGCCGTGTCACCAGGCGCTGCTGCCGGTGACCTTGCCCTATTTTCTGCCGGAAACCTCAGGGTGGCTTTTGCGCCAGGGATCGGTGACCGGCTTGTGCCTGCAACACCTGCGAGTCTCGACAGCGCCCTAATTAGGCGGGAGGGCCATTTGTTGTGCTGTTTTGCCGCGCTCGCTCCTCTTGCCCTATTCCGACCCACCCCAGCGTGCTCTGAGCTATGAACGCTGCTCTCGCGGCCTGCCGATGTGGCAAACCGTGCTATTGTGCCAGCTGCCCTTCTTCGGCACTGTGCACTAGTATGAAGGCTGCCCACGCTGCCTGCAATTATGAACGCATTTACGCTTGCCCGGGCTGCTTTGTCTAGTGGTCTGGCTGCGGTCGCGCATTCATTGGCCGCTTGTGTGCTTCGGCTCACGAGCCGTGGCCAATATACTGCATATTGCATTCATTATCATGTAGTGCGTGGCGGCACATACAAAATTCAGACTTCTGGCAAACAGGTAGATGGGAACTCGGCTCTGCGAGTCAAAAAAAAAAAGACTTCAGATTCATCGATCACAGACACTGCCGTCATGCACCAGCCGGAGTCTAAACACAAAATTAGCCGATTACAATTATTCGATCACAATCTGCAGCAGATCGCATCGCTCCTGCGTGTGGTATCGCTTTCGCCAGAGTGGTTAGAGGAGAAACCGCTAAATGTCATAGCCAAGTAGACCCCTTCAGACCGCTCTGCGCCAGGTGTGATCAAGTAAGATGACACCAGTCCTAGTTTGCTTATCCATTGCACTAGTGGCATTCACAAGGTATCAGGATTCCATTAGAAATACGCATGTCCGAGCATGCATACAACAGCATGACCATCGTACTCCCCGGTCCAGGGACCCTACTGATCAATAAGCTGCACCTCTAAGCAGCAGTGTAGAATAATCGATCGATCGAGTAATAACCAAGTGAAGCGCGAGTAGGTGGCATCAACTCTTATATCTCCTGGCACTCGCGACCTTTGCACAACCTACGCTCCATACGCAGATAGCCGATGAGTTAGAATCCGATGGAAAAGACCGCCTAGACTGGACTCTGGCTCTCCTCAACAACGATGGAATCAGCCAATCATGCGATTCCTAACGATTTAGTTTACCTTCTCGGAGTTCCTTTCTAGTACTAACGCCCACGGTCCAAATCCGCATTCAAAGTGGCTACATGAGCTGTCTGTGCGGCATAGCTGTTGCTAAATTTGTTAATGCCTGTGTTCCTGCACTTTGTGCTGGTACTTCGGGACTGTCCAAGCTTTGCGGCTCGATGAACTTGGCAAGTCGTCGTCCCGGACCAATATATGAACCACCGGTGCGAACTCCGTGGTGGGGGGGGGAACTGTTTTTCCCAACAAGCCACCATCCAGTGTAACCATGTCTACCGAGGGCCGAGGTAAACTAATATTTATACTGGTGCAAGGCCGGGTGAAATGTTTTGCCTTTAGCATTTCTCTCTCCCTCCCCACCTCCCCTCCGTAACGACCTAGCTTCAAATAACCATTCATATACATATCCTTTTTTCATCTAGTTTCATTATGCCTGGCCTATATTCATGGAAATCCACACCGGATCACGACAGCGGTCGTGTGAGCATGTTCAGCAGTGAGTTTCGCCCAAAGCTCTGTAGCAACATTCGCAATTACCTCACTCTCATATGCGTGTCGACAATCATGCTTTGGTTGCCGCTGAGTTTATTCTATGGTGCCATGTTTAAGCGCAGTGTCCATGCAAATAACGTATCACTGCAGCTTATTGATCTCGACGGTGGTCCGGTCGGTGCCAACATTACACAGATGATCTTGGGTATGCCCAAGGCGGACACTCTGCCAACATGGACTCGCATGGACAGCTTCGACTCGCTTGATAGCGTCAAGGACTGGGTTCGGAGGAGTGCATGGGGTGCGTTGGTTATCAACCCTGGGCTGAGTGGCCGGCTGGACAACGCTCTATACAATGGTACCGCTTACAAGCCAAATGAAGCACTAACCATGGTCCTGTCTAGTGGGCGCCATGTAATTAGCTCGATCATGTTCATTCAGCCAGCACTCTCAGGGGCTATTGCCCGAGTTGCTAACCAGTACTCGCTCAAAATGGTTGATGCATTTCAGTCACAGCAGATGGGGCTTGGCGGAGCTGACGCGTCCAAGACCAACGTAGAAGCCTTGCTGCGGCCAATTGGCTATACATCGGTCGATGTTGCCCCAGATGGCTTTGGCCTGGCGCCATTCGTCACGCTATTCGGCTTTCTGTGCATGGCGCTGTGTACTCTCTCGTTTTTAATCACATGGAAATTCTCAAGCTTCACGTTCTTCCTCAAGGTCAAGTTCCGCGATCTAGCTGCCATGTGGATTGCATTGCTCCTATCAGTCTCGGTATTCCTGTCGCTCCATTTCTCGCTTGCCTTTCTTGCGTACCGCGGGCCTGACTATGGTATTGAGGCCAAAAAATACACGGCCGGGTCGTTTTTCAAGATCTGGTTCACTGGTGCTGCTGTCAACATGGCGTTTGCAACGTGGCTCTTCACCTGGTTCTTGAATCTGATGCCCAAGTTCATCGCGCTTCCTTCCCTGGTCACCGTCATCCCTAACGTTGTCTCAGTTGCAACAACGCCTGAATTTGCAAGCCGCTTTTACAAGATATTCTACTGCCTTCCTTTCTATAACGGCAGCCGCATTTTCCAGACCGTGACGACAGGTGCGTATCCCCACAGCGGCAGATACGCCGGAATTCTTATTGCCGAGATCATCGCCATGCTCATTTGCCTGACCATCAGCATCTGGCTGCGCCAGCTCTTTGTGCTGCGTGGAATTTCAGATATGCACGGCTGGTACCGCTGGAATACATTCTTCCATGGGATGGTTCCGTATTACAAGGACGCCGCTGCTACGCAGCACAAAGACGATGAGAGCCAGATTGAACCTGCAAGCACTGCTCGGTCTCCAAGCTTCGACCACGAGTCTATTGATATCAACGATGCACAGAGCGACAACGTTAGTTTGCAAACAGGAAATCTTGCTTGCTAAATAAAAAAATATATGGTTAGACAGCCTCAAAGATATTCCTGGAAACTGATATACGGAGTATGAGGAACAACACAAGGCCAGCTGCATAAACGACTCCAGCGTAGATGACGAGCGGGGAGAAATCTGTTCCGTGGCCATAAATATCCAGTAGCCTCCCGCCTACTGGTGACCCAATCAGCGTACCGAAGCAGAATGAAATGAACAGGATTCCCAAGATGCTTGGCAGACGCTTGATGCCGAATAAGGTGGCAGTCACCACAGGCACAAGCGAGACAAAGCTGCCACTGCTGAAGCCAAATATCAGCGCGGCGACAACCAGGACAGCTAGGTTCTTGAATGGTAGCCATAGGACAAGGATACTGAACACCGAGAGGAACGTGTTCAGCAACAGGGCGTTCATCGACCCAATGTACTGCGCAAGAATCCCGGTTAGAACTCTACCAAAGAAGCTGCCAACATTCAAAAATGCAGAAATGCTTGCTCCCCAGGACGATGCCTCGCGGAGGACAATGACTGAATATGAGGGCATGTACGAGTACGGCAGGAAATAGCCAGCACATCCGGCCATCCCAAACAGAAACAGCGTCACAAACTTGAACTCACGCAGCACAGTATAGTCAATGATCTTGTCACGGCGCGGCACATCAACCCGACGCCTCATCAGCGGCGTGGCAGCCCCACATGCCCCGAAAACAAGCAACCCAGTGATTCTCAGTGCCCACTGCCGGCCAAGATGGTTGACCATGGCCCTGGTGGCAAATGACATCCATAGCCCACCGATAGAACTACCGGCCACTGCGACACCAGCTGCAAGTGGCCTGTATCTATCCATCCACTGCGAAGGTAGGCTCATTCCGGCAACTAGCAACCCTGAACCGCCAATTCCAAACATAACACCTTGCGTAGCAACTAGCTGCTCGGGGGTGGTGCATGCAGAGGCAGCAAGTAGCCCAGCTCCAGAAATGACAGTTCCTACTGCACCGACCCAGCGCGTATCGAATCTTTCGATCAAGACTCCAGCCCCGACTCCGAGAATACACATTATCGCATATTGCATTGTTCCAATCCACGCCAGAGTCGCTGAGGACGAGTTGGGGAACTCGCTGATCTTGTAGACCTGCAGATATACACCATAGGAATTGACGCAGCCGATGGACATCATCATATATACAAATGAGCCAGCGACAACGAGCCAGCCTCGCACAGTATCCGCCGCAGGGGCAGCGCTCTCATCAGATACATGCTCGGCCTCGGCCGGGAGCATTTCGTTAGCTTTCTTCGACATAATACGTGTGCTGTCAGTCATGGGAAGGGTGTACGTTAGAGTTGGCCGTGAAATTGGAACAGTAAAGTTCCATTCGTCGACGGAAGCCCGCTACTTTTTATTACTGCCATCCAAGATTTCACAACTGGCAGGCGCCAGAGTTTTCTTTGCCCGCACTTTACTCGCACTATGCATGGGCGATTGCTGGTGATCAACGAACCCCGTGGAAATATAGAGCAACAATGGTAGGCAAATCTTCTAAGCAGAACGGGCTGTTTCTGGCACAGGTCAAGCATTTGTTGCTTGAGATTTGTGGTGCTGCGGCCAAGCCGTTCCAAGGGATTCCACAATTTAATGCAGCATGTTCATAAATGGTCCTACCTGATATACACCACCATGCGGCGAACTAGTATACATGACTCATATATTGATCTTTTGGCAGACTATTCAGGCAGGCTAAATCGACAAGTATCCATATATTCTAGTTTATATTATGTTGACCAACTCATACCAACATCGCTACAGTATTGCAAATACATCGACCACTGTCTATTCTCAATAGCCCCGTTATCTATGGCATACTGATCATAGATATATTCACTTTCCAAAAGCCATCTTAAATGATCTGACGAATATCGTTCGACATTGACCAACGAAGGATAATAAACAGGACAAGGCCAACTGCATACACTGCACCACTGTAGATAAGCAGCGGCATGTAGTTTGTCCCATGTCCATACACATCCAGCAGGCGGCCGCCCACCGGGGAGCCCAGCAGCATTCCAAACGAGTATGAGATAAGAATGAGACCCAGGATGCTAGGCAACCTCTTAATCCCAAACAATGTCGCAGTTACAACAGGTACCAAAGATACAATGCTACCGCTGCTAGACCCAAAAAGAAATGCGGCGACAGCCAGGACAGCCAGGTTCTTGAAAGGGAGCCATAGACCAAGTATGCTGAGTACCGCAAGGAATGTGCTGAGAAGTAGAGCATTGGTTGAACCGATAGACCCAGCGAGTGTCCCAGTTATAATCCGCCCAAAGAAGCTGCCGACATTTAAAATTGCAGAGATAACTGCTCCCCAGGATGGTTCCTGGTGGAGAACAACTACTGAGAACGACGGCATATACGCATACGGTAGGTAATACCCAGCCATTCCAACGATCCCAAACAAAAACAATATCACAAACTTGGCGTTTCCAAGCACTGTGTAGTCGATTATCTTGTCTCTAGGCGGAACATGTATCCGGCGCTTCATCAGCGGCGTAGCTGCTCCACACACAGCAATTAGGAGCAACCCGGTGATTCTTAGTGCCCACTGACGACCAAGTCTGCTGACCATAGCCCGAGTGGCGAACGACATCCACAGACCACCAATCGAACTACCAGCCACAGCAATTCCCGCTGCTAGAGGCCGGTACTTGTCCATCCACTGCAAAGGCAAGCTCATTGCAACAACCACAAGCCCCGATCCCCCGATGCCAAATATAATTCCTTGGGTGACAACAAGCTGTGTAGGCGTGGTACATGCGGAGGCGGCTAGTAGTCCGGTTCCAGCGATGATAGTTCCTACTCCACCGACCCACCGCGCATCAAAGCGCTCGACCAATATACCTGACCCAACAGCTAAAAACCCAATAGTACCAAACTGCATGGTACCAATCCACGCCAGGGTAGATGACGGAACATGTGGGAACTCGTTGATCTGGTATTCCTGATTATACACCCCATATGAGTTGACACACCCAATTGACATCATGAAGTAAATGAACGCACCAGCGACAACAAGCCAACCGCGTAGGGTGTCTGCTGCAGGGATGGCACCTGAAGGCAATTGAGTATTCTCTTCACAATCCTCGACTATAGGTTCACTGGAAAGTATCGTGGAAGACTTTGTGGAAGGCATATCTATTAGCACTGACAGTGTACTTTTGTAGGTAGGCAAGGATAGAGAGATTTGAGTGAGGCATTTTGTAGTCTACTACAAACCTATTTTATACAATAATCGCCATACATTTCGGTCTTACCAGCAACTTTCGGAGTTCGGTTTGTCAGCACATCCCTCGCTTCATGCACGAATTATTGCACCGCACGATAATTTCTGCTCTCGGATTTCATTTCATGTGTCCCCGTGCCAGTATGCAATGCGAACAATGGTACGTATAATTGTTATTTCATCGTGACAGATATTCAATAAAGCGATTTTACGAAATAAGGCGAGGCTCACTGAATCATGTAATAAAGGTGGTAAACTATACCAAGTGCCAGATTCACTTTGAATATTGGTTTAGAACGGTCAATAGTATTTTACTTTGGCTAATAGGTGCTTGGAAACAAAGATACGGAGAGTATATACAAGAGCAAGGCCAGCCCCATACAGCGCATCATTATATATTGCCAGTGATGTATAGTTGGTTCGACGCCCATATATATCAAGCAGCCTCCCAGATACTGGCAAAATTGCAAATATACCACACGAAAATGAGATGAATACAAGTCCTAGCATGCTGGAATGGCATTTGATTTCAAACAATCATGTAGCTAAAACAGGCATTGATGAAACAATACTGCCACTGCTAAGACCAAAAACAAACGCAGCCACAACTAGAGCTGCAGTATTCTTGAAGCGCAACCACAATACCAAAGTATTGAGTACCGGGAGGAATCTATTTAACAACAGAGGATTCGTCGGATCGGTGTACTGAGCAAGAATAGTAGCGAGAATATGCTCAAAGAAATTACCCGCGTTTAGTACACCCAGGATTTTTGTTCCCCAGGACAATGCCCTGTGTAGCACAACTACTGGGAACGGCGGCATATACGCATACAGTAGGTAATACCAAGCCATTCCAACGATCCCAAACAAAAACAATATCACAAACTTGGCGTTTCCAAGCACTGTGTAGTCGATTATCTTGTCTCTGGGCGGAACATGTATCCGGCGCTTCATCGGCGGCGTAGCTGCTCCACACACGGCATTTAGGAGCAACCCGGTGATTCTTAATGCCCACTGGCGACCAAGTCTGCTGACCATAGCCCGAGTGGCGAACGACATCCACAATCACCGATAGAACTACCAGCCACGGCACCGCCAGCTGCTAATTGTCAGTACTTGCCCATCCCATTCTAGGGCTCCTGCTCCTGTGGCAACAGTAGAGGCTGCGCCAACTTTACTAGGTCCCCCAAGGAAGACTGCATGTGCTTGCAAACTTTGCTAATAGAATTTACATGTTGGGAATGGCTTGAGCCATCTTGTATAGATCAAAAAGCTTTGCTCAGAGAGCTGCAATCCACGGGATTTGCTTTTCGATTCCTAGTACCAATAATAAGATGTGGAAAAGAGCATTTTAAATATGCCTCTTAATAGCCTCTGGTATATCCTTCTGGTCTGATTATCAACAAGCTTGAAAATATACGGCAATTGCTTGCAGGAGAAAACAGCACGCTTATGCTTTGATGGAGGGCCGTCCCTCAGGCACAAGTAGTCGCTGTCACGAAAGATATATTGCTGCTATTTCCATTCACGGAGAAGGTAGTGGCCGTCTATTTCATCGAAACTAAGCCTGTGGCGGTTAGTGCCCAGTGTCATGCATATCATGCAGTCTTCTCGAACATAACCAAGGTACCCTCTGTGTCCGACAAGAAGCACGCTGAAAGGGACATCGACAAGAAACTAGAATTCGTTACCAACCGTGGAGCTGGGTATTCTCAATTTAGGTTTTCAGAAAGTGAGAAAAAAGGAGCCAGTCAGCCTCGTTGAGTCTGTTGATAGGCGTATTCGGTCTGATCTTGGTGGCACAGGAGTAGTGGTGATCTTGACGTGTAGATATAGTGAAAGGAATAGAACTGGAGTGTCTACGGTCTGTACCGGGGGCCGCGCCTTCTTACAGCCATGGTCTTAGGCTCTTGATCTGCTCTGCTGGATATCCCTGGATAGTGGAGTACAACCCTCACAACTTGGTGCTCCAATGCCAACACAGCCAATTCACAGATCTAGTGTGGTAATTGATCAGACCTCTTTGCTTCGATCCACATTCGAGTCCCGTGAACGAATGGTGGAAAATAAAATAAAAAAGGCGCCCCGGAACTGCCTAAAGCGCCGGGTCCGCGGGCATTATTAACTAGTCCTGCTCTGCAACAGCCACCTCTTTATCGCTTCTATTTTTCGCCTCGCATTCTGTATTCTTAGAAAACTCAACTTTTATAATGAGTCGGTTCTTTGGCAGCAGACGCAATGCGCTTATCACCCTGGCATCGGCTGTCACTATATCACTGGTAGCCTACCTAGCATATGAGGTGTATCAGGAATCAAAGGACGAGCACGACGGCACCGACAACGACGACACTCAGCAGGACCATGCGGACGAGGCCGTGATGCTGGAGCACGTCGAGGAGGTTATCCAAATAGCCGAGTCGATGCCGACCTCGCCTGTTGCGGCATCGCCACCAAAGCTCAAGCGGCGACTGGCAATCAGCGCGCGCGGGATTCTGTTCAACTCGTCAAACCCCAGCGACAAGTGGTCAGCAGATATCGACATTAACCCACAGGCGCGCATGGCCCTTGCACGGCTAGCCAGTCTGTATGAGTTGTATGTTGTTGTGGTCGTTCGCTCCGACGATGACAAGCAGCAGATCATCCGGGCACTGGAGAATGCTGGCATCTTGGAGACAACGATCGGCGATAGCACAGTGTGGGTGGATAGCGAGTCGCAGCGCTCGTCGATTAGCGATGCGCCGTCATCAGAAATTTCGGCAATATTAAACTCGTCGAGCTCGATCCCACCGCCGTCGCCGACCCGCAGGACTGGGCTAATGTCGGCATCCAATGTGCTGTTCTGCCAGACAGAGGAAGGAAAAGCACATTTGGTCCGCCATTTGCTGACCCTCAACGGTGCTTCAAAGTTCACTCGTCCGCGCGCGCACGCCGGGTATGCTGGATATATTGATACTAACCATGACGTTGTAAACCATCTGGCAGGCGTGCTTCACAGTGTCACGCACGTCGTACCCGGTGCTCCCACGGCCACGCTCATCTCCAGGGGCGAGGTGCCTGGCATGCTGACAGCATACACAAAGACCGATGACAACCCAGCCCCTGCGGCGTCGGCCGGTCCGAGCAGCGTCTCCAAGTCTGTCGAGGTGGTCAGCGATATCGCTGAGTCGACGCTTTATCTGTAGCCAAGAATTCTAAAGACTGTTGTTTTAGTTTACTTTAAAAGATTCTGGTAGCTGTTCTCAAATGCCTCTCTCTCGTCGTCGCTGACAAATTTTGATGCTCTCCAGAACACATTGGCGGCGGCATCCAGTTTGGTGTTGTCGACCAGGAACTTGAGGTAACCCAACCACGGCTGGGTATCATGCTCGTTGAGCTGGCATGCAAGCTCATAGAGGTTCACTGAGTGCTTGGTCTCGCCAATCGGCTTCTCAAGGGCCAGGCACCGCTCATAGAACTTGAGTGTCGGGAAGGCATGCCGAATAACATTCTGGTATGCACGGCGCACGGCGTCGATATTGATCTTGCCAGTGGGCGCACCCGCCGCAGCATTAGCGGCAGCATCCTCGTCATCGCTGTTTTCCTCGTCAATGGTGACAGTGTTAATATCGGCAGCTGCGCGAAGCTGCACAGTCGGCGGCAGCTTCGCGGCCCAGTTGACGAAGCGAATCTGCAGGAATGCCTTCAGCTCGGTGCTCTCAGAATTGAGCTGGGCAACGCGCACAAAGGCAGCCAGGTACCGCGACTGGACGCGGTCTGACGACAGATCGCCAGCCTTGAACCGTTCTTCGGTCCAGTCAAGCCACAAATCCCACAGCTTGCGCGACTGCAGGTTGTGCGCTAGGGTCTCAACCTCAAACAAACGCTCTATCCGCTGCGCTGACGCCAAGCCAGATCCTGCCCTGTGCGCCTCGATTAATGCAGTAAGACGGCTGTGCCAGAGAGAGTCGGAGTCTGGGAACCGCAAGGTCGCGTCAGTCAGCCAACTCAGCCTGGTGGCCTCGTCGCCATTCATGACGTCAATATACATCAGCGCCAGCTTGGGCGTAAGCCGCTTGCTCTTGTCTTCGATGATGACAGCAAATGCACGCTCGACAAGAGCACCAAAGTACTGTTCCAGACTTTTCATAGTATCCGATGCCACCTGCCACTGCTGCAGGAACACAATGTACTTTTCCCACATCTCCGCGGTGTCGACATCCTGCAGCGCCTGCTTGAACTTGTCCACGGCCTGCCGCAACGCATCGACAAACTCGGCAGACTGAATGTTGACCGATGCCAGATGAACTGTGCTTAGATATGCACGCGCTTGCGGGTCATGAGCAAAGTCGCGGGCGATGGAGTCGAAAACCTCCTGCCGAGCCTGCTCCATATCGGAAAACTGCAAGTAGATGGCTGCAAACTGCTCGCGGAAGTCGAGGTCCTGGGGAATGGCAACAATGGCTTGGGCGTACACCAGCTTGGCCACAGCACCCTGTAGCACTGGGTTGGACTCGGTGGACATGACCTGTTGCTGCTCTTCAGTCAGAGCCTCCTCGGAGCTGCGCAGCTTGGCCAGCTCCTTTTCCTCAAGCCTCTGCACCATCGACTCGCCCTTCTCCTCGTCGAGTTCGGGCAGCACGATCATGTTGTCATCTCCATCCTCCTCCTTTTTCCCCTGTGTCTCGGCCTTTTTTTCGCTGTCGATTCCCAACATACGCCGACGAGCCTTGATCTTCTCCACCAGCATCAGCTCGAGCCTAAAGTACTCGATCCACAGCCGCTTGTCCTTGGGGTTGACCCTCAGGCCACGCTGCAGCAGCGCCCGCGCAGCACTGCCATTGACATTGACCTCAAACTCGTAGGCGGCAGCCATAATCCACAGCCTGACCTCGTATGGATGCGCCTGGATGGCCCGCGCAAACAGCTTGCTCAGCAGCCGCATGTTGCCCGTCTGCTCCTTGTTCGGGTCAACACGCGATTTGACAAACTCGATATACTGCAACCACAAGACCACATCAGCCGAGTGCCGGAACAGCGCGCGCTCAAACAGTCCGTTGATGCGCTGCTCGATCGAGTAATCGCTGATGGTGGTGCGGCCCTTGACGCCCAGGCGCTTCTTGCGCTTGCGCCGCAGCGCATCGACGTTGATCTCGTACTCGATGTAGCGCAGGAAATCAACCCGGCCCACGCCGCGTTTCTTGAGCGCGTACTCAAAGTTGGTGCGCTTCTTTACGATGCCCTTGAGCTCGACCTTTGTGAAAATTTTCTTGCGCTCCAGGTCCTCCAGCTCAGGCACCATCTGCTCGAGATGGTACTGCACAGTTTCCGCCATGGTTTGTGAATCTGATGCCGCAGACTATGTAATTGTGGAATGCAAAGAAGAAATAAAAGCCAACAAGGCAGAGAGAAGAACCGTTGCCGGCCGCAAGATCGCGTGTATAGCCACTTCAACAAAAAAAAAAAAGTCTGCCCGCCGTTGATTAGGATCTAGTTGGATCCGGAAAATGATTAGGCGAGTGATCGCAGACCGCGCCCAGTCTGCATTTAATCTTCAACCATCACCCAGGTAACTGAGGTTTACCCTGCAAACCAACGCCTACCATGAGGGAAGACAGGAGGATGGCTACCATCGGAGCCAGGCCAACCGGTACACGGCATACATACCACATACGTTACTTACGACGATGCCAGCCTGACTAATCGACCAGCCGCTAGATCAGTACGGGGCTCGTTCCACGGCCAATGATTGAACAAACCGCCACGTGATCTTCATCCTCCTCCTTACAGTTATAGTGGTTTTGCAGATCCATTTTCGTGCGACAGCAGCATCGTAGCACCCATCAGCAACTCTTTGACATCCCGCCGAACGATATGGAATACGTGGGGAGGGCAGATTCAAATGCTGGGTGTGGCCGGCCACAGAGCGTGCTGGCATCCGCTGCAGCTGCCGCCGAGTCGGCTCACCAGATGCTGGAAACGCCGCACTGTAACCCAGAATGCATGGGCCAGTCACCAATAGTATATCGGCATTTGGGCCATTTCTCGCTTCCCCACACACCCACTGCCTCAAGCCCGTCCGCCTTGCCCGTCAAGCAGGAGTTCGCAATTCCCGATTATATGAAGATAGCTGATGCAAACAATTAGATGGCCCCGTCTTTCCTTTTCCCTCCTCCCCACCAACTTTTTTCTCCGCCCAGACTTTTCCCCCTCTTCTCCTTGACGTCCCTCCTTTCCATCCCTTTTTCCGTGTATATTTCGCGTAATTTTATTTCTTTCCTCTTATTTCGGTAACTCTGAACGCCCTGTTATCCATCACTAATCATTACTCACGCACGCAAGGGCATCACAACCACCTGCCTCAAAGCCCGATCACTTACATAAGTCCGCCAGATAGACTGTGGTTTGCCTGCGTGGTTGCCGCTGCTGCATCATCACACGTAAATTATTTATGACATGGACGCTATACCACGCAGCGCCGCAATGTCGCCACCATCGCCATCTGAGGACCCGCCGTCATCTACAGAGCAGCCCAAAAAGCGGGAGCAAGTGAAGAACGCATGCGTTAATTGCCAAAAGGCGTGCAAAAAATGCGACTCTGGGCGGCCGTGCCAGCGGTGTATCAAATACAACCTGGTCGACACCTGCGTGGACTCGGTGCGCAAGCAGCGGCGAAAGGGCATAAAGCGTGGGCCGTACAAGAAGCGGAAAAAGGAATCCGACCAGGTGTCGTCGCAGTCAACACCACAGCCCACCCCGCCGCAGTCCGCCGGCCCCTCGTCGCAGCCGTCGCGTGGCAGCCGTGTGACAAAAAACAAACGCTTGTCACGGTCGCTATCAACTTACGGACGCCACTTTACGCCACGGGTTCTTGGACCTGGATCCATACCGATTCTGCACAACGACGAGTACGAGGAAAGTAGCACTGATGAGACAGAATCACTGCAAAGCAGCCAGATCGCCTCGTTCGATGCGCTCTCGCTCTCCCCACCCTTGATGACCGCCCCGCAGCACCAACAAATTTTTATTCCTGCAAATCCTCCAGCCCAAAGCAGTAGACATGAACCACTGCCACACACTCAGAGTCAGACTCCCTACTACCAGTTTCAACAGACGCGCGAGCCCATTCGCCTGCCGCCCATCGCGTCGTTCGACCAGGCGCACCCGGTCATACAGCCCCCCACAACCTCGTCTCTGCATATTCTCACGCACGTCGCGCTTAGCTCTTCACCTCCTGCTGTGCCCGCTCGCCCACCTTACGCCTTACCACCGCTCCCGCTGCCACCACAAATTCCGGGACCAACCACTCAACCTATCCCGCCCCATTTCCCGCCACCCGACCACCCCGACCACTCCGACCCGCAGGATCCGCGTCGATATACGCAAATGAAGAGCTCGCCACCTTCTCCATCCTCGCCTGATGCTGAAACACACATCCACCGGCTATCGCAACAACTTGGAAATGTGCATATCGGCCAGCAGTCACACACAGAGGACAACGATGAACACGCGAACACACGTGCTATCACCAGAACTCTTCCATCGGCGAGTTCGAATTTTCGGGCTGGCAACGCTGACGCTACACAGACAAACGACTACTAACCTGCTTAATTTATTTTCTCGCGTAATGAACATTCCACCACTCTTGCAGTTTTCTACTGGGTGTCATTGCCACGGTATTGGCATAGAAATGGGTGTGAAGCGCGGCAGCCTCTGCCTAATGCCGACAGCTGGTGTGGACGCCGCGGTCGGAGCCCAGATGCAAGGGAGACAATTGGGGATTTGCCATTGGTACGAGATGGACTCTTTCGAGTACAGATTTTAAAAGGCGAGAATCAGAAATCGGCGGTTAACCGTCCTGAACGGCGTTCATGGTGTAGTCGGCTATCACGTATGCTTCACACGCATAAGGTCTCCAGTTCGATCCTGGATGAACGCAATGGTTCTTTTTTCTTGTTTTGCCACCAGCCGATCCGGCTCCTTTTTACCCGGGATCGTTGGGGGCGCTAGTGGGGTTGACATCCCCGCAGACGTGTGCAACTGACACCTTGCCTCTGCCTACTTTTTTTTTCTCGATCGATTCTTCTTGAGGCCAGAAATGACAGCCCTGATGCCTGTGGCAGCCCTGACAACTATGTATGCCCCAACGTGTCAGGGCAGACATATATCGCCCGCATGTCTGCTATGTACACCGCCTGCTTTATAAGCTCGCACATGCGCAGCAACATTTGCCGGCTTTCGCAGTATCCACAACTACTATCTATCTCAGTTTCTTATTTCGTTCTTTTTTAGCGCCAGCACCACACAGCCACAATGTACACCTGCCCTTGCTCAGGCTGCAGCCAGCTCTTCGACACCCCCATCAAGGTGATCGAACATGTGCGCACAGCTCACTTTTACCCCGACATTAGCGAGTTCTGACCAGCTCATATAGACGCCACATATAGACTTCCTCAATCTCTAGATACACACTTCATTCTCTAAATATACAATTCAACTTTGCTCAGTAGACACACCATTAATCAGCCAGCACACCTACAGTCTAGAAACAGGTGTTTTGTTTGCATAACCACTGACTACTAAACAGCAACGGCCATGTCGGGTAGGAAAAAATCGGACCATGGTCGTCTGCCAGTCATGGTAATTGGCAGTGGGTCCACTGTGTTGACATTGGAGCTCTAGACTACTCTTGTGCCGCCATGCCAACGCCCAAACCACATGAAATTGGATCCCAAGCTGGCCAGGCTATTTCATGTTCTTCACTCTGTCTTTCATATTACATTTACTCACTCTACATATAAACTCGTAACTATGCATTTGATCCCAAAGGTTAACACCACTCACTACACAATCTGAATCCGCAGAATTGTCTCCTTATTCAGTGGGCTCTGCAGCTACTTTGTCCAGTGCACCGTCGTCAGTATGATCATTGCCCGGACTACTGTCTTGCACATGGTCTTTCCAAAGTGCCCACTCAGCAAGAGCGTGTGGCTCATCAACACCACACTCGGCATATCTGAAAACCAGCCAGGTATGAGATCGCAGCCTCCAGCTCTTTGGGATGGAGGAGTGGCACCATGGCCCCATGAAAACTGCCCACGAACAGCCGCAGCGAGAGCCTGCTGTCCTCTTGTCTCTGCTGACTCAACCTCTGGCCACAACTTTTGACACGGATTCCGATAGAGCTTCCGTCGATGTAGATCATGGCGTAGCACACAGATGGTCTTGGTCCTGGTCCAATACTGGCGCACGGATACGCAAAAACAAAAGCAAACCGATTTGCAATGCGCATTGCACCTCCTATCGCCGGAAGACCACCGCTTGCAGATGAGGCACCTGTATGCTGCCTGCAACACCGCCAGGCTGTGCATAAGCTCATGCGACTTCATGTGCAACTGCAATATTGCAGTGTCGCATTGATTTCTGCGGTCCGCTAAGGCTGCCTGCCACTTTGGGGAGAGATAGGCAGGACCGTGCAGCACCTTGGGAGCGCCTGCCATCGGCTCTTTATTAAACTGCTGCTGCCCCTCTCCTTTGCACAGTCCCTAGCTCCCTAACCCCTGCCCACTAGTCTTGTTACATTTTATTGCTCCTCTATGCCATTCTTGAAGAGCGGGATATACCATGGGCCACGGCTATCTGACGAACAGCGGATACAGGTAGGGGTCGGCAGAGCCATGCATGGAAATGAACGGAGGTGCAGGCATCTTATCTGAGGAAACCTTTGCCTGTTTCTGTAGACGGCCACTGCATTAAGGCTGCACCTGGATCCTGTGGGCAGCGGAGATAGAGCTATCATTATCGCCGGAATATGCTGTTACAGCCTGACTCTCTTGCTGGTGCTGTATTGCTGGCTCAATTACAGCTACCACCCTATCCGGGCAAAGAATGTGCGGCTTGCCACAGTCATGTACATCACAGGCCTGCTCTGGTTTGTGGCAGACTTGCCAACAAACGGCCACGTCAATATTGTCGGCTCCTGGACGATATGCAAGCTGTGGGCAATCTGGGGCCGTGCGGCATTGGTATACGTGTCATCGTGCTGTATTCTAATGCGTGCATATGCGCTTGACCTGGTATTCAATCGCAAGCAGCCATATCGTGGGTGGGCGGTCCTTGTGCCTATCATCATCATCGCAGTGGTTGTTCTCTCCTACTGCATCACGGGCCAGCTAGTTAGTGACGACCTGACAGTCGCATTCATTCCGTCGCTGCAGCTCTGCTACTACAGCGATGCCTTCCGGTATGCAAGTCTGTCGATTGTGTGGCTGGTCTGGCTAGTTATTCTGTACTACACCATTCGGATTCGCAGAATCACATCCTCGTTCAACGAGTTCCGCAACTACCTTGCGCAGTGCATCATTGCATTCCTGCTCATTGCCGAGACCACGGCACTGCACATTGCATTCCCGAGGTACCCGCTTAACAAGACTGTTCGTGTTGTGAACACGGCGTTCGACATATTCATCAGCAGTGCCTGTATCTGGATTGTCCTCGCGTACCCAGCATACAAATGCCTGTTCGATCGTGGGGAGTACCTCAACCAGTGGCTCTGGAAGCTGCGGGATGACGGGCTCCAGAAGGCGTACGGGGTGGAATCGAACGAGACGTACCTGGTTGGACAGATACAGTTTTCCTCGACTGCCCAACTGCACTCTGACTACAAGCGGCAGCTTTTGTGAGTCGCAACTATAAATATATGCTGTACATGTTTTATAGAGAGCATGATCCAGCCCAATGAGGGACATTGCGATTGGAAATAGGCAGGTGCGATCAATCAGTTCATCTCACTTACCCTTTCGGGTATTCTGTGACAACATGTGTTCATATAAAGTCCACAGGTTTCATATGGCAATGCAGTGTTGGGTCAGTGCACAGGTCGCTCAGGGATATCATCTAGTCACACAGGAGATAGATTCCCAAATAAAACCTGGCGATTGAGGCTGTCTGATCTCTAGCATGTCGCTGATATCAAGCACAGCACACAGCGTGAATGTTTGGGAGACGTATCCTGATGAGAGCGCCGTTGAGAGCGGCATAGCCACTGTGTGTATATAATAGGTAGCTATTATTTTCTTCAAATTCTAACGAACTGGCGCGGACAATAGCTTGGACTGTGTCTTTCTGGGGCTTTAGCTCATCTGGGAGAGCGTATGACTGAAGTTCATAAGGCACCGTGTTCGATCCACGGAAGCCCCACTAGTATTCTTTTTGCCCTCTTTTCCTTTTTACATTGTGTATCGCTGTTACCGCCTAGAGGGTTTGTGACAAATAACTTTATTTTTCTCAAAGAATATATCGAGACCTGCCGCCATTGCCCATTTCAGATATGGATGCGAGCCGTACCGGCTCAGAGCTCATATCGCTGTATCCGTATGGGAGATGATCTACACCGCTCACGCTGTCTGTTTGTTGCAGAGCCGCTGAAGAGGCTAGGCTCCCTGGCTGGTGTTCCAAGCAATAGCTGTGCTCATCATTGGCGATATGAGATAGTGGCTGATGAGCAACAGACGTCTCTTTGACAGTATCCACCAGAGATCCATGCTTGAACTTCGAGTAGCCTGACCTGCTGTTCTGCATGATCGGTTCCATTGCATATTCGTTTCGCAGGCCATCCCGCGACAGTTTATCGAGCCACTCTTCGAGGTATTCGTCGCGACGCAGGATGCAATTTATAACCGGATAGCCAATTAGAATCCAGATGGCAACGAATCCTGTAGCAAAGTCGAACGCAGCCGCAGTACCCCTGATGCTTCTGCTCAACGAATGCTTGTTATTAAGGACCTGGACCAGTGTGGTCTCGAGGTCTGTCGAGATGCTTAAGACAGCAAAGAAAGCTGACTCGCGGAACTCATTGAATGACGAGTGGATATTCCGAATCTTGATTGTGAGCGCAGCAATCACCACGCTCAGACACCAACGAATGGACATGCAGGCGTAGCGGTAGTGTGTAATGTAGTGGCAAGTCTTGAAAAAGTCAATGTACTTTATCGTATTGCTCTCGTCCACTGCCTGGCTCACAATGCACAGCACAAGGACTGAGCAGTACATTGCAATGAGTGGAGCCCAGTACCGCAGCCCACGGTTTGTTTTGCGTTGGTTAAAAATTCTGTCCAGCGAATAGATCCGGAAAATGACAGTGCATGAAAAGACATACTCGAAGGCAAGGTTGACCCAGATACCCCACACCTGGCATTCGCGCCAGATCCCTTTGTTTTCAATGAGTCCGTTGCACACGCAGCTTCCAAAGAACCAAATTACAGCCGACAGATACATGACCGTTGTCAAGGGAAGGTTCTTTGCGCGCAGAGGAGGGAATTTCCGGTTGAGCCATGCGAAGACCAAAGCAGCAGCCGTTATGGCGTAGAGTGCTAAACCAGTGTACAGAATAGCCATGTCCGAAGGACCGATGGGGTCAGCAACTGGGCGCGGCTTACCAGGTGTGGGTGTCCCTGACCACGCCCTCGGGTCAAAGGTTTTATGTGGAGTAGTATACACGGATGCCATTAACTAGTAATCCAGAATAGCGATAATGCAACAAGAACGGTTCGAAACAGAGAGGGGAAGCAGCGTCTACTCTGCTGTTCCAGATTATTTTCGGCATTTTTCTAGGCGTTGGTCCGATCGACACTTGCTCGGAATAAATGTAGCCATCTATGCGCTTGGCCACTGCCCCTTTGCTTGGTGCCACGATCTACAACTGGTATGTACTTTCCAGCATGATGGGCAATGTCGATCTCAATACATTGGGACACGCCGTTGCTGGTTGGTGCAAACAGCAATGCTGCTGGCCGTAAGGGATTTCGGTGCTGCCTTCTCTACAGCTTGAAATGAATCTCCAAGTATTATAATGTATTGCACAGCGTCTTGTCCTCAAATAAACCCAGCTTAGACAGCAGCAATTCCACGCCGTGCGTTAGTAATGTACTTGTTCAGATTGAACGCCTCGGGTTGCCACTCGCCGTTGAAGATACACAGCACCTTCATCATGGGGTGGTAGTCGAGGTCAGGCAGCAGCTTGGGTGTGATTAGGAAGTATTGCGACGACCCCCTTTTGCAGGCTGTATCAACAATCTGGCGGTGAATCAGGCGCTCGTTGCGTTGGTCCATGCCCTGGTTGATCTCGTCGACGACACGGAACGGTGCAGCCACCAGGGCCTGAAGCGATTGCAAGTACAGGATTGTTGAAACAGCACGTTCGCCACCCGACTGGCGGTGGTTGTTGAGCGGCTTGAGCGGCTCATTGCGACGGAACGAGACCATGATCTCAACACCCCAGTTGTCATAGTCCTCGTCGTCCTGCGGCGAAGCACTGTCTGGTTCCTGGCCATTGGCGGCAACTGCTTCGGCAATGATGCCGTCGCCAACCCGCTTCAGGCGCACCTCGCCCATGCAGTCCATGCGATCAAACATTTGCTGGAATGTCGCACCGATCTGGCGGACCAGTCTTTCCAGCGGCTGCTCCCACTGCTCCCTCAGCCGCTCCTTCTTCTTGCGCACCTTGCTAAGCTCTGCTTCAGCCTTGCGCAGTGTGTCGTGCATGGCCTGGAGCCGCTGCTTGCGCTCCTCGTACTGCTCCATAACACGCGCTGTGAGACCACTGTTTGACGCAAGATTGAGGCGCTGCTGGCATGTAGACAGCTCGATCTCGAGATCCTCAAACGACGCATCCCGCCGCTGATTCTGCAGATCACGTACAGCCTGGCGCTCGTCGTCACTCATTTTCTCCGTGAGGCTCCGCGTCTCCTCTAGGCAACGTTTGGCATGTTGCTTGGCCTCCTCATAGCTGGCGTTGGCTTCATCGAACTGGCGCTTGGCATCTGCGATGGCCTCCTTGTATCGCTCGGCTTCGACTCTAAGCAAGCGCAACCGAGCCATGTCGCTGTGGCCCGACAGGCTGACGGTGGCAATTTCATGTATCACTGAAGCTAGCTTGTCGACAATTTGAGCAATGCTGGCGATGGTTTCAGCACGGCGCCGTGCATTCTCGTGCTGCATCTCAGTGATCCGTCGGCGCTCTTGTTCAGCCGCTGTACTGGTGCCCTGTGCGTCACGCCTCTCCTCTTGTATCATGTTTGTCAGCTGTGCTGACTTCGTCTCGATCTGGAGCCTTTGTGTCTCCCACATACTGACCTCCTTGTTTTGGCGATCGCGCTCCTTCCTTAGCTCCTGGCCTTTGCTTTCTACCTCGCGGTGTTTATCGCGCACCTTGCGGTCCTTGATGCTGAGCTTCTTCATCTTCTTCTCATTCTCGGTCAGCTGGTCACGGAACTCATCCATCTCCTTCATGAGCCGGGAACGTATTGCCTGGACCTCCTCTGTCTCGCCAGACGACAGGAGACGCGCTTGCGGCTTGATCCGCGCTGTCATCACAGTCGATGAGTGGGCACCGTAGCGGCCACGGGTGATGGTATACTTTGTGGCATCGGCGACATATTCCTTGAATGCACCCTTGCGCTCGATTGCCTCGTTGTCTACACGTCCGAGGGCGACTGGCACCTCATGGATGTTGTCCTTGTTGCATAGCGCTGCCAGCACCGTGGGGTGAGCCTCAATAAAGTCGATCGCGTAGCCGTCGAACCCAAGCTCCCGGATCGTATCACGAGGCAGCGGAGGGTTGAAGTCGCTCAAGCTCTTGTGGTAACTCACGACATCGATTCTGAGCTTCATACGGTCTATGACCTCCTGCGTGAACGTATAGTAGTCATCGTCGCATTGCGTGACAAACGTGCGCAGCGAGCTCATGGTCACAATGCTTTCGATCACTCGCGCGTACTGGGGATTCTGCACAGATGCTTCGAGGCAGATAGGCGTAAATACATGCTGCTTGAATTTGCTGCGGTTGGCCTCAAGCCACTCCAGCGCCTTAAACGTGTCCTCGCTGAAGCTGCGCAGGTTGCTGCGCCGCCGCGCGACAACATCGTCGAGTTTGCGCAGCTCCTCGTCGCGCAGAGCCAAATCCCTGTTCATCTGCCCACCACCCCGCATCAGCTCTCGCTGTTCGTCCTGCAGCTGCTGCACCTCGTTGTTCATTTCCAGTATCCGCTCGCGACATGCCGCAATCTGGCGCTTCAGCTCCTCTGTCTCGCCCTGGGGCTTTTCTGGCGGATGGCTTGCCTCGAGCAGTGATATCTGCTCGCGCATCTTACGGATTTCCTCACGCCGCCTCTGCGCACGCTTCTTGAGTTCCTCAAATTCATTTTGCAGGTCGGTTTGTGTTTTGTCGAGTCGCTCCAGCTGGTTGAGCTGGTGGCGGGCTTCCTTCTCGAGCTCGTTGCGCTCTTCCTGCTTGCGGCGACGCGTATTCTCGGTACGGGCAATCTTGCCATCCAACGTCTTGATCTCGTCTTCAGCTGGCCCAGGCTGGTTGCGCACTTCCATGTAGTTGGTATGGGCGCGCCTGCGCTCCTCCTTGCGTCGATCGTGCCCAGCCTTGGCCTCGGTGTATTTTACAACCGGTATGAGTGCAGTAAGTACGCGCATCTGGGACTCTGCTGCCTGCCGCTCTTGCCACCGCTGCACATCACGCTCTAGCACATCGTTCTGCTTGCGCAGTGTCTCGGTGTCCTGGCGGAGCCGCTGGATCTCAGTCAGTTTTTGTCGCTCTTGTGTGCGTCTCTCGACAATTTTCTTTTGCAAGTCCCACAGATCATCTCGACCCAGCGCCTTTTGCGTCTCCTTGAGGAGCTCCTGTGGCGACATCTTTGAGAACTCCACCACCCGGTCCTGCGGCAGAAATTGGCACAGGTTGTTGACCTGGATATGCATCGACTTTGTCATACTGCTGACCTCGCTGAAAGTTGCCGCTCTGCCATTAAGCTTCCATGACGACATGTTGTTCTGGTGGTTGATATCGCGCCGAATCCGCACCGGACCACTTCCATCTTTGCCAGCCAGCGTAATCTCGATTGACCCTGACTCGTGCCCGTGCTTAACGTACTCGCTAATATCCTTGGCACGACCTAGGACCGAAGGCTTTTCGCCAAGACCCAGCGCTATAGCGCACACAATCGTGCTCTTGCCAGTACCGTTGGGGCCAATGATCATGTTGAGGTTTGGTCCTGGCGACACCTCGATGCGGTCGTATGTGACAAAGTTGCGAAGGCTTATATGCATGATTGACCCGGCGCGGTACTCGTCAGGACTATGCTGTGCATTGACCAGCCTGCTGCCTGTTTGGTTTGGTGCAGGTGAGTCGGTGTCAGAGCCCACGTCATCCGCAGCCTCGGACTCTGCTGTCTCGTAGCTGCTAGAAGACGATAGGCCATTCAGGTCCCCCTTGGCATATCGCACGCCGTTGGTGGTCCCCTGTTTGTTTGCTGAGCGCCGTCCGCTCATTGTGTCAGAATGTTGAATAATGTAGCTGGTGCGAAAGCAAAGAGCGGATTTTTTTCTCACAAAGCAACGCGAAAACCAGGCTAACGCGCGCGTGTGGTTGATGGATCAAATTTAGCTAAGCCACATAGAGTTTAGCTGATCTGATCTGGTCTGACCGAATCAGCCCATGCAACGACTGACGATGGCCTTGGTGGTTGCATCTCGCTATGGACATTATCCACACACTTCCCAGCATTTCCCGCTGATGCTACTGGATAATATAGCAGGTGATGTCGCCAGGGCGTGTCACTCCAGCTGAAATCTCAAGAGAATTTATTCAACAAACGTTCAGCAGTCGAGATAGTCCGCAGCCATCATCAGCTCCAGAGATATTTCAAGGTCAAATTCAAAGTCTGGCACTCGCTCGGTTGCACCCTCATCGGCGTACCTGTGTTTGTAAAACAGGTACTGGCACACCTTTTCCAGCACCTGGCCCTTAATTTCTGGGAATCTGATCTCGCTGGTCAGTGCCTCAGTGAACCCACCCGTTGACATGTCGAGCATATTCATTATAGTAGCCGATTGCTTGGCAACCGCCTTGTCAATAATGAATGAGAAGCCATCGCCGCTGGTCAGCTTCACAGTGGGGGATTCTTCAGTACCAGACATTGTGGAAAGAGGTATGTGTGGAATATGTTTATTACTGCTGTCAGGCGGTGCAGCCTGCACGCACAGAAAAGGGGCTCACAGGTAGCGAGGTTTAGCTATGGGAAAAGTTGATCACACGCGCTGCTTGTAATTGGGCCTATCAATGCACTTGTCCTCAGAGAATAACGCACACATAGAGGCAGGCATTCTGTGCAGATTTTGCGCCATCGACGATATTAGCGTTGAGGAGGAAAAGTCCGACGACCCATCAGAAGCTGGCAGAGGCCTTCCATCAACATTACTGATGGACAAGCTGTTCGATAGCTGAGGCAGAGATTGATCACAATCTTTTGTTCTGGCTTTGCTGCATCAACGCTAATGATAATCAAGCCATCCTGTTGACCCCGAAGCAGCAGCACACTTCAACACCATGATGACAAGCCAACTGCATGTATTTTCAGATACCTTGGGACTAGCCCGTCCTCATTTTCTCCTCCGTAGCTCTTGCTGCTCTGTTTTTAATAAGGGATTGAGAATATTTATCCACATTGCTGAAGGTTTACACGGCTGACCATAGGTAATATGTCTCTCATTGAGCCAATTGAAGCAGGCTCGTTGTCGATCGGTATATAGTCTCTGCATTCGGTCAATACGCTGTTTTTGAAACACAGCTTTATTACGAAACTACCACTAAACGAGTTTAATTCCTCTCATAGAAACTCTTCAGCCCCATGAAGCCCTCGTAGCTATGAGCATCCTCTCCGAGAAGCTCTTCGAAAGTGTCGACCCAGTTGTAGGTGTGGAAGTTTTCCATTCTCTTGTCTGGAAGTCTCTCATCGAGCCCAGTATCAGACGGCTTTTCGACTGAGAAAAGAAGCAGATACATCTTGCGAGGCATCGACTTCAAAAGCTTGGGGCAGCCCGCCGAGAGGAGCTTCAGAAATATGTCTTCATTTGCCATCCAGAGTTCCCGGGCTTCAATCAGCGAGTTGCGTCACTATCTCGATGCCACGTTTTATCCATGGTATCCTTCAGACTGATCGCTTTTGACGAAAGCCTCTGGTAGATTTGCTTGAAGATCACTAACAATAGCGACTCCAGACCATCGGCAAGCAAGCGGCATCTCATTTCGTGCAGAGTTCGCCTTGAAGTTATCCAGCACGTCGTCAACCAACGAGTTGCTGATTCTATCAAATAGGGTTGGTCTATCGATTTCGGCGAGAAGCTCGTCCAGCGCACACGTCAGCATGTCAGCAGAAAGCACTTCCCCCATCTTCCTGCGTCTCTGGGCAAGTGCTCCTGATTTGCAGCTGATGGATTTGCGCAACTCGCCTTCAGACGTACATTTTTTGGACATGAACTGGACAGTTTTGCAACGCTTGTTCCTCGAAGCATTATCCATGGAGGTGCCCTATATATCCTCAATATATAATATTAGTATACCAAGCATCAATGGTGGTATAGGAATAACCCTACCATATCTACATAGGCAAACAAAATTATGTAGTGCATACCGTTTCTGCAGTAGATTGGAGTGTTTGTTGAAGAGAGCGCTTCGTTGAATCGTTGAGATTATCCCAGAGCTTATATCAACTCTACAGGTGCACTATCACTTACTGCTGCAGCAGAGCACCTACCCATGGCGTTTTTGAGGCGCACCAAATTTCCTGGGGCGAGAGAAGCGCCAGACGCCACCTGCGTGAAAAACGTTTCGGCGGTATAGTAGCTCATCTTGAAGTAAATAAAATAAAACAACGAAATGCAACAAAAATAGGCCAGTGAAGGTAAGTCAATTGGTGAATATCAATGCGAAGAAATGCGAATAAAAGAAAATGAAAAGGGAGTAAAGAGCCAAGCTGTTTACTCAAAGTGGGGTTAGTTGCATTAAAGCACTAATTACTTCTGGGTGATCACAGTAATACTAGCCCTTCAAGAGCATCTCAGCGAGCAACATGTCAGCCATTTTGAAACGGGTGCGCCAACAGTACATGAAAGCCACGTAACGCCAAATGGCTCGGGGAATGCACAAGCCAGCGGCACAAAACAACCTGAGAAGCATGAGCGCCTAGACACATTTTACTTCTCGTGACAACTGCACCTCTGACATAGGCCCAGCATGATCTGTCGCTCTGCAGGCGTCAAAAAAGCAGTGTGCTTGCCGCAGGTGACCTGGGCAATTTATGCCAGTCCAGCAGTGCCATTCACATGCGCTAGGCGCAGATAGGAGAGGTAGGAGTATATTACGTTTAATGCACTTGGGGGTTTAGGAGGAGCGGAGAAAAATTTGCCAACTCAGAGAAGCGATTCACCAAGCGAACACCGAACGAGCGAGCAGCCAACGGCCACCGTCTGGCGCAGGGACTCGGGGTCGCCCAGCGCAGGGTTGACCTCGACAAGATCAAGGGACACCAGGCATCCGGTCTCGGCGACAGCTTCGCAGATATAATGGCCCTCACGGAAGGTCAGGCCGCCGCGCACGGGGGTTCCCGTAGCAGGCGCAACCGACGGGTCGAGGGCATCGACGTCGAAGCTCATGTGTACCGGCAGCGTCCGGTCCTTGTTGACGTGGTCCAGCGCCATCTCGACGACCTTGCCGATACCGTGACGGTCGACATCGTGCATGCTGAAGGCCTTGATGTTGTGCTTGCGCAGAATTGCCTTCTCAGTAGCATCGACGTCGCGCAGGCCAATGTAGACGAGGCGGTCCTTACGGATGCACGGCTTGATCCAGTCAAACGGACTCTCAGCATCGCAGATGCCGAGGACAAATGACAGCGGGCAGCCATGCAGGTTGCCAGACTCCGTCGTGTCAGGTGTGTTGATGTCCGCGTGCGCATCGACCCAGATCACGCACAGATCATCGCCATACACCGACGAGCTGCCCACCAGGGTGCCCATGCCGATCGAGTGGTCGCCGCCCAGAGTCACAGCAATGTTGCCCTTCTCGCACTGGGCGCGCACCTGCTCGGCGACGCGGCGTGCAGCCATCGACACATAGCGTGGGTTCTTCATCTTGCCGATAGGCGGATCATCGGCCGGCTTCATGGTCTGGTACTTGTCCATGCCATCGCTGAGCTCGATGTTGTAGCCCATGTCCTGGATCTGGTCGAGAACGCCAAAGCGCATCATTTCGACAGGTCCGTCGTCGACGCCGCCCTTGGGCTGCCCGCCGCTGAACGGCACGCATGTGATGCCCACGGTCTTGGGGTTCTTGAGGAACTTGGTGCGCGCAGCCATCAGGCTGGCATCAGTGGTGTTGTAGTCGACAGGAGCCATTATATGTGAAGAATTCAGTGGATGGGTAGAGTTCAGAGAAAGAAAGAGGTGTGCTTGAGTTTCTTGGATACCGGATGTCTAGCTGGGAGGGAGAGACGGTTTTTAAGTATTGGGCTTCTTGTAGTAGACGGCTGCTAGTGTTTGTTTAGGCAGGACTCAATAACGCTTTTGTTGGGGACAGAAGACCGTGCCGGCTTGTCGGAAGTTGCGACCAGAAAAATAAATGGACCGATACGTTGCGACCTGGTTGGCGGGGAAGATGCTCGGCAGAGGGGGGAAGGAACTGACGACAGACTTACCGTTTCAAAAGAAATATGAAGAGAGATGCTGCGCTGCTGTGTTTTGCGATGAAACGAGGTTTGGAGCGGGCAGGCTACCCCCCTTTTATACTTTTCAGGGATGGGCACATCACAGTCGTGCCAGCCGCACACACACGCATGTAGCTGGGCAGAGCGTGTGGGAACAAAATGCCAATTTGCGCACCTGCCGCTGAATGACCACCAGCCAATTATAGTGGTGTTTCCCCTGTGCCACGTGAACTGCAGCCAATCAGAGACCAGAGATCACCCGTGATGCGGTTCGCACAAAATAGTTTCCCGCCTCCAGAGCCTACCGTGCTGGATAGTACTACGCCATGCACTGCGTTTTTGCCCGCCCAGCTCTTATCGATGTAGTCGCAAACTCGGAAATGCCGAAGCCACAGAATCGCACTGCACGTCACAATGGGGGCCCAGCCTACCTGCAGTAGAGATTGAAGGTGATTGCATTTGATACGGAAAAGTATAATCAGGAAGGAAGGGGTAGGATGATTAGCAATGACCTCATGCAGCAGCATACGTGGCACGCTCCATGGGAAGGCAAAAGCTCGGGCCTAAGCGCCGATCTTGGCGTTGTACGCTGCCAGCTCCTTGTCGAACTTGGCCTTGGCCTCCTTGGCCCGCAGCACATACGGCGCCTTCTCTGCATCAGACAGCGACCTCCACTGGGCCGCCACCGTCTTTGCCTGGGCGCTCATTTCAGTGATCCCCTGGACAGGCAGTGACTGCGACAACTTCTCAGAAGCATACACGATGTATGACGTTGGCGGGCGCTTAGGTGCGAACGGGTCCTTAAGCAGAGTCATCCGCGACCCCTTGCCCTCCTTGGCTACCGCTGCGTTGATACGGCGGCGGCGCTTGTTCTCAAGGTCAACCAGTTTGCGGTCCACTGTAGCCCACCATTGGCGCAGCTCCTGCTCGTACTTCTTCTTCAACTCGGTCTGCTGGACTTGGTATTTCTGCTTTTCAGCATCGCTCAGTGCCCGCCATCTCTGCGACGCCACGCGGGTGATCTCGGCTATGTTCACAACGTTGGACTGGTCCTTCTTCAGGTCAGCCGTCACTTCGTTGATGAAGATAGCAAACATGCGCGCTGGGCCCTTGGGCAGCTTCACCAGTGCCTTCTTCGAGCTGAGCTGCTCTACATGGGCGGTAGCATATCAGTCACCTGATTGAAACAGGGGTGCGCTCTCAGTGCACATTACGCAGGCTCTTAATCTCGGAGTTTGAACAAATTACTTACTCTCCAGAATTGCGGCCTTGGACGGCGGCCTGGGCTCCTTCTTTGCGGGCTTCTTCGCAGTTTTCTTCGCGGGCTTCTTCACAGCCTTCTTAGCTCCAGAACGCGTCGCACTAGCGCCAGGTTGCTGCCAAAGGGCCGACTGGCTGAATGCGCGCACTGACGGAACGAACGAGACCACACGCGAGGAAATGAGGTTACAGAACATGACTAGAGAGCAGTTTGTTAATAAAAAAGTTATGTGCAAGAGTAAATTGCGAAGAAGAAACACGCGTTGCTGCAGAAAACCTGCATGCTAGGCCAGACACACGCAGCAATTTAGTCACGTGTGCAGGATCGGCCTTGCTTGAAAATTTTTCGTAGCAAAAAACGAGCGCCAGCACACGTCTATTTTTTGACACGCTTCAGCCAATATTCAAGTTATTTGACACATTTCACACACTAAACATGGTCAAGCGGGAAGCAGGAGGCAAGGTTACAAAGCCCTCGAAAAAGACGCCAGTCAAGGCGGCTGTGAAGGCAGTAGCGGCTAAGACAAAGGTGCAGGCTGCAAAAGCCAAGGCTGCCGATGACATCGACGATATTTTTTCGTCGAAGCCTGCTGTTGCTGAAGCAGCTACTGTTCCGGCCAAGCCAACCGAACCCACACTGGCACCCGTCGTAAAGGATAAGAAGAAGAAGGCTGTCCAGGTCGTGGATGCCTCTGCTACAGCAAAGCCGATAGTGCCTCATCAGAAAAAACCGGCGGACGACCTCTTCGGCGACTCGCGTGGAGCCAACTCAAAATATACAGACGACGGCATGCGCGTCTTTTACATGGACGATCTGCACATTGGTGAGGGTGAGGGCGATACCGATCTGTGCCCCTTCGAGTGCGATTGCTGTTTCTAGTTGCAAAAAATAAAAAGAAATGCTAGTGGGGCTTCCGTGGATCGAACACGGTGCCTTATGAACTTCAGTCATACGCTCTCCCAGATGAGCTAAAGCCCCAGAAAGACACAGTCCAAGCTATTGTCCGCGCCAGTTCGTTAGAATTTGAAGAAAATAATAGCTACCTATTATATACACACAGTGGCTATGCCGCTCTCAACGGCGCTCTCATCAGGATACGTCTCCCAAACATTCACGCTGTGTGCTGTGCTTGATATCAGCGACATGCTAGAGATCAGACAGCCTCAATCGCCAGGTTTTATTTGGGAATCTATCTCCTGTGTGACTAGATGATATCCCTGAGCGACCTGTGCACTGACCCAACACTGCATTGCCATATGAAACCTGTGGACTTTGTATGAACACATGTTGTCACAGAATACCCGAAAGGGTAAGTGAGATGAACTGATTGATCGCACCTGCCTATTTCCAATCGCAATGTCCCTCATTGGGCTGGATCATGCTCTCTATAAAACATGTACAGCATATATTTATAGTTGCGACTCACAAAAGCTGCCGCTTGTAGTCAGAGTGCAGTTGGGCAGTCGAGGAAAACTGTATCTGTCCAACCAGGTACGTCTCGTTCGATTCCACCCCGTACGCCTTCTGGAGCCCGTCATCCCGCAGCTTCCAGAGCCACTGGTTGAGGTACTCCCCACGATCGAACAGGCATTTGTATGCTGGGTACGCGAGGACAATCCAGATACAGGCACTGCTGATGAATATGTCGAACGCCGTGTTCACAACACGAACAGTCTTGTTAAGCGGGTACCTCGGGAATGCAATGTGCAGTGCCGTGGTCTCGGCAATGAGCAGGAATGCAATGATGCACTGCGCAAGGTAGTTGCGGAACTCGTTGAACGAGGATGTGATTCTGCGAATCCGAATGGTGTAGTACAGAATAACTAGCCAGACCAGCCACACAATCGACAGACTTGCATACCGGAAGGCATCGCTGTAGTAGCAGAGCTGCAGCGACGGAATGAATGCGACTGTCAGGTCGTCACTAACTAGCTGGCCCGTGATGCAGTAGGAGAGAACAACCACTGCGATGATGATGATAGGCACAAGGACCGCCCACCCACGATATGGCTGCTTGCGATTGAATACCAGGTCAAGCGCATATGCACGCATTAGAATACAGCACGATGACACGTATACCAATGCCGCACGGCCCCAGATTGCCCACAGCTTGCATATCGTCCAGGAGCCGACAATATTGACGTGGCCGTTTGTTGGCAAGTCTGCCACAAACCAGAGCAGGCCTGTGATGTACATGACTGTGGCAAGCCGCACATTCTTTGCCCGGATAGGGTGGTAGCTGTAATTGAGCCAGCAATACAGCACCAGCAAGAGAGTCAGGCTGTAACAGCATATTCCGGCGATAATGATAGCTCTATCTCCGCTGCCCACAGGATCCAGGTGCAGCCTTAATGCAGTGGCCGTCTACAGAAACAGGCAAAGGTTTCCTCAGATAAGATGCCTGCACCTCCGTTCATTTCCATGCATGGCTCTGCCGACCCCTACCTGTATCCGCTGTTCGTCAGATAGCCGTGGCCCATGGTATATCCCGCTCTTCAAGAATGGCATAGAGGAGCAATAAAATGTAACAAGACTAGTGGGCAGGGGTTAGGGAGCTAGGGACTGTGCAAAGGAGAGGGGCAGCAGCAGTTTAATAAAGAGCCGATGGCAGGCGCTCCCAAGGTGCTGCACGGTCCTGCCTATCTCTCCCCAAAGTGGCAGGCAGCCTTAGCGGACCGCAGAAATCAATGCGACACTGCAATATTGCAGTTGCACATGAAGTCGCATGAGCTTATGCACAGCCTGGCGGTGTTGCAGGCAGCATACAGGTGCCTCATCTGCAAGCGGTGGTCTTCCGGCGATAGGAGGTGCAATGCGCATTGCAAATCGGTTTGCTTTTGTTTTTGCGTATCCGTGCGCCAGTATTGGACCAGGACCAAGACCATCTGTGTGCTACGCCATGATCTACATCGACGGAAGCTCTATCGGAATCCGTGTCAAAAGTTGTGGCCAGAGGTTGAGTCAGCAGAGACAAGAGGACAGCAGGCTCTCGCTGCGGCTGTTCGTGGGCAGTTTTCATGGGGCCATGGTGCCACTCCTCCATCCCAAAGAGCTGGAGGCTGCGATCTCATACCTGGCTGGTTTTCAGATATGCCGAGTGTGGTGTTGATGAGCCACACGCTCTTGCTGAGTGGGCACTTTGGAAAGACCATGTGCAAGACAGTAGTCCGGGCAATGATCATACTGACGACGGTGCACTGGACAAAGTAGCTGCAGAGCCCACTGAATAAGGAGACAATTCTGCGGATTCAGATTGTGTAGTGAGTGGTGTTAACCTTTGGGATCAAATGCATAGTTACGAGTTTATATGTAGAGTGAGTAAATGTAATATGAAAGACAGAGTGAAGAACATGAAATAGCCTGGCCAGCTTGGGATCCAATTTCATGTGGTTTGGGCGTTGGCATGGCGGCACAAGAGTAGTCTAGAGCTCCAATGTCAACACAGTGGACCCACTGCCAATTACCATGACTGGCAGACGACCATGGTCCGATTTTTTCCTACCCGACATGGCCGTTGCTGTTTAGTAGTCAGTGGTTATGCAAACAAAACACCTGTTTCTAGACTGTAGGTGTGCTGGCTGATTAATGGTGTGTCTACTGAGCAAAGTTGAATTGTATATTTAGAGAATGAAGTGTGTATCTAGAGATTGAGGAAGTCTATATGTGGCGTCTATATGAGCTGGTCAGAACTCGCTAATGTCGGGGTAAAAGTGAGCTGTGCGCACATGTTCGATCACCTTGATGGGGGTGTCGAAGAGCTGGCTGCAGCCTGAGCAAGGGCAGGTGTACATTGTGGCTGTGTGGTGCTGGCGCTAAAAAAGAACGAAATAAGAAACTGAGATAGATAGTAGTTGTGGATACTGCGAAAGCCGGCAAATGTTGCTGCGCATGTGCGAGCTTATAAAGCAGGCGGTGTACATAGCAGACATGCGGGCGATATATGTCTGCCCTGACACGTTGGGGCATACATAGTTGTCAGGGCTGCCACAGGCATCAGGGCTGTCATTTCTGGCCTCAAGAAGAATCGATCGAGAAAAAAAAAGTAGGCAGAGGCAAGGTGTCAGTTGCACACGTCTGCGGGGATGTCAACCCCACTAGCGCCCCCAACGATCCCGGGTAAAAAGGAGCCGGATCGGCTGGTGGCAAAACAAGAAAAAAGAACCATTGCGTTCATCCAGGATCGAACTGGAGACCTTATGCGTGTGAAGCATACGTGATAGCCGACTACACCATGAACGCCGTTCAGGACGGTTAACCGCCGATTTCTGATTCTCGCCTTTTAAAATCTGTACTCGAAAGAGTCCATCTCGTACCAATGGCAAATCCCCAATTGTCTCCCTTGCATCTGGGCTCCGACCGCGGCGTCCACACCAGCTGTCGGCATTAGGCAGAGGCTGCCGCGCTTCACACCCATTTCTATGCCAATACCGTGGCAATGACACCCAGTAGAAAACTGCAAGAGTGGTGGAATGTTCATTACGCGAGAAAATAAATTAAGCAGGTTAGTAGTCGTTTGTCTGTGTAGCGTCAGCGTCGCTGGCCCAAGTACTCAGAGGCACCAGTAGTCGAAGTGCCTGTGATTCCTATTTTTTACATGCCATTGTGATGCATCAGAAAATATCCTATGTTTTGTGACGTTTTGCAAGGCTAAGGCTCTAGGTCCTTATTTATATCACCAGCAGTTGTGCTTGTGGAGTTGCGTTCAGTTCAACTGCCATTTTCATTTTTTACTTTTAAGAGCTAAGTCAACAAATACCAACTAGCGAATCTAGCGTGGTTGACGGAAATGGTTGCAGTGAACCACCAGCAGAATTGCCACATGAGATCCCCCTCCCAGAGCGCACCGTCCACAGGGCATTATCGCATTACCTCCTGCTTGTGGGCACTCTCCGCCAAAAGCATGGCCCCGGCTATCTGCGGTGATGGCCAGCCTCACAACCATGAAGAAGAAGGAGGCAACTGAAGCAGCATGAGCAGAGGCAAGGAGGGGGGAAGATGTAGCCATCAAGAGCCTGAGCGACCTCACCGGCAGCCTTGCCCGCCTCCAGAAGGAATATGAGAAGCTGTTGGAGAAGGTGCTCCGCAGAAGTGTCAAAAAGCTTCAGAGGTTGAGCGACAATGAAAATGATTATCTAAAGCACCTCATCAACGAGCAGCTGAAAGCCCTATTTGATATCCAGGCGCTAGTTGCTCAGCTATACAGGATGAAAAATACTGTTGTCAGACGTCAAGGCACTATGTAGGAGCACAAAGTTCATATACCTGGTGAGAAGACTGCCGCTGAACTGGTGGGAGAGTGCAGAAAAGCTGTTTCGTCCATGTAAGAGCCTTGATGGTAATGCTAATGCGCCGGAGAGGTATGTGGATACATATGTGATGATAGAACTCAAGGTAGATACTTTGCTAAGGGATTCAAGGAGTGAGGTGAACAGAGTGATCCTTGATTTGTGGCAATCTGAGCCGAAAATAGGAGATGTCGGCAAACACTACATATCGCTGGTATCTATATCAATCTGTGGTTACCTATTGGGTGTTTTCCAAATAGCTACATTGTTGTAACACAGTTGACATGCAGAGAAATACTGTGGAAATATATCATTTATCTGCGGTTATCACTGTGACTATCATCGGGTTACTACTCGTTTACACTGCAGACATTCCGAGACCCTGTCCCTACAATGCCTCCGCCTAGAGTTTTGTTCTCCTTCTGGTCGCTTGCCTCCTTCATCATCTATATGCAATTAGGTCGGGGCAAAGTCGGGATTTGGACCCGGGAGAGCAGGCTCTTTGGCAAACACATTTGGTCAAGCACCGTGGGTAGTCCCTCAAACTGCAACCTATATGCAGAGTAGTCTATATTCTATTTTACAAAGTGTCGACGTGGATATAAAAGGAGATTGTTCTTCAGTGGGTAGCTACTGGTCGCTGTATAAAATCTTGACCCTTTTCATTCACGTTTATACGAATAGCTAACTATATAATAGATGCAACGTGTAGTTGGTATATTGTTGTTCAATTACATACAGAGGAGTGGCAGGAAGCTAGAAAAAATGGAGAGGTGAGCAAGTGCAAATATCATCAATCGGTGACCATCTGGGTGGGGGTGGATATTGGGGGAGCATCAGTATCTGCCAGGGTAGGCGGCACGACGGGGATCATTGAGACAGAGCGGCTGCGTGCCATACGTGCGCGCTCGCACAGACGATCGTAGTTGTCAACACGACGCACAAACAGGTCGTACAGCGAACAGCGCGTTAGGCCAAGGAAGCGGAAGGGTTTGTGGGCAGCGGCTCGGGCGAAGGCAGAGTAAAGGTGGTCGTCAGCGACGCCCAGAACGCCCAGCAGCTGGGCGAGCAGACGGCCGACAAGATCGCCCAGCGCCTCGGCCTGGATTTCGGCGACAGCGGCGTCTTGGCTAATGTGGCCACACCATAGGGCGACAGGGCCCTCGATCCTGGTGGCAATGTGCATGCGCAGCGCATGGCCGTTAATGCAGAAGGCGCGGGCGCACACGAAACCGTCGGGCGGAATGACCCAGCGCGGGAATTCGGCGGTCACGGCGTGCGGCTCGGGTGCATCGGCAGGGACTGCACCCCAGGCACTGATCTCCAGGCTGCCGAGCCGGACCGGACCAGCGGGCGGCGTGCCGGGCTCGTCCACGCTGGCTTCGACGCGCACGTCGGCGTATGAGGCGGTTGTAGTATCGGCGGGCATCATGGCGGAAAACAGAGGCACGTGCTCGGCACACAGCGCGCGGCGCCAGCCAGCGCAGTACTGGGGCTGGCCGGGCGCAGTGCCAGCAGGAGAGCCGGCCAGCAGTAGACACGGCAGGTGGTAGGCAGAGCCACTGCAGGCCACGGGGGCGCAGCAGTGGAACGACGCCCCCACGCGGCCACACAGCGAGCACAGTAGGTCGGCGCGGCTGGCATCCAGGCGGCCCTCGAAGCGCACCAGCGCAGCACCGGCAGCGCCTGGGCCGGTAACTGGGCTGCTGGCGCCGCTGTGGCTGGAACCTAGGGCGCTGATGGTGGTGGAGCGCGGGCCCCAGGCCCACGCCAGACACTCGACGTGCACCCACTGGCTGGCGGCGTGACCGGGCGCAGCATGCAGCAGCGGGACGAGGCGGCCCAGCTGCGCACTGTCGCCATGCAGGCTGCAGAGCATGCAGACACGGCGGTCGCCGGCCCAGGTGCTGAACTGGGTCTCCAGCGCGTCGATGGCGAAGCGGTCAAAGCGGACGTCGCTCTGGGTCAGGCTCAGCAGCATGTTGGCTGCCTCGGTCTCGGGTTCCTGCTTGACCGGCGCCGCAAAGCTGGCGACATGTGGGGCGCTGGGTGAGTCGCTGGCTGTGGGTATGGGGGGTGCGCACTTGGGCACTTGTTGCAGACACGCTGGCAGACAGACTGGATCGGTTTCAGGCTCACCGCCAGAGACCATCAGACAGCACGCCGGGCACACGTACGGCGCGTCCTCCAGCGTGAGCAGAGCGTCGTAGACGTGTGGCGTCAGGCGCGGGTCGCAGGCAGTGTGGATCCACACAGCGCAGACGTCGCAGCAAACCATATTGGCGCCGGCGGTTGTGCTGGCGTATGTGGCCACGCATTGTGGACAGACTTTGCCCTTTTCGATCTGTTGCGTGCAGAGCCCGCACAGGTTGAAGTCGCATCCCCATGCCACGCGCGCTGTCCACTCGGCCGCCGCCTTGCCGTCGGCCGGAGCGCCGTCGGCCATGGAAAATCCACACTCGCGGCAGGCCACGCACTGGTCGCACACCCACCGGCCATTCTCGCGTGCCAGCCCGGCCAGCCCGTCACGGTGCACCGCACGCTGGGCGCTACAGTGCGCGTGCATGCACGTACCGCATTGGTCGCACTGCAAAAGCTCCGGCGGCCGATCGTCCAGACACCCGGCGCACACGCGGCACGCCGGGCACAGAAACCGTGCCGCGTCGCGCACCAGCGGGCTGACGCAGAAGCCGTGGTACCGATCGCCGCATGCCTGGCACTCCAGCAGCGCCGAGCCGCTCGACCCACACTGCGTGCAGAGCGCAATACCCTGCAGCGCTGCGTCATCCGTCAGACACGGCAGGCGCGCAGCAATATCAGCGAAGGTCGCGCTGACAGCCGCAGCCATGCCGACCAGTTCGTCAGTAGCGCCCGGCGAGCCCCCAGGCGAACTCACAGGGACCGGCGGAACATCGGCGGGCTGGCGGTGTGCGCGGCGCTGGCGCAGCCAGACGTCCAGCGCACCGCCGATCCTGCGTCGCAGCAGCTGGCGGCGCTGGGCACGCAGGGCCTTTGCTTCGGCGTGTGGGCGCGCCAGGGCCTGGGCGCGCTCGCGGAAAAACGCCAGGGTGGCCTTGGTCTGCAGCGTCTGCTCGGCGTCGGGCACACGCGACAGCTTGGCGTGGCGCGACATGTCGGGGATGCTCTTGCGCTTGCGGCTGTGGGGCGTCAGGCGCTCGTCGCCGTGGGCCGCCAGCTGCACAAACATGGCCATCGACGACGCATGCGCTGTGGCCGAGATGGCGTCTGCTGCCGCCGCCGCCGCGCGCCGCTGCTTGACGCATCCCAGCGCCAGCCCGTGCTCCACGCGCTGCGCCAGCCCGTCCACCAGCGTGCTGTCCGGCTCCGACTCGCTGTCCGACGCTGCCCGGCTCGGCGCTGCGCGCGTACGGCTAATGCGCGCGCACAGCTCGCGTCGCAGCGCATCCAGCGTCACCTCGATTGTATCGCCGGTTCCGCCTGCCAATCGCTCGCCTAGCGCGCGGTTCGGGTCGTCCCTTGCAAACCGCACGCGGCAGGCCGTCCAGCCGTTGACCGCCACGCGACCCTCGGTGCTGGTCGGCGCCTTCTGTTTGGATCGGCTGGCCCGCCGTCCCACCTCCTCGTCGCCGTCTCTGCGGTGCTTGTGTGCGCGCGCCTGGGCTCGCATCACCCGGCACACTGCCGTGGCCCATGCCGACGGCGTCTCGAACTCTGCCCGCATGAACTCTCTGCCGTATGTGCCCACAAAGTCTGCTGGCACGGGCTCCCAGCTTGCCTCAAATGCCCCTGTTGCCGTGACTACTGCTGTGAACGGCCAGTTGTTGCACACCACCGTGTTTCCTGCTGTCAGCAGGCCCTCGTCCACCAGGTGCGAGATCAGGATCTTGCCGTTGGCCGGTAGCGATAGTACTCGCTTGGCCATTTCCCCTGTTGTGTCGCCCATTTTCTCGTCAACTGCTGGTCGATCGACCATTACCCGAAATCCACTGCGAATGAGACCAAAAATTCTCCCTCTAGTGTTTGGTATATGTGTGCGGGGGCCGTTCAACTGTTCTTCCGGAATGTGCTATTGTTGCGAATGCAGCGCGGAATAATAATAAAAATAGCCCAGGAATGCAGAAGCGTCTAGCTGAGACGATAGTATTGCTGCCAGGAGGGAATCGGAGCAGAGAGGCTAAATGTGCTGAATGCAAAGAGAATGTTTGGCTGTCAGTACCTCAAGAAAAAGTTTACCACAGCCAGCAGCCAGCTTACAAACAGCCTTTTTGGCCATTGGCTCTACTGCCAGTATCCCAGTCACGTGTGATTTTTAGCAGAAATCAGCGAGCGGACCCACGCTGCCAAGCGCTCCTAGTCGATTTTATGTCACCTGGACTGCGTCCAGCTCTTTCTTCTCTCTTGACCCTGAGTTTTTTCTTCCTCTATTTATTTTGCAACTCTTTCTCTTTTCCTACCAATGAGCTACTACGGTGGCCAAGACGATGTCGGCGGCTTCTACGCCCCCCGCGGCTACGGCGACAATGACGACGAGTCGCGCAACTCGAGAAACAACAACTACACCATGCCGGGCGCCGGCTACGGCGGGCCCTACGCTGGCCACGGGGAGGGCCCATCACAGGGCGGCTATGGTTCGCACGGTGGTCAGCCGGGACGCTACCAGGACAATGGCCCCTACCACGGGTCTTCCGGCAGCAATTCCAGCCAGCCTCAGGGCAATAGCCATGGCGGGCCTTATGGAAACGACGGCCCGGGCGGATACGGCAGCAGCTCTGGTCCCCGCCCTTCTCATGGCAGCCCTTATGGTGGGCCTGCGGGAAACGACGGCCCTGGCGGATATGGTGGCAACTCTGGTCCTCGCCCTCCCCAGGGCGGTAACAACCAGGGTGGTCCTTATGGTGGCCCTTCTGGAAACAGTGGTCCTGGTGGATACGGCGGCAACTCTGGCCCGCGTCCTTCCCATGATGGCCCCTCAGGAAACGACGGCCCTGGCGGATATGGCAACAACTCTGGTCCCCGTCCACCGCAGGGCGGCAACAACCAGGGTGGTCCGTATGGTGGTCCTCCAGGAAACGACGGCCCTGGTGGATATGGTAGCAACTCCGGTCCTCGCCCTCCCCAGGGCGGCAACAACCAAGGTGGTCCTTATGGCGGTCCCTCTGGAAACAGTGGTCCAGGCGGATACGGCGGCAACTCTGGCCCGCGTCCTTCCCATGATGGTCCTCCAAGAAACGATGGTCCTGGCGGATATGGCAACAACTCTGGTCCCCGTCCTCCGCAGGGCGGCAATAACCAGGGTGGTCCGTATGGCGGTCCTCCAGGAAACAGCGGTCCAGGCGGATATGGCAACAACTCCGGTCCCCGCCCTCCGCAGGGTGGCCCGTACGGCGGTGGCAATGGCAACCAGCGGCCGCCCCAGAACAACAGTGATGGACCGCCGCGCCCCCCAGGCCCGTCATCGAGCATGTACAATCCGTCGCAGGGTGGCCCACAGGGCCGTCCCCAAGGCGGCAACCAGGGCCGCCCGCAGGGAAGCGGCGGACCGCCTCGTCCCCCCGGGGGAGGTGGTGGAGGTGGTGGCGGCGGCGCGCCGGCTGATCCTCTGAGTGGTCTATTGGGCGGCGGCGGCGGCGGCCTGGATATGGCTGCACTGGCCCCGATGGCCATGGGACTGCTTGGTGGTGGTGGTAGCAAGGCTGGTGGTGGAGGTGGAGGTGGTGCTGGCGGACTTGGCGCGCTTGCAGCCTTTGCTCCCATGGCCATGGGGCTTCTGGGTGGTGGTGGCAACAAGTCTGGCGGCGGCGGTGGCGGCGGCGGCGGAGGGGCCGGCGGCCTGGGTCCTCTGCTCGGCATGGCCTCGTCATTCCTTGGTGGAGGCGGTGGAGGTGGTGGTGGCGGAGGCAAATCCGGTGGTGGTCAGAGCTCCTTCTTCTCCAAGATCCTGGGCAATGTCTTTGGTGGCGGTAGCCGCGACCTGGCCGGAATCCCGACCAGTGGGCTGCCTGCACACGAAGCGCAAAAGTTCTTTACTGAAATCTACCAACAGAAACGCGACCTCGCGCGCTACTCCGATGAGCAGCTGGGCGCGGCAGCCGCCGTCAAGGCCATCTCGCAGATGCAGTCCACAAATGCCTTGAATGTCGAGGATGAGCGCGATGAGGCGTCGCAGAAGCTGCTTGGCGCGGTCATGGGCGAGGCTGTCAACCTGCATCAGCGCCATGAGGACCAGGGTGGCAGTGCCGATAAGGAGGCGACTGCTACGGCCGCGGTGCAGACCGCTTTGGGCATTCTCGAGGAGGCCGGCAAGGAGCCGCATGGCCGTCGGGCGTCGGGTGGAAACAGCGGGGGAGGCTATGGCGGGCAGTATGGCGGCTATGGCGGCTATGACAACTCGTCTGGTGGATATGGTGGTCCGGGCGGATATGATGGTCCGGGGGGCTTCAGCGCTCCTGGTGGCTTCAGTGCTGCTCCGGCTGGTTTCAGCGCGCCTGGGTATAGCAACCCTGGCGGTTACCACAACTACTGAACACAGCGCTTACTTTATTGGGTGTGGTTGATGGATAAATAAATAATTTACTTTAAGAAACACCTCTTGCGGGGGCTTCTTTGTTGCCGGAGTGGCGCCAAAAGCATTGGCAGCAATGGCCGTAGAGCGACGGAACCGTTCAGGAATACTGCCTGAATCACAGTGACTGGAAAATGAGCCTGAAGTTTAGAACTGCTGCGAGATCGTGGTTCAAGAGCCGAGACGAATAGGCCCGCCTGTATTGTGCCATGGCCCGCTTACATGACTCGCTTGTACAGCGGAGAAGGCCATGGCACTTCACAGTTGGGTTCTTCGATCTCTGGTAGGGCCGCGGGTTAGGAACATGCCGGAATGTCTGCAGCGACTTTTCGCAGCAGAATGGGCACATCGACGATGTCCGGAATTCGTCGATCAGATAGACCTCAAAGCCATGGTGCTTGAACTTGTCGTGCCATCCCTTGCCACGAATCGGCGCATGGCGCCGGGCCATCGCCGCACTCCAATTGCCCATGATCAGCACTGGATCTGAGCCGAACCTGCTCCGGAGTTTTGCGGCAAGCCAGCGATTCCAAGTCTGAGCACCAAGGATGTGGAAATTGAGTGATTCGTTTATTGAACTGCTGGACCTGCAAAATGCGAAGGAGCTATGATGAATAGCGCTTAAAAATTGAACCCGGAACCATATATCAATGGGTGCAATTAAGACATGTTTGACACCTTACGATCTGGATCCATCGACCAAAAAAAAATAGTGCTTCTAGGAGTCCACAGAGCGAGTCACGCATACTCGTTTTGAGGCTCAAAAGAGCGCAAGTCTTTTCAGCCGATCAAAAACGTTCTAAGGAGCGGTCGGACACTTTTGGACTATAAAATTGTCTGTAGAGGTAGTCGATAGTCCAACAACTGTAATAATAGCTAGACTGCCCAGACATTTGTGCTTACTGGTGCGGGGCATGCAGCCCTTGGTGCAGTTTCAGGGGGAAAAATACGATTGCAAGAGAGTAAGGAAGCTTTTACGATAGTTACTTGTTCTCGTAGGCCAGGAATTCGTCCAGATAGGTTTTGGTAGCAGGCGCACGGTTCTTTGGACGGCGACCACGTGCCGGCTTTCCAGGCAGCTTGCGCGACATCCCATCCACAGACGACGGCGGCTCGACGCTGCTTGCACGACTGCTGTACCCGGTCGTGCTCATGGCGGTATCGGCGTTCGGCGTCGCTTCATTGCTCGACGCCCTGCTAATGCCCGCCGAGATTTCATCGTCAGCCAGCAGGCGAGCAGGCGGCAATAATGCGCGCGAAACCTCACACTGGTCAATACTGGCCAGTTCCCGCTGCAGCCGTTCGAGCTCCTGGTCGGGCTCCTCACTGTCCATGTGCATGGCTATTTGGTCACAAATGTGCTCGCGGCGACGCACCTGCACCATATACGATTGCTCGAGCATCTGGCAGCGCCGGCGGATGCTGCCAGAGACGTAGTTTTGCAAAAGTTCGAGCTCCGAAAGCAGAGCCGAGTCGCGCTTGCCGCGCGGATCCAGCCATTTCTTGAGCTGGTCGAGCTGCGCCGTCGTCGCATAGTACCCCCACAGATCGTCATTGGGCGGCAGGGATTCTGAGGGATTCGGGAACGCGAGCCGCTGCAGCTGCTCGTCCTCGTCACAAATGACGTGCCGCCAGGCCGGTGGCAGCTCCAGGGCCCAGGTGTTGCGGGCAAAGCGCGGCAAACGCGCCAGTGCGTCGTTGCAGTCGTCCTTGGTAGCCGGCTGCACCAAAACGCGGCCGCAGCCGCCAGTCAGCGGGCAGCCGCCGACGCCGTCCAGGAAGTAGTACCGGGAGAAGAACCGGTCGCAGCCGATGGGTGTCAGGCGGCCGATGTTATGGCGACGTAGCTCACGCTCAATATGGTCCAGGCGTCTGGCGACCGTGCGTTCGCTTTCGCCGAGCCTTCGGCGCTCGCGCTGTCTCTGCTGTTCTTCTTCCTTCTCCTTGCGGCCAGTGGCGCGCGACACATTAGCACCAGGCGTAATCAGCAGGTCGGCGGCGTCGGCGCGGTCCAGATTGGCCAGGGATTCAGTGATTTTCTTGGCTTCGCGGCGCAGTTCCAGACGCTCGCGCTTTAATTCGGCAGTGACCTCGGAGCACTGGTCGAGGTAGTCGCGGATGCTCTCGTTGTTTGTACATTCGCCGACCAGGAGCTCCAAAAGTAAAAGGCGCTGCTCGGCAGTCAGAATCTGGTAGAGCTTGGATTCGAGATTGGTTGAGGTCAGGGAGTCGTCGGCCCACAGCTGCTCGTAGATGGCGGTTAGCTCCTGGTAGTCGTAGGCGGCTTCGTTGAGCCAGCCAATAAGCGTAGCGGCCCAGGTGCCTGAAGTGATCTTGGATGCAGCCCAGCTGCGCGATAAATGGCGAATTAGCGCGTGCGGGCGCATGGCAGTTAGATCGACGCTGGGCACATCAGTGCTCTGTTCATCAACATCCATCGTGGAGTCGTCGTCAACAGCGACATCCTCGGAATCGGAGACCACAGGTGTTGCCGGCTTGCTCTTTGGCGGGCGGCCGCGTTTGCGCTTCGGCTTGATCTCCTCCTCTTCCTCCTCCTCCTCCTCCTCTTCCTCACCCTCGTCGTCGCTGGGGTCGGTGGACGATGTGCCCATGGTCGAGCTGTACTGCAGGCGTGAGTGACGGGTGCGGCGCGCAATGGCATTGTCGTCACCATTCTGGAGCTGTTGTGCAATGGTCTTGTTGGCGCGCAGTTTAGCTGAGCGCGAGCCGAGTCGGGACGCAGTGGGCGGCTTTTGGAGAGCCACCGGCTTCTCTAATTGCCTGACTGGCGGCTCCACGTGCTTGATTGGCTTGTCGACGTCCATGGCGTGCTCGTCAGTGCCGATTACAGTGGCGGCCACGGGCTCCTCGTCCTCCTGGTCAGACATGTTCTCGTTCTGGTATTCTACCATCAGTGATACCCGCGCCTCGACATTGCTTGGCAGCTGGGTGCGCTTTCTATCAGCAATGATCGAGTTCAGCAAGGCAATGGTGGTCTCACGGTACACGGTGCTGAAGCATGCAGTGGACGGATCCGGTGCTTGGCCGGGCTGCTCATGGACCAACGCGGTCTCAAAGTAGTCCAGCGGGTAGGGATCGAGGTTGAGCGGGGTGCTGAAGCAGCTGATGAACATGTATGTAGCCAGGGTGCGCGACACCAGTGCACTGGGCACTTGCCAGGTGGTAATGGGCACCGGCCAGCGCTGTAGCTCTTCGGGCTCCTCGGCATTGCCCTGGGGGAAGAAGTCGGTAATTTTCTGCTTCTTTTTCTCAACCCTGTCGCGCAATGCCCACAAAAGGCCTGCGCGATTCTTGATGTGGTTGTACTGGATAAAGTCGAGGTCCTCGATCGGCAGGCGGCGGAACGGCTTGACCAAGAGTTGGCGTTCGTCGGGATGCGGATCCGCCTCGGTGTTGAGCAGCTGCGCAATAGCCACGCGGGCCGGCTCGGGCGCTGGTGGTGGCGGACGCGCGGCAGGTCCGCGCAATAGCAGCGCCTGGCCACGGTACATGTACGGGATGCGGAAACGCTCGCGCCACGTAAACCTGATAATCCATGGAGAGCCGGGCCGTGAGCCGCGCAAAGTATGGGCATCCAAGAACTGGCGCAGGGCGACCTTGGTGAAGACATTGCGGGAACGGCTCAGCTCGCTGGCGGGCACTGTGATGTCGCTGTCGTCGATAGGCATCCCATCCATGTCAAACAGGCGCACAGTAAACAGCCTCTGCATGCGGCCATCCATGTTTATGATTTCGGGCGCCGAGTCGCCCAGCCGCTCAATGGCGATTTGCGCGCCGGTCTGCGTCTCCGCAGACATTGCGTGCGGCAGCGCGCCAATACCGACTACCACGCACTCATACATGGCGCCCTGCGTATCCGGGTACTTGACGTCCAGGTGCTCGCCCAGGAAGAAATCGTACAGAAAACGGTAATACAGGGCGTCGATGGCTTGCGAGATCGGCAGGCGCGACTGGCTGATAAATAGGAGCATTTCGCAGATCAGCGCGTCGGAGAAGCCGATGCCCGTGGTGCGGTGGTAGGAGGCGCGTTCGGATAACAAGGCCTGCTCGTATGTCAGCCCGGACTGGCCCGACGCAGAGCACGTCCAGATGGTGCGGCGGTACAGCGCCATGCGCTCCAGGTACTTGTCGTAGTCGTCAAAGAGCTCGTCGGTGAACCGGATCTGCCACCCTTGCGGCCGCGACGCCGTGCTGTCCACTGCTGGCGGCGGGACGCGCTCTATGGGCTTTCCATCCAGGAGCGGCATGGATAATGAAAAATATAGCGTGATTGATAAAAAAAATTTTCTTTTTGGCAAAAGTGGAGGAGAAGTACTCAAAAAAACGCGAACGTCAACATGTCGGACGTGTTGGTGATCAAGCCTCCCTCCCCGCATATGGGCTTTCTGCGATGCTCGCCCCGATTGCGTTTTCCTTTGAGTGGATGACACTCACGCGTACGCTGCAGAAAAGACTTATCTGCGTGTCCTTGTAGAACGTCCTGAGTCCTCCCCTGGAGAGCCCACAAGTCCCAAAGGGGCGGATGCGTGCTGCGTACTTTTTCTTCGCACTCTGCCTCAGCAGCGGCGAGACCCCACTGCGCAAAAACCAAAAAAGGACCCATTTTGATCAATTTGATCAAGTGCCTATGCTGGCAACGGCTGCTGGACCAGCTTTGACACACCTAACATGATGCATTTTTAGAACTATCACCACGCAATGTGCATACGCGCTATTCCTCCTTGGCTGGCATCTCTTTCTAGCTACTATTCTTTTCTCGTACACTTTTCTACACTACAGGAATTAAAAACGTAAATGTCCGAAGGTCTGTCGAGAAGACGAGTTGCACCTGTGCGCGAAGCCGATGATGAGAGACGCGCAGGGACAACAGCCAATTCGCCGTCACCGAATCCGGCAGCAGATGAGGGCAAAAGCGACAAGGCGCCGCTCCTGACACTAATGGAGGAGACGCTTCTCCTGGGGCTGAAGGACCAAGAGGGCTACTTGTCGTTCTGGAACGACTCTCTGTCATACGTGCTGCGCGGCTGCATGCTGATGGAGCTGGCACTGCGGCGGCGGATCCGCATCAGCAAGGATGCGTTCACAGGCATGACAAGCCTGAGCGATCGCCCCCTGGAGATTATCTCAACGCGGCCCACAGGCGAAGTCCTCCTGGACGAAGCGCTGCGGGCAATGAAGGGCAGTGAAATGCCGCGCAGCGTCTCCTCCTGGATGGACCTGCTGAGCGGCGAGACGTGGAATATCGCCAAGGCCGGGTACCAATTGAAGCAGGTGCGCGAGCGCCTGGCTAAGGGGCTGGTGGACAAGGGCGTGCTGCGCACCGAGAAGCGTAATTTCCTGTTCTTTGACATGGCTACGCATCCGGTGCAGGACGGGCGCGCCAAGGACGAGGTCATTGTAAGGGTGTTCGATACGCTGAATTTGCCGCGTGCTGCCGCCATGCCGACACGCTCGCAGCGGGCGTCGGGCACGGCCTCGCCGGTAAACGGCAGTGCGTACAGAGCCTATGGCGTCGGGCAGGGCATCAGCGGGCAGACCGGACGACTGAAGATGGCCGGCGTGGCCAACTCCCGGTACTATAAGGGCGAGGAGGAGCGCCGGTTTGCACTGCTGAGACGTGTCTGTCTGGTGAGTGCAGCGTGCGCGGGCAGTGTGCTGGAGAACCCGCTGACGCACATGGACATGGAGACGCGCGATCGCGCGGTGGCTCGCGCCGAGGACCTGATGGACGTCTACGGGCACTGGCCGTTCAAGAAGGACTCGCCGCTGTACTCGCCCGAAGTCGACTCGGGTGAGGCCGGCGACCTGATGGTCCAGGAGGTCGTGGCTGCGGTCATCTGTGTGCTGAGGAAAATGGACAAGCTGATCTAATTTCTTCTCGATTCTTTTTTACAACCTTTAAAGCTTGCGCGACAGATCCGCGTAGAACTGCACCACGCGCGGGTGCGCCATGATGCACTGCGGGGAGAAATTCAGCACCTGCAGGGACTCCAGGCCGATGGCGCGGCTCAGTGCCACATACGCCTGACCCTTCTCAAAGATCTTGCCCAGGTCCACCAGCACCCGGTCGATGGTCTGCCCCTGGCTCTTATGTATCGACAGTGCCCACGCCAGAATCAACGGCAGCTGCGTGCGCCTGAATCTATGTCCGCCAGCCTCTACCTCGCTAGCCTCCGGCACAATGGTCATCTGCACGCCGGTCGTGAACCTGACCACCGGGTACTCGCGCACCCCCACCATTTCAAACCCCTTGACCACCCCGCGGCTGCCGTTAACCAGGCCTTGCTCCGGCATATTCTTGATCAGCATCACCTGCGCCCCCTGCTTGATCTCAAGCGTCCGCGGTGCCATCACCACTGCATCGATCTTCTTGCGCATCTCATCCTCCACCCGCATGCTCTCGCGGCCGCGCTGCGTGAAATTATCCGTGCTATGGAACACGGTTTTCTTGCCCTCCAGGGACTCGAGCCGCCGCAGGTTGGCCGTCTCCACCTGATTGCGTAGTGCGTAGAGCTCGGTTGCCTCGATGCCGTCGTTTGGGTAGCTGGGTTTGCGGGCGAGCGCGCGGAACTGCGCAAGGGTCTGGTCAGAGAGCCGTCCGAGCCGCATTTCATTGAGCATATCGACGAACCGCATGTCCTTTTGCCTGAACACATGTGTCAAAACAATGGTATTTTCAATCTGCTGCCACGCCTTGGATTCGAACGCGAATCCGGCCTGGCTGCTGCGGTCGACCGGCGGCAGTTGGTAGAAATCGCCGGTTATGACTAGCTGGATGCCGCCAAAGAACGCGGTGGATTTGCGCACGCGCCTGGCAATAAACTCCAGGGCATCGAATAGCGCCGCATCGAGCATCGACACTTCGTCAATAATCAGAACCCTGACCTTGTTCCACCGCATAATGGCATTCCGACTCTTTAGCACAAAATTCAGTAACGACTGCATCGTGCCCTTGCCGTAGCCGACGCCAGCAAAGCTGTGGATTGTGCGGCCGCCGATATGGAATGCTGCAATGCCTGTTGACGCTGTCACTTGGATTTCGTCTGGAGGCAAGAGCAGCTGGTTCTGGAACGCATTGATGATTTCTCGCATCAGTACTGATTTGCCCGTGCCGGCCGAGCCCGTGATGAACACCGAGGAACGCTGGTTCACTGCCATATTGAAGGCTTCCAGCTGCTTTGCTGACAAACTCACAGAACTCGATGGTTGGATGTCGTCAACTGGAATTGTTGGCTGGCTCATACGAGCCGACACCACCGAGCTGAATAAATCAGATTTCTGCACACGCGCCGGCTGCGATCGGGACTGGCCGAAATACTGGCTTTTAGTGGGCTCGACTGTTGCTGGCCGCGAATACGGCGTCGCGCGTGCTTTGTTGCTGTGTACTGAGCGCGTTTCGACCAGTGTCGAGGTCTTTGATCCCGACGTGGACTTTTTGCTGAACGCCAATGTCGTCTGCTTCTTTTTGCTGTTCTGCGTAAACATATTTTAGATTATTTTTAAGCAACTGGAGAAGAAAAGGGCTCAGGAGTTTTTTTTTTTGAGCAGTTACTGAAGCCCGACTATAACGCGTACGCGGTGCGTTCGGTGGGAAAAAATCGCAAATTTGATTCTTGGTTGATCATTTTTGTGCATTTTCAGGTTGCTGCGCCTAAGCCACATTTGCTTCTCCATGCTGCTGCGGTTGCTGAGGTGGCATGGGCGACACATGGCGAGCGCTCAGTTCCCATCTCCCTTCTCTTTCCACTGAAATGATTTTGTGCTATATACTTCATGGTGTAACAAGGTCCCCACACACGGAGGTCCTTGGCCAACAAGCATTGTTTTATTCCATTTCAAGATCCCTTGAACGCGAAGCATAGGCACGGATCACCTTCCACCACATCATTGAAGGCATCATCTCGTACATGGGTGATATTGATAGACTATCGCCTGGGCTTCAGGACTGCCTTGGAATTCCGAATATGCCCTGTACACTATCCTCACTGATGGGTCTCTACCGAGAGTGGTGGTGTGTTGTCAATGCATTCATTTACGAGTCTACCCGTATCTCCGTCAGCATGAATAGCTTTTTTTACCGGGTTTAAAAATTTGTAGTCCCTTGAGGATATCGCTGCGACCAGACACGAGCGGTATGTCCACAACCTGATGCTTGTCTGCTATATCGAAGATATCACCAATGGAACCGTGTGCTTACCAGTTGACTTTGTTCACTCAGTGCAAGGGGAAGCCCAGGAAAGTCCAAATGGTTTCGCTTTATATCTCTGTTGATTCTACACATATTTTCCTCCATACATGCCGATAAGCACTCATTTGTCTGATTGTTAACACCAAGAACCGCTGGATCCTAAGGCAGGCAACAAAGTAGCGGCAGGAATCTGCGCTGGCTGTATGACAAACCGAGCAGCTGCTGTCGCCTTCTGGAATGAATTGCCCCAGCTGTGCGACTGTGGTGACCGCTTTATGGCGAATGCTCCGGAGGCAAGATGTGTTTGAGCTCCAGCTTGGTTTCCTGGAGTCCCCTCTAACACGGATCTGGATTGGGGAGGCCTGAGGACTGATTCGGCAGCGCAACTCCAGCAGGGATTACACTTCTTTATTGATCGAAGAGGTGGCCAAACCATCGTTGAAGTGTGAACAAGTGTGCTCGGGTTGATCTGTGCTGCATATTAGTGAATCTAATAAAACTTCGATTGTTGTTATTGTGATTGGCTGGGGACTAGACGAAATTGTTTATTGCTTGGAAAGGCGCAGCAACTACAGTCGCTCTACCCTATCGTCTGCATTCCGCATTTTACATACTTTCTGCATTTTACCCAAATCCCTCAATGACTAAACCTGTCAGAAAACGCCCAGCTGAAGGAAATAGCGAGTGGGATTTGATGGCCCTCTCTCCAGCAAAAAAATCCAAGGGAAAGTCGAAGCCGAAGCATAAGGCAAAGGCAAAGTCTAGCAAGGGCTCGCACAGCCAGTCAACTCTATCACTGTCAGGTATTGGGTTTAGTCCAGTAAAGGTGCGCACGACGTCTGGGCGTAATACATCGAACGCGAGTTCGAACTCTAAGAAGGAGAACACCCAGCGCAGGGCTGAGTCGAAGCTCATCCACACGGAGGATCTTCGTCTTGATATCCCCGGCCTGGTCAACATCGCGAAGCCGCGCAACAAGCAAACGCTGAATATCGCCACAGCGATTAGTGATGAGGCTGCCGATGCGATCGAGGCTACGGTCACGGGCAAAGATTCTGGAAGCAAAAATATCCGTGAGTGGGCTGCGTGGAACCCCGACGATAAACGGTTAGAACGTGAAATGGAGCCGATGTTTGACGACTATGTAAAGGCTGTTGCACGTCACATCCAGAAGCATCTTGACGGGCTCCCCGGCGACCAACGCGAGTCTGTTGGCTTGACGGCACGACTGTTGCTTCCGAGCGATAACCATGATTTTTCGCCAGATGAGGCGGATACAGGACTGCGTATTGATGGCGCATTAGGAATCGTTGACGTCGACAGCGATATCGACAACCTCGACATTCAGAGCTTTGCTGAGATATTTGCCGTCGCAGAGTTCAAAGTCTGTCCTTCATTGACCCGGGATGCGCTGGTGCAAAATATCGACTACACCCGAGACATATTTGCATACCAGCAGAACCGCCGGTTTGCATGGGGGCTGACTGGATGTGGCAGCGAGGTCCGGGTGGCTCTTTTCTTACCCGATTTCATTCTGGTGTCACCTGTGATGCACCTATCGACGCCAGAGGGACGGCGTTCGTTCGTTGAGCTGCTGGTATATTGGTCACTGTGCGAGAGAGACCAGCTTGGCTACGACACATCCATGCGGTACATTGCCGAATCGCGTTGCTGGGAATTTGACTGCTACGATCGTGCGAGCCAGGAAACCACACATCTATATTCGAATGCAGTTATCGCGAACGCCAGCAGCGTCCTTGGCAGACATACGCGCTGCTTCGTTGCATTCCCAACTATCGAGATGGCGACTACAGTACCAATTGATATTCACAGCACCGAGGCAGTCGTTATTAAGGACGCGTGGGCACTATCAGCTACCGGCGACTCTGAGTCGGATGATCGAAATGAGGCGAAGCATCTGGAGCATATTCGCGACACGTTCGGCGGCAAGAACTTGGAGTTCCCCTATGTATATTCTGCAGTGTGTGGCGATGTCATGCTCCATATTGGTGAGAGGTCTACAGTCGACAGCAGCGACAATATCCTGAGCGCACTTACGGACGAATCGCGATCGATGTGCATTGGACAGGACGAGACGACGCTTCCCTGCCGGATCCACCGCCGTTTGTGCCAGAAGCCTGTCGGCGAGCCCCTGCGGAGTACCAAAAGCGAAGTCGAGTTGATATGCGTGCTATACGATGCAATGAAATGCCACACAGCGCTGGTAGAGGACTGCAAGCTGCTGCACCGGGATATCTCGACCAACAACATACTTGTTGTCCGTCAGAACGGCAAGGCACGCGGCCTTCTCATTGATTTTGACAACGCTGTGAGGCTCGATGTCCAAAAGGGCGATAGCCGCAGAGTACGTACTGGCACGCTTCCGTTCATGAGCCTCAACAATCTCAGGGGTGTCAAGCACGAGTGCACGGCTCTGGACGACTGGGAATCACTTCTTTATCTCGTCTGCTGGCTGGGGACTTTTGGTATTAATAGCGACGACCGGATGTCTGAAGAAGACTCGCGGGACTTTCCTATCAACAGCTGGCGCTATGGCAAAAGTATGGATGAAATTGGACGCGCTAAAGGTAACCATATGCATTCTGCGGACAATTTCTCGACCGAAATCCTCGTTAACTTCCAGCCTGAGTACAAGTTCCTAAAAGGCCTAGCTGTAAGGCTTCACAGGATCATTTTTCTTCACGAAGGCTGTGCAGGTGCTAAGGTGGTGAACATCTATATCGATCCATTTAGCGATGTAATCCTCTCAAAAGGTGTGGATCCTTTGGCGGAGCGGGTGAAGTACGAGAATGAGATTTTAGAGGGGTTGCGTAGCATGATGGATGTTGTGCACACATTCTTAACCAAGGATAGGTGACGATTTTTTTTGTAAATGAATTTTAAATGCATGCTACTACCATACTTCAATCAAAGACGACCTCAAATAGTCCCCCTTACTACGACGGAGGCATAGAGTGCACTAGCAGCTGTTATGGCTGGTATACAAGTCGATGGCATTACCCGCCACAAGCTGAAAGAGCATGAAAGCATAAAAAGCCAAGCCAGTTTTGGGACCGATCTCATCTTGAGCCCAGTGAATAGAGGGCAAGAAACGAGTGTAAATTGGCGAGCCTGGTTGAGAGGTTTGCTGCCTACGTGGTGGTGGTGGTGTTGCATGTGTTGAGTTTGTGGCCGATCTGCAAGGCGCTACGGGCAAAAAAGGAAGGCGAGCCACGCGCTGTTTTGGCTCGGTGATGGGCCATAAATCACGCTTGGCAAGCCAGCGCGGAGAAGCTAGCAGTCAACAGAGCTGCAGTAATGCTTCACACACCAGCTCTTCATTTCTCTACACTTTCTTCTGCAGCTCCTCCATTTTGTGACGAGTCCAATTCCACCCATTTTATTTCTGGCCTCATTTACATTCTTATTTATTCCAAAGCGCCTGATTCCCAGCGCCCTCGCCTGTCCCTCTAGTGTATAATATTCTATTTTATTTAATGCGGCATGTCTCACACACAAAACAAAGGTCAGACAGACGCGCGTGCACCGTCGGAGCTCTACACAGTGCTGCAGGCACAGCTGGCGCGCAAACCTGCCGATGAAGGATTGCGCATAGTCGCAGTGTCGCTAATGGCAGCACACAGAGTTCTGGGCGAGATACCGTCAGTAGAGCGGCGGCGAGCAATGGCAGAGCACTTTGCACACACGCTACTGCTGCTGACGCTAAACTGTAACAGGCGATTACGTGCATTGGCGTTTTTCGGAGCACTGGCGCTGGTCGCATGGAATGCCGATGCAGGGCGAACGCGTGTGGCCAGCGTACTGCCTGCGAGTATTCGGGCAGAGCGTGAGCGGTTCGGGCGACTCTTGCGGGCGCATTTGCGGCTGGCAAGTGGGCGGCGGGAAATGGTCTGCGAGATGTTTGAGGAGACAACCCAGTATAACAATGCTGTAGCGCCCATGGCCAGTGTCAATAGCGCTGTGTTTGTTCTAGACCACGTGCTGAAATCGTCAGCGATGACAAGGGCCTTTGCAATGGCGCCACCAGGCGAATTACCGTCGTGGCACGCACCCAGCGACCTGGTGGAGGATGATGACGAGCATGGCAAGGACTGCGCCTGCGATCCGCTTATTTTTGTGCAGGGCATGGCTGATACGTTGGCTGCGCGTGCAGACGAACTGGGTGTGTCCATCTCGTTCTCTCTTCCCGGCGTGGCAGGGCCGGTACAGGAAATGGTCAACGTGGTGTTTGAGAAAGTCGACTCCGAGAAGATTGTTGAGTACGGTGGCTGTTTGCTGTCGGCGCAGTCAATTGTCCCTGCACGCCATGTGCTTCTGGAGACTGCGTCTATACTGCTTGAGCACTACCTGCAGAAGGGTGATGTGGTGAGGCTTACATTGCGCTCAACAGCTAGCGGCCAGGCAGCTGTGTATGTGACGTGCCGACGGTCTCGTTTGGTGGCCAGCGGCGGGAAGCGCCGATGGGCAGATTTTGAGCTGGATGAGATTCGGGCGCTGACGCAGTATGTGTATCCAGGTAAATTAGACTGCGAGACTCGGTGGCTGGTGACAGAGCGCGCAGAAAAGGCTCGTGAGTTTGGCGGTCAGACGATCTCGGGGCACTCGGTTCGAGCCATTCTGCCGTCGGAGGCTTATCAGAAGGGTGCCGATAGTGACTGGCTATTTGTGCGAACAGTGTTGCATAACGCGCTTGGTCCTCGCACGTCTGCAGCTTTGGAGCCAAGCAATGGCGATCAGTCGCAAAGACAGGACCAGCTTCAGCTCGCCGTGCCCTTGGTCGAGGTCAACAGCCGGCTGGTGCTTGATGCCCCGCTTGGCTATTCCCCATCACTGCCCGAGTTCCGTAACATGCTGCATAGCGCCCGTATAATTCTCCGCACACCTACCCATGCCATGAAGTTACCGAGCCGTGCAGCCAGCAAACCCGATGCGGGTGCGTTGCAGCCAGGAGAGAGTACACACATCGAGGAGTCGATACTGTTCCTCAATGCTCTCGAGCAGTACTTGACGAACACAGCAGGCTGCCAGGTAGACCGACTGGCGATGGGCTTCCCGATCCGGCTGCCAACCACTCCTGGTTCAATCAAGCACCCCGTAGCACAGAAGCCGCCAGCATATGTGCTGATCGACGACGACATGGATGCGCTAAAGTCAGAGTTCGAGGCGCTACGCGGCACACTGACATTTACGTCGTCAGCCAAGTCGGCACGCGGCAGTCCGTTTGACGAAAACATGCCAGAAATCCCCGAGATGCGCTCGCCAGCGAGCAGCTTCAGACGGCGCGGAGCACTTTTCACTGCCACCTTGGCTATAATCGTGTTTGTGCCTATTTCGCGTGTGATCAAGTACCGGGAGTATGTGCATGAGCTGGAGGCTGTTCCGCACCCACTGCCACCGCCAATTATCAAAATTGTTCCAAAGCCTGTCAGTGAGGGGCGGCTGCTGGGCAGCCTGCGCATGGCATGGGAGTCACATCGGCTGGAGAGACACAACCTGGCACGGCTTGGTAACAGTCCGTCAGGAAGTGTGCACTCGGCCATGGTGCCGACGGTATCGCAGATATTCTCTCCCAATATGGCTGCGCTGGACAAGCAGTTGCTCCAGAAGCAGCACTATCACAACCACCAGCAACAGCAGCAGCAGCAGCAGGTATCACGCAACCACCAGCGGCACCAGTCAGAGTACCACATGCAGATCAGCCAGCCGCAGGCAATGCGGCCGCGCCATGATGAGGACGCCGGCACACCAAAGAGTGCGGGAAGCGACATCATGTACAAGAGCCTGCGCACAATGTCAGAGTCACCGGAAATCCCTGTGCTTCCAGAGCGCACAGCGTCAATGCCAGTCGAAGACAGCGGAAACCCGGATGTGTCGCCAATCATTCCCACCACGATCGATCTATCGACGATGGGTGGCCTGAGTATTCCCCCTGCTAGTGCGGATACCACAGCCAAGGCTCAAACCGACGCTGACACGGCTAATGCTGGTGGTGGCAATAGTGCGGCCGATGATTCGCCGGACGAGCAGGTACCTGGAGGCATCGATCGGGTATCAACCTCGAGCACGATGGCGCAGATGATTGCGAATCTGGCGGTTCAGGACAGTAAAGGAGGGCTGGCGCTCGATATTGGGAGCGCAAACAAGCAACAGGCCTTGAGGCGGATCAAAGACCGGCCGGCCAGCATTAGTGTGGCATGCTCAGAATCCGACGATGCTGCCTCGCCGATTAGTCCACTGATCCAGTTTGATCCGAACATGCCAGAGTCGATGCGGCACAGCGTTGCATCGGTGCAGACAAATACTAGTGCTGACTTGCACACAATTAGCTCGGCTGACACTTCGGATCGCCGGCCGGTCTCGCTGTCTCAGTCCCTGGAAGAGTCTGACGTACAGTCGTTTGCCACAGGCAGCGAATCAAAGGGGGAGAGCGTGCCCGAGGTGAATGTCGAGCCAGCAGTACCAAAGGTGGCCAAGGAGACTGAGGAGGTCCAGGCTGACGCTGACAGCATGGTGGCACGGTCAATCAGCGCTGGTGACGACGCCAGCAGTACTTTGGCGCCCGATTCGGTAAGCGCAGAGAAAGGGCTATCGAGGGCACGGTCGAAGCTGCGGCAGAAGCTGGCGATGTTTAACCGCGCCAAGAGCAAGCTGAGGGAGCTGAAGGAGAGCGGCGGCCTAGTGTCGCCGCTCTTGCGTACGCCGAGCAAGGAGCCCGATGAGAAGGAGCTGGTGCCCCCGCCGACACCAGCCAAGTCAGATTTGCTGCGGATCCCGTCCCGGGCATCGATTGACCAGTCGAAGCCATTGCCCAAGCTGCCACCAGTAGGTGACAGTCTGGGTGGCGAGAAGAAGGGCGAAGTGGAGAAGAGCACGGTACCTGCTTCTGAGGCAGAGGCTGCCGGCAAACCGGCGGCGGTGAGCACAGCACCTGCTAACGTCCCTCCGGCAAAGGCTGGTGGCTCGGCGGCGGCACAGGACCGCAAGAGCAAGCTGCGTGCGCGGCTGCAGCGTGCCAGCATGAAGGCAGCAGAGGCAGCGGCTAAAAAGTCTGAGAAGGGTGAAAGCGTCCACGGCTCTGAAATTGACGACAGTGAGGTGGCATTGAAGCGTCTGACTGGGCCTAAGGCATACAAGTCGCTGACGCTACCGCCTCAGGCCATGGACAAGGACAAGGACAAGGATAAGGGCAAAGGAAAGGGCAAGGGCAGGCACGCCGAGCATGCAAAGCTGGGGCTGTTCAATGAGCTGGGATCGCAGGTGTCGCCGCCAATCCGTGTGCTGCTGGTTGAAGATAACCTGATTAACCGTGGGATCATGGAGCGGTTCCTGCGGCACATGAATGTTTCGTACGACGTGGCATCGAACGGTGAGGAGGCGATCCGGATGTGGACGACAGCAGCCGAGGAGCTAGGGTCGCTGGGTCGCATGCCGATGATCGCTGGGCGTGGACCATACCACATTGTATTTATGGACATCCGCATGCCCATCATGGACGGCATTACGGCCACAAAGCGTATCCGCAGCTTGGAGCGCTCCAAGCGTATTGGTGTGTGGATGATGGGTGGCAGCTACTCGATGTCTGAGCGCCATATCCGCTGGGCGCCTGCGCATGCACGCAAGGCGGTTTCTGAACGCAATTCGCCGTATCTGTACGCGAATGGGCTTATGCGCGCTGTGCCATTGCTGCCGCCTGCACCACCGACACCCGAGGCCGTGCGCAAGAACCGGTCCATAGCCAGTCTGAAGAAGGCCAAGCTCAGCCGCTCCAGCCATACCAGCAGCACGTCGAGCCTGGTGATGCCGCAGGTCAAGATCAGGCAAGCATCGCCACATGTGACTGGGACCGACGATCAGCACTCCAGCGATGGGATGCTGTCGCCAGACCAGCCTGGCGGAAGCAGCAGCGGTGCGAGCCAGATCGCCATGTTCCCCGAATCGCTGCGTTCGAGCGAGAAGGAGAGCGGGGCGCCGAGGCTGGCGCCGGTTGCAGCACTGATGCGCGAGGTGGCGGGTGGCCAGCCGCTATCATCAGGAGCACTGACGCCGGGAGGAATCCGGTCGCCGGTCATTATTGTGGCATTGACAGCGTCGTCACTGCAGAGCGATAGAAGTGAGGCACTGGCGGCTGGGTGCAACGACTTTTTGACCAAGCCTGTGAGTCTGATCTGGCTGCGCAAGAAGATAATGGAGTGGGGATGCATGCAGGCGCTGATCGACCACGATCGGTGGAGGCTGTGGCGCCTGGAGCAAAACAACGAGGTCAACAAGGCTTGATATATGTGGTGTTTTACTAGGCTTTATAAATTACCATGTAAAGACGGGTAGCGGGTGCGCCTCGGTGTTGAACACGTAGTGAGTCAGTGGGACCACCGAGTCGTCGCTGAAAAGCAAGTACAGATACTTTAGTGTCTCCGACATGAAGAACGTCTCCATCTTGTCTTCGCGCGGTGGCGGAACCACTGTGACATCGTGCAAGGACGTGTACCCGCCCTCCTTGTACTTTGCCCACTTTTCGAAGGCCAGGAAGATGCGCCAACCATAGTCTCGCCACTTTTGCTCCCTTGTGATCCGCCACAGGATAAACAGCGACTCGACCGTCTCTGGCCGAAGCAAATTGTGACGGTCCGGTGCGTGCACCAGGATATCGCCATCGGGCAGTGTCAGCTGGTCGTCCTTGTCGAACGCCTTTTCCTTGTTGGTACGGCGGTCAGTCCATCTGAAGTAGGCAATTTCGGGGGCTAGCCCTGACTGGGTGTCGAAATACATGTGGGCGCAGGTCTCTGTCAGCTCGCGGGCCAGGATCAGATCCTCGCGGTCGCGCGCACTGAGGGACTGCGGCGGCAGATTAGCAAGCGAATGGCCGCTCGTAGCGCCCAGTGCAAGGTTGCCGCCCATGAAACACACGAGGTGGTCCATCTTGGGGCTGAACAGCGGGCCGTGCTTGAGGTTGGTCAGTTCGCCAATGAACGTCAGCTTCTGGTTGGGAGTCGTGTCGACCAGGTACTTTTTCACGCCCTCGATCGCGCTGTCGTACTCGCGTCTGAACTCGTTCTCGGTCTGGCGGGTCTGCAGGTGCTGCTTCAGCAGGTATTCGTAGTAGCTGTCGCCGCGTGAGCCAAGGCGGATGTCGTCGCCAGTAAAGTTCCCAGTGACGCCGTTGATGTAGATTGGCACAAGGTGGTCGTACTTGGGCGCCTTGAAGATGACAGACATGATGCGGTCGACCGGCGCCCGGAACTTGTCCATGCTGTTGGTGAGCTTGGCCAGATAGCGGTACTCGAGCTGCAGAGTGGCTACTTCGGCCGTGCTCGACAGACCTGCGTGCGGCTTACCTACCTGCTGCAGGAACGCGGTTTCAGGCGGGATGCCCGTGTCGGTGGCGAATGATCTCGCCAGCCTCTCTCCCAGGTCTCTGGCCATTTCCAGCAGCTGCGCGTCGTTTTCACCTGAATGGTGGTAGGCCGACAGGAGCCCGCCAAGGACGCGAATCGTGGTTTCAAACAGCGACACAGCGCCGGACTGGTTGAAGCTGATGTTGTTTACCAAAAAGTCGCGCCCGCGCTTGTACTCGTCCTTCAAGCCCATTAAAAGCAGCGTGTCCAGGGTATCCGCGATATGGTATCCGAAGCCGCCCACCGTCATGTTGCTGCCCTTATGCGACATTGGGTGATACTCGTCGCTGCCAAAGGCATCGCGGACATAGGCATCCCAGGCATTCTTTGCCGCGCTGACCACGCTGTTCCGCCGCGACACCCACAACATGCTGTCGTCGGTTGGGTGGCCTGTGCGCAGCGCGCTTTGTATCACCTGGTTGAGCTCCAGCTGCTGGGCGGCTGTGGCGGACCAGTCGGGTGCTGGGTGGTCGCCGAATACCGGCGGGCGACTGTGCCGCTGCCGCACTAGCGTTTGGTGCTCGGCGCTCGGGAACGTGTGCGGGTCCCATTCATGCTGTGGCTTTGTTACGCGGCTACGGTAGAGGAGGGTCAGGAGGGTCAGAGTCAGGAGAGAGAGGGCCAGGAACTGCTTGCCGCGTCCACCGAGCAGCCGGCGCAGCGACAATGTGAGCATTAGAGGGGTTTAAGGTGACGTAGATTGAAGAAAAAGTCACAAAGAGTGAGTAAAAAATACAAATTTTACCGCGTGGCTGTGAGTGAAGAAAGGCAGGGCAGGCAGATGCGCGGCGTGCATGAGCTTTTTGAGAAGAGCAAGCCTTTAAAAAAATTCCTGGATGGGTCTGAGCAAGCTCACAGGCTTGCTTTCTCCAAATAAATTTACATACTATTTTTTATTTTTCATTTGTAGAATTTGACCATGAGCTCGGACGAAAGGTAAGTTAGCGAGGGCCGCTCCAGGAAGCGCGCCGGTGCAGGGAGAGGCTCGGCAGCCCACAGAGATTAAGCACGGCCAGCCCTGAACCACGCGCCTCTTCTTTTTTCTTCTTCTGTATAGGCCTTCGGGCGAATTGCAAAAGGACCTGCTTATGAGGCTGCCATTTGATCTCTCGGTGCTTGTCAGCAAGTTCCTGGACATCGAGGACATCTACAGCTGCATGCTGGTGAGCCACAGCTGGTACAAGCTGGTGTCCGATCACGCAGTGCTGTACCAGCGGCTGCTTCAAAGATCGCACTTTGACCAGGAGCCGCTACTGTTCCGGGGACCGCGCTTTGGTAACCAGCAGAACCACGAGGTGGATGAGCCGGGCAAGAGCAAGGATGAGATGGATGAGGACCAGGAAGTCCGGATCGAGCAGCGCCTCAACATGCAGCTGCTTCGGGCGCCCAAGGTTCTGCCGCACTTGCTGAGCAAGCTGATGAACCGCGAGAAGCGGTGGACGACCGGGGTGCCGCGAATGCGCATGTATCTGCCGCCGGTAGGCATGGACGGCATTGACGCGGATATCCGGGACGAGTGGGAGGGCCCGGTGAAGGTGGTGAAGATAAAGGGCGGCATTGTGTGTGTCTTGCACGAGATGGGCAAGACAATGCGTCTGTGGGATCTGGACCATCAGTACCAGAAGCTGCGGGATATGGCGAATGAGCTTGCCGAGGAGCACCGGGAGGTTCTGGAGAAGAACGAGCGCAACGGCATGCTGCGCAGCCTGTCGGAGAAGGAGGCGGGAGTGATCCTGGAGTGTGTGAATCTGGCAGGCAAGCCGTGCCAGCCGAAACTGCGCGTGGTGCGGTTGCGGCATCGGCCCGAGCTGTTTGACTTCTTCCCGTCGACCAACCGGCTGATCACATCGTCGGCAGCGGGCATCATCGACGTGTATGATCTGGAGACTGGCAAGCACCTGCGCGAGTTCCGTCTGGAGGACGTGCGGATCGGGTCATTGCATATTTGGATGGAGTTTATTGTGGTTGGGCATGGCACGCAGATCACGCTACTGAACCACAAGACCGGCGAGGTACTGGAGGACGCGCTGCAGACGGCGCACCAGTATGCGATCACGGCGGTGTTTGTGCTGGACAATGACAACCATATGCTGAGCGTCGATGAGTCGGGCGTCATTGTAGTGACGGATCGCTCCAAGGCCCGCAGGGATATCGACACGCTACTGAACACCCCGTTGCACCCGTTGATCTATCATGGCAATGTGGGCGCGCCGTATGCGATGAGGCTTTTGCATATGTCGCATTTGTGTGTGTACGGCAAATACACGTTCGGGCAGTACGAGCTGTACCCGCCAGGAATTGACGGGCTGCCGCCGATCTCGGAGCTGATGCTCATCGGCGGTCCCGAGGACGAACAGGACCACAGGGGCAATCCACCAGTGGACGGAAATGTGGCGGCACCTGACAGCCCTGGCAGCGCAGACAGTGGCGATGGCGGTGAGTCAGCGGCTGGCCATACTCCAGCTGCGTCAACCAAATCCTACGATGAGGAGCGGCGCGAGACGCTCAAGCAGCTGCTGCGGTCTGAGCGCGACGTGGAGCGCATGTACAGCGAGATCATCGGCGACCGCGACGGACCGGCACTGGGCGGCAGGCGGATGCAGAGCCTGCGGCAAAACACCACGCCGCAGAACGACCGGTACCATATCCTGAACATCAACTCGCGGTTCGCCGAGCTGGAGGGCAACATTGCGACTTTGGATTTCCGGCGAGTGCTGTACCAGGCCAACGGGTTTATACGGATCTGCGAGCTGGGGGGCGGCGAGATGCCGCCGGTGGAAGATCCGGAGCACCCCGCCAGCGACGCTGTGCTGGGAGTGAGCCTGGGCCTGTATCCCGTCGACGCAAGCACGGACCTGGGCCCCGCAAGCAGGGAACACGCGGAGGCGCTGAAAGATATCATCGAGGAGCTCGAGTTGCAGATGCCGGGCGGGTTTGGGGGTGGCGAAGGCCAGGGAGACCTTGTGGACGAGACCGGGTGGTCACATATGCTGGTCAACGACGAGCCTGTGGATCTGAACGACCTGGACGCAGTGAGCGCCAAGGCCATGCGCTCCATGTTTGCCATCCGCTATGCGACCGACGTGCCTGACTTTGGCCGCGTCCCATTCTCTGTGAATTACCTGCGGTCAGCGGTCGAGTTCCTGCAGCAGAGCACCCCCGATCTGTTCCATGCGGTGCAGAACCCGAATCTCGGCATCGACGCGCTGAGCAACTCGGCGCCGTACTATATCCAGAAGCACTATGAGAGCCGGTTCAAGCGCCCGGTCGATGTGGTCGACCACCGCGGCCAGGTGCGCGATGCCCAGGCAGTCATGCGCGACATGAACAGGCTGTACCGGGCGCTGCGCAAGTCCACCGCCATGGACGACTCGGTGCTTATTGGCAAGGGTGTCCGCGACCTGAAGTATGTCGCCAGTGCTATGGACGACTCGCGGCTGGTCGTTGGGTGCCGCAACGGCTATGTTGTTGTCACTTCTTTTGAATAAACGTGATGTTCTACCCTTGGCAGTTTGTGTGATGCGGAATTTTTTTCCCCAGAAGCCAGATCACTTTGTGCGAGGTGGTTAGAAAGTTCTAGCGCATTGGTTTCTTTTTCTTCTCTTCAAATACACATATTTTTCCACCCTCTTTTCTTGTATTTTACACCACTCTCATTATATCACATATCCGCCCAGAGGCGCCATTATCTATACATACAATGGGGCAGGCCTACTCGCGGTGGAATGCACCCGGTAGCAATGGCAATGACGACCGCCCGAATCGCCGATTAGTGCGGGATTACACCTCACGGGCAAACACCCCGGCGCGCGCGCAGTCGTCGAGTGTGCGAGGCACGGCCGCACGGCCGCAGCAGCACCAGCAGAGAGCGACCCGGTACTCACCGTACACAACAACCCCAGCAAGGACTACACAAGCGACGGAATCGAACAATGCACCCGCGGATACTTCTCCAGCATCAGGGCCAGCAGCACCCCACTCGGCAGCGGGGGCATCGCCGACGACCCCGAATGCCGGTCGGCGAGAGGGGATTCGGCGAAACGAGCTCCTGGCGCGGGTCATCGGCGGCTCGGTGGTGAACTCGATATCCCAGGAGATTGAGCGGCGGCGGCTGGTGCGCGACACTGCCATCGCCAACCGCGGAATGCTGGACTCGCTTTTGGCGCTGCACTCGGAAGTGCGCCAGCGGCTGCCCGGCTACAACATGGACACCAGGGGGCGGATTGGCCTGACGTACCACATCTCGCTATTTATTCTGGCCATGCTCGAGACCTATGCGTCGGGCGTGACCCAGCGACAACAGCACCAGGAGGAAAGCCAGTCGCCGCAGGCAGCCAGTCAGCAGGATATAGCGGCGGCGGGTGACGGCGATGTCGAGATGGCTGCGGCCAGTCCCGCCTCTGCTCCTGCTGCTGCTGATGATGGCAGTCAGGAGACTTCCAATGCGTCTGGAACCTCGGCTGGTGCGGCAGATGATGCCGCTGATGGCAGTGAGTCTGGGTCATCGCCAGCGTCGTCATCATCTGGCCTGATATTCCGCATGTTCTTGATGCCAGGCGCCATTGAACAGGCGCTGCTGCAGTACGACCGCCTGAGCATCTCGCATAATCCCGAGTTTCAGCCCATGTTTTCGCTGAATACGGCTCCGTCGGTCCCACAGGCGGCGGCAGCAGCAGCAGCAGCAACAGCAGCAACAGCAGGGACAGCAGCAGCCGAGACCCCGGAAGGCACTGCACAGGTGCCATCTGACCAGTCGGCAGCTACCGACAATGCACAGCAGCAACCTGTGCGCCCTCTTTCGCTGGACGAGCGGCGCCGGAATAGCGTCCGCCACGAGCGGGACGAGAGGCTGTGGCGGCTACGTCAAATTGCACGGGCCATGCATGACGAGCGCCGTGACATTGAGGTACCAATTGCTGTCCTGGGCCTGCAGATGAGCCACGATATGCTCAGCCGCCTGGCACAGGCGGAGAATGCAGAGCCTTCTTCATTTGCCAGTCCCGATACTACGACAACAACGGCCGCCACCACTTCCTCGTCGAGCAGCAACAACAGCACCGCCAGCGGAGCACATACTCCCGACATGAGCGAGTCGCTTGAGCGGCATATCCAGGCCACAGAGAACGCCTTGTCGAGCAGGCTGACGCGTGACTTGGCTAACGCGGGGCCACAGGCTGCAGGGCCGGAGCAGCCGGCGGTGCCCAGGCTGCAATCAGTTATGGAGAGCTTGCGCCAGCGGCTCACTTCGCTGGTCCCGAACTTTGTCGGCCATCTGCGCGGGGGCACGGTGCAGGCGGGCCAGGAAACACCCGATGGTGCCGGTCCGGGCTCAGCAGGCACAGCCCCAGCCAGCGCTGCAGACACCGCCCCGGCATCGCCTGGAGATGGGGCGCCAAACAACGCTGGCCTCTCGATATATGTGACCATTCAGGATATGACGCTGGGCAACCCGCTGCTGTTGACCATGGTGACATACGAGCTGTTTCCCGAGCTGCTGCAGGACGACATGAGTTCGACGGACCTGCAGATGAATTTGTCGGGCGGCAACTACGAGCTGTTCATGGAGATTGCGAATATCATCGGCGAGGTGTCGTCGAACACGGTGAGCCAGGAGGCGGTTGACAAGACGCTGGCCAGATACCGCCTCGAGACGCGGGGCACGGCGGAGGACGCTGAGTTGTCGGTTGCCAAGCTCATTGTTGGCGAGGACGACCAGGAAGAAAGCCATGTGGACACTGGCAGTATGCCGGCTGTCGTGCATCTGGTGTCGGCTGAGCGGTGCCCCGTGTGCCTGGAGGACTTTGAGGTCGGCGACATACTGCGTGTGCTAAAGTGCCACCATGGGCTGCACCTGGTGTGCGGCGACTCGTGGTTCACCCAGGGCGCCAACAGATGTCCGATTTGCAGGTCGGAGGCAGTACCCATTGAGCGTGGCAAGTAGACTACACATGTGCAGATAAATACATTGGTGGGTAGTAACATAAAAACATTTAGGCGAGAAATTGAACAAGCATTGGCAGCGGCCAACAGCTGCGCCCACATCCATTTTGTGTGCTCGGGGCTCCTGCCCCCTCCTGGCCACGCTCGACAAAGGCCTATCTCATGTTTGCATGTATCTCCAGGCTGTACCAGGGATGCGACTCGCCAAGATGCTGGATCTGACCCTTGTAGTCGGATGTCGGGAAGCCGCAAAACGGGCACAGATAAAACTCCTGCTCGAAGCGGGACATGCTGTCCAGCACATCGCCCTGGCCCTGCGCGGGCTTGGGCTTTGGTGATTTTGACTTTGCCTTGGGCTTGGGTCCTGCCTGCACGGTATTGGCGGCCAATGGAGGCAGGTCGATTTTGAAACTGACTTGTTTCTTATTTGCCATGTTAGGCTATGTGTACAGGGAAAGAGGGTGGGTCTGGAAACAGGAAGATGGACAGCGCCAGAAAGGGATATTAAAAAAGTACAAAAACTTTGGACATGTAGGAAATAGGAGAGAAAAGGGAAACGAACATTTCTGGTTTTTGTCAATAGAGGAAAAAAGCTGAAAAGGAGTCCTGACTTGCACCAGCCCTTGAGGCATGTGCCTCTGGAACGAAAAAGGAGAAACCAGTGCAAATGAGCTGGGAAATAGCTGGACGCCGGAGTGCTGTGGAAAATAAATCCCTCCTGGGTCTGGATGCTTCGCACACAACAATGTGTGCGGGTGGGTGGCCATGACGTATGAGAAAGAGGGACGCCAGTGATCATGCAGCACGAATATGCACAGGCTGCAGCCAGGTTGTCCGCAGACTTGCGTTCTTTTCCTGTGGACGAAAACGAAGATGGGCGGTCGGACGGTGTGTCTGGGTATCTATTGTTCATGGTACCCCTCCCCCGGGATAAAAGTAGAGAGGGCGAGTGCGGGAAAACAGGCGACGTAGGTGGCATCTGGCGACTGACAGGCAAGGTAGGAGGCGGTCAAGATACGACGTCATAGGGGGGACATGCACAGCCAAAACCGAATGTGGAAAGTCCTCCAACAGCTTCGATGCATGAACAAGCCCCCCAGAAGTCATGTCTGCCAAAGTGAAATGAAGACGGAACTAATCCCAATAGTTTCAGAACGGAAAATCAGCGGCATTCAGACGCCTGCAGTGCACCGCGATGTCTGCCATTCTGGTACCAAGCTCCGTAAACTCGGGCCTGGCCGGCAGCTCCCGGAGCCTGGCAGCGACCTCTGCCATTTGGGGCCCCGAAACCGTGACCAAGCGCAGAGTTTTAATAGGTGCAGCCAGCACGCGGATGTGCTCTGCAGCGAGCTCCGTCGAGCGGATCATATCCAACATAAACGTCAGATTAGTGACGCGGGTTCGCAGGGCACCGCTTGCCAAGACACGCACCATCGCCTGCTCGTCATCTGTCTCACTGCTGAGGGCAAGAGTCAGGTGGCGCAAATTGGGCAGCAAATTAAGCATATGTAAGGCGTGTTGGAGACCAAGCATGACGTTCGGAAGTACCAGGTTCTGCAGGCTGGCGGGCGCGGAGCTGAGCGCAGCCACCAGGGCTGCATTGCCCATGACTGGGTTGTTGAGGTCGAGGCGCACAAATGCCGTGGATGCATTGGGCGCCATGCAGAATGCCCTTAGTAGCAGCTTCTCGACAACTCTCTGCGGATGCCTCGACGCCCTGCGCGAATCACCAAGCCTGATGTTGGCCATGGCTGGGAACGCGTGGCTGTCGAACACGCCGGCGCTCTCGAGCAATCTGAATGACGTGCTGTCGAGGAGAAAGCCTGCACGCTTGAGCACTGCCCTGTTTCCGCGAAACACAACATCGTTGGCAAATGGATATGCTGGCTTGCAGCCAATTTCACGCAGCGCTGGGAAGGGCACTCCGGCGGGCGCAGAACGCGGGCCAATTGGGACCACTACATCCTCAGTGTGGTTGGGCCGGTGGTGCCAATGCGAGACCACATAGTAGCAGTTGATGTGCAGGGTCTGCAGCCGTGGATAGACGACCGGAGATTCGTTGGCGTGCTGCACGACACGGGTCCATACTAGAGAGCGTGGATCGCGGAGGCTCAGGAACTCGAGCGTAGGTGCAATGCTGTAGAGATATGCAAAGAAATCGTCGGGTGGCGTGTTGTCTGCCAGTGTGTACGTGAGCTTGGTGATGGGCGGCAGGACGCACGGCTCGATCTTGAGCCAGTCGTTGTCTAGCGATATGCGCCGTGTGCGCCCACACATGGCAGCAACGATACGCGAGCTCTTCGTCGAGTCAAAGCTGGGGTAGTAGAACTGCTGGAACACCTTGGACTCCAAGTTCGGAAACAGCTCATCGAGGCGCTGGCTGTACTCTGCGGCTCGCCGAGCAAGGATGTCAACATACATATACTCGGTAACTTCAAAGTAGTCGCAGCTGAATATCAACTGTCTCGTGCCCACGAACCGGATACTGTTGAGCCACACCTGGTACAGCGGGTCGCCCTTTGTCTGCTCGTTTAGCAGGTAATAGAGCTCATAGTGTAGCTCCACCGACTGTACTAGGTTCTCAGCACCCATGGCGACAGCATCGCGGAGGTTCATGCGAAATTGCCCGCCCATCTTCCAGTCAAACCGAGCATCTCTCTTAGATACGACTGCGTTACGGAAGAACAGCGGCCGAATCGCCGATCTCCAGTACCGGTCCACCCACAGCATGCCCATCAGCGAACTCGTTGGCATACAGCGGCCACAGTCGTTGTACTCGTTCGCCTTGCGGCCGAGACCAGTCGCATAGCCAAAAATGCTCTCCAGGATGTGATCCGGCACAGCCCATGCCGATGAAGCTACAGCCATGGTGTAGACTATTAATATTAAATGAAGCACAAAGAGTGCGGAAGCAAAAAGCCAGTGCGAGGGTGGTCTGATCGCACCCACGTGTGGAGCCGGCCTGAGATCACTTATCTGGTGATCTTCAAAGTGATCAGCTCTGCTTGAGGAAACAGCGGTGTGGCGGTATCCAAATAATTTTACTGCACGGGTCGTGGCAGCTAGGTGCTGGGCTCTGCCGACCGGGTAGATCTGGATCATGACGGTGCTTGGGCCTAGCAACAAGCCAGCTCTAGCAGCACTTACATTAGAAAGCACACAGCTATGAACAAGACTATGTTGATGTCTGAATAGCTCTAAAGGAATGAACATAGTTGCTCTAAGATGTCAGGCGGGTAGATGTTTCAGATTACTGCTGGTGAAGTTTTGGCCCTTGCAGCGTTTTGGACCCTGATTTGACAGAAGTGGGGCCTGGATGCTGATGTGTCCTTCATAATAATAAGCTCCGCTTTGGTTGAGTGAGTCTGAGGCGTAGATGAGCAGAGTGGACGTATTGGTAAAGCTGTAGTGCAGGTTATCGCATCCATAGTGCGTGGTGTTTGGATTGGTAGACAGCTTGACAATATGTATTTCCAGGGAAAGCTCCGGCCATTTATACTGTAGCGGCACCATTGCCATGGCTGGCTGCGAATCACCCTGCCCACATGTAGGGACCATCGAGCTTGGCCATAAACAAAGCACAGACGACAATGTGTTCCTCATTGTCTGCTGGGTGCTGGGCAAACTCTCTGGGCTTGCGAAATGAATGATACCAGTCAGCCCGTTATCTAGCGTGATCAGTGCTGGAAAATGGGGCAAAGGGGCTTCATTACTCACCAAAACGAGCTCGCTCCCGGCCGTTCTATTCGAGGTTTAATCTCCGAAGAACGCCAGTTGACTCGCCCCGCCCACCCGCTCCAAGCCCAGGTGGTGGGGAGAGACAGCTGATAAAGAACAGGAGGACCTATCTCTGTTCCCCCAGCTCTCCCGCACCTAGCGCTAGTATTCTTATTATTTCCACTCTTTCTCTTCAGTTTCACGCATATTATTCTGCTCTATCATGAAATACGGCAATTACCTGAATCAGCAAAAGACGGCGTTCCCGGACGAGTGGCAGCCACACTTTATTGAATACGATGCACTGAAGGCGTTTCTGAAGACGCGCATGGTCGGCTGCAACGTGCACCTGTCGAGCTCGTTCCCGCGCACACACGTCTTCCAGTGGTCACCGGGCTCCGATTCCGAGCCTTCGTTCGACGCCATGCTGCACCAGCGCCTGGAGAAGGTCACCCAGCTGACACCCGCATTCGTCAAGATGCTGGATGCCGACATCGAGCGGATCAACTCGTTCTTTGTCAAGATCAAGGACGCAACCAAGGAGCGGATCAACCGGGTGCTGGATCCGATGCAGAAGACAACAGTTGCCGAGTGCGAAGATGCGCTGAAGGACCTGCTGCTGCTGGAGCGCTTTGTGTTCCTGAACTTCACTGCCATTGCCAAGGCACTGAAGAAGCACGACAAGTGGTCTGGCCTGCAGATCCGCGAGCCCTACCTGATGCGTACCTCGCAGCTGTCGTTTGTAGTTTCCACTTCTCTGCTGCGTCTGAAGCCCGAGCTGATGAACCAGCTGGCTACATTGCTGGTGGAGCAGGAGGGCGGCAGTTCGTCTGATGCCCTGGCAGCTGCAGTCGAGTCTCGGACACATCCTGGCACATTACCAGCGGTCCTCAATGGCGGGCACACCGACTCGACAACCTCTACCCGGGTCGAAACGCCGTCCGGACTGCCCAACACGTCGTTTGGCATCAACATCTCGCCCAAGCTCAGCCCACTGGTCGATCTGCTGCATGAGACGCAGACAGTCATGATCTCGCTGCGTGGCCCGCACGGCACCGACATCATTGGCGGAGTGCTGGGCTGCCTGTCCAAGCACAACTGCCAGATCATCGACTTTTCGCTCTCGCGGCTGCACCACGATGTGACGTTTGGCGTTCTTGTGCATCTGCACAACGGCGACGTCGACCTGTTCAGTGACCTGGCCGAGACTGCGCAAAAGTGGGACGGCACCCTGACGTTTGATGTGCAGAACGCGCGACTCAAGGCATCGGTGCTGAGTGGGCAGTCAGAGTACAAGCTGGACGAGGCTCCGTATGCGCAGCGTGTCAAGTACATTGCCACAGTGCTGAACGAGCGCGGGCTGGGACCCGAGTTCCTGAGCGCCTGGCTTAAATGGCTGCTGAAGAAGAAGATCAGCGTCGAGCAGATGCGCCGGCTGGACAAGCACTCGGAGCTGATGTGCGTCGAGTTCCGCCTCAGCGTGCCTGACACTCTGTCGCTGGAGGAGATGAAGGCCGAGCTGTTCACTCTGAGCACCGGATTCCAGACTGATGTGGCTCTGCAGCCCGACAATGTGTTCCGCAGACAGAAGCGCCTGGTCGTGTTTGACATGGACTCGACGCTGATCCAGCAGGAGGTCATTGACGAGATTGCGCGTGCCACCGGCATCGAAGAGGAGGTGTCGGCCATTACTGAGAGTGCGATGCGTGGAGAGATCGACTTCAAGGAGTCGCTGCGCCGTCGGGTTGCGCTGCTCAAGGACACGCCGATTGAGGCACTAGAGGAGGTCAAGCGGCAGCTGGTGTTTACAGAAGGCGCGCACTACCTGTGCCGTGCGCTGAAGAATGCCGGATTCAAGCTGGCGGTCATCTCTGGCGGGTTCATTCCGCTGGCAAAGTACGTCAGGAACGAGCTCGGATTAGACTACGCCTTTGCCAACCAGCTGGAGGTCAGCACTGATGGGAAGCGGCTGACGGGTCGGACCGTGGGACCGATTGTCGATGCGGTCCGGAAGTCAGAACTCCTTGAGGTTATTGCCCAGGCCGAAGGCATTGCCATCGACCAGGTTGTTGCTGTTGGCGACGGTGCCAATGACCTGCTCATGCTCGGCAAGGCTAGCCTGGGGGTTGCGTTCAATGCGAAGCCCAAGGTGCAGCAGGAAGCACGTGCCCGGATCAACCAAAAGAGCCTGGCGAACGTACTGTATCTGATGGGCTACTCGCAGAGTGAGGCTGCCGAACTCCAGCTGGTCGGATAATGAAGGCGATAGGTGGGGCTTCAATTTTCTTTCGATAATACTCTAATATACACACTCGAAATATCGACGGACACAAGGCTCTGTAGAGTATTCTACAGTGGCGTGCCAGACACATAAAGCGCAGTTAAGAACACCAAGAAACCAAGGGACATGCAGAAGCACTGCAGACATTCACACACACCGAAGTCTTCTTCATGTGGATATGATTTCTGGCATGTAAGCCCACCAAGGTTACACCTAGTGTGTTCCGATATGTAGAAACAGCATCTTGGCTGATTTCCTAACCCTAAATTTAATCTTATTTGCAACAGCGGCGCATATAGCCGTTTTGACCATCTCTGGACGACTCCAACGCCACCCAGGGGTGCTTGAGCAGCTCATTTGCAACAATGGAACACTGTTTTTCTTAGTTCAGGCAGGCTGAACAAATGCCAGCACTCCCTCTTGTTGACCTGAACCGCCCACCGTCTTTACTGCGCTCTTTCCTGTCCTTTTTCCTCTCTATCCACGCAAACTCATTTTTCACCGACCACTACTCAGGCAAAGATGACAGAGGATAGCCAACACCAGCCATCTCAACCAGATAGTCCACAGCAAACACTTCAACCGAGTAGTCCGCAGCAAACACTTCGGCAGAGCAATACACAATCATTTCCTCTGGACAGCTTTGTTACTCCGACATGTAAACGGACATTGGCATCCTATACTTATGAAGGTATTTCGGCAACAACATTGGATCAGTCGCCGTATTTTCAAAGGAGATACCAGAACAAAGGTACGTGTGCATATATACACATAGCAGCAGGTACAAGGCAACAACCACATGAAGTCTAACCTAATAACTGTAACTCAACCGTTATAGATGCAGAGTCGAAAAAGGCGAGGCTCACCGGCGTGTTGGAGAACAGTCCATTTGTTCAGAAGACAACAAACGCGACTGTCTTCTCCAACATGTCCATGGTCCAGTCGGATCACACGGCTGAGAGGGACGCCGAGAGTATGGCGTTCGCCAAAGGTCGTGTGGTCGAGAATGAGGATAGCGTTTTCGAATTCTGCCGCCCACGCTCGGTGGCACTGCGTAGTGTTGCGAGCGACATCACTGCACATGTTTCAGCAGAGCTGGAGAACCGCCTTAGCGCTAGACCGGCCGGTGGTGCAGGGGGTGAGCCTATTCCTGCTGCCAGCTTGCCGAATTTGCAGCAGCACCAGCCGAGAAATGCGACAAAGGACCCCCTGGAGGAAGTCAGCAACTGGCTTAGACTGCTGAAAAAAGGGAAGGTCGCTGAGACTAAAACGTATTTCCCGATTCAGCAACTCTTACTGTTTTCCATGCGCGAGATCGACGGTCAAGTCGAAGACTGTCAGAAGGACCGCGATCTTGGCCGCCTGCTGCAAGACTATTGCCGAATCCTTCCCTTCAAGAACGTCGACACCGGTCCACAAGGCAAGGACGACCAGCGGCGTGTTGACATTGGCCTGTACGCACAGGGTGTCAGCGACGACTTCTCCTTCGACAGCGTTGAGGTCCAGCAGGACATTGACTACAGCAGCACATTTGCTGTGATTGAAGTCAAGCCTGACAGTTTGGCTGCATCGGTCCGGCAGGCGCTTGCTCAATTGCTGCTTTACAGCAGAAACATGTATGCGATGCAGCCAAATCGCCGCTTCATCTGGGGCATCACAATGTGCGGAAATGAGGTGCGCACATGTCTGTTTTCCAACGATATTGTCTTTTCGTCCAGTGCCATCGACATAACAACAGCAGCTGGTCGTCGGCAGTTCGTCGAACTTCTCGTCAACTTTTCACTGTGCGAGGTTGATCAGCTGGGCTACGACCCAACGATCCGCTGGCACCCTGAGCACAATTGCTGGGCCATCGAAGGTCCCGACACTGCGGGCAAGTCGTCGGGCACCACAACAGTGAAAACGTACTACTCTGACAAGCAGCTCCTGTCCAGTGCGGACGAGCTCTTCGGTCGGCACAGGCGATGCTTTTTGGTGACAGACGAGAAACCCACTGGCAACGGCATTGCACCCAAGTTCATTCTGAAGGACGCGTGGCCGGAGGTTGAGGAGGATCCTGCCCAGGACAAGCGGAGCGAAATCAGGTTCATGCGCCATATCGCTACAGAGTTGGCGCAGTCGGATGTCGAGGACTTAGTATATCCCAAGCTCCATGCTGGCGACCGAGTCCACATCGATGCCAACGGCGAGGTCTTCGAGGACAACGTGAAAAACATACTGGGCTCGCTGTTTTCGCTGCGCAAACCAGATGGAGGCTCAATTCCGTTCCGCGTACACACACGTGTCATAATGGGCAACATTGGAAAACCACTGAAGCACGTAGAGTCAGTGCATGAGCTCATAGTGGTTCTCGGTGACGCGATGCGCTGTCACTCGGAGATCCTGAAGCGGTGCAGCATCCTCCATCGTTGCATCACTGACAGCAACATCCTTGTAGTGCGTGAGGAAGGAAAGCCAGTGCGCGGGCTACTCATCGACTTTGACAGTGCCCTGGAGGTTGGACAGGTCCGAGCACCAGTACGCAGCGAGCAGACAGGTGCGCTCCCATATGCAAGCATCAACCGCTTGCTTGCGTCAGACGTTGAGCAGACAGAGTTGGACGACTGGGAGTCGCTGGTCTACCTAATCTGCTGGTACGCAACGATTGGGATTTGCAGGGATAAGAAAGATAGGCGACATCCCGCGAGTATGAGGGGCTTGGCAATCAGCAAGTGGCGAAACGGAACTCCTAAGGAAATCGGTGAAGCCAAGAAGGATAATTTGGAAACACTTAATGGCTTCCATTCAAGAATCATCAGGCACTTTCATCCCAACAGGGATATTGACATTTTGCAAAACCTGGTGGAAGATCTATATATGGATTTGTTCCAAAAACTGGACCTGCGTAAGGATGGCACGTGCGATGGGAGTCGTTACAGAGGTACACAGCCCATGCGGATCAGAGGAGAGGATACAACACCTAATCCATTCAAGGAACGCCTGGAGAAGAAGAGAGAGATCACCACAGCACTGCTTGCTACGATGACCGAAGCCTGGAAGAGCTCACGGAACATTTGCATTGCATAGTCTCAAGGCAACAAGTAAATATTTTCAATCGCTTCATTTGTCACTATAAAACACACTACATCTACACTACGGCTGCAATTTAATAAGCAAGCGGCAATATAGCACTGTGGACCCAAAGTAAAAGGTGACCGTCATATTTATATGCCTCAAAGGGTCTTCGAAAGATCATCGCGTTTAGACAGCATGGGCATATCGCTAGTCTACAGGAAACACCAGCCAAATTCCTACTTTGCAGCAAATGAGCCATTGATGGGTCAAAAATAGATGGGTCAAAAATAGATGGGTTATTGGTATACTCTAGAAGTGAAGAAAGGGAACATTGTAGTGACACAAGTATGTGCCCTCCTTCACATGCACATATGAATTTTGCCCATGCATGCTCAGCACAAGCCCTAAGCGCTCCCTTGTCTCGCCCGACTGTCTTGATCCTGTTATGAAGTAGTTGGCTCAGAACCCATTGCATTTCTGCGAGCCGGCTCCTCATTCGAATCTGCAGAGCCGTCGCTGAATGCAAGCATACTGATGCAGCCAGCGCCACACTCCCAATCTCTGAAGCAGTGCTTAAAATGCGGGAGCCGATTAAATCGGATCTGCTCAAGCGCCTTTTCGTAAACAGTCTCTGCAGAAAAACCCCAGGCAGTAAACACGCTGCAGCCAATGGTGATTGCTCGCTCCAGCTCTTAAACCACTCCAGAGCTGCTGCCTACAGCTTTTGTTTCTCTTAGCTTTGCATTAAGACATACACATTCTCCTGCATTTGAACCCATTCGCATTGTAATTTATCAGTCGACCATGACTACCTGCAACAATATTGCCGAGCTTTCCTGGACTCTGTCAGCTCCTGCCGCCAGCAAGCCAGCCGCTACGGGTATCAAGCGCAAATTCTCTAGCTCCATTTCATCGCCAGTTAGCAAGTTCTCGCCACCAAAGAAGGCACGCTCCTCTAGCAACACAGTCTGCATTGGCACCAAGCGGTCGCGCTCGAACTCTGAATCAGATGACGACGACTACTCGGCACAACCACCAGCAAAGAAGACACAAAAGGGTGAGAGCGCAAGAGGTAAGCGCATAGTGGACCTTGCTACTATGGTACGCTTATGACATGCACATTTGCTAACTGTGCAGATTCTGGTATAGCATCCATTTACCCTAATGGCCGCTGGGTCCGGGCACTAGACCAGTCCTCAAATAGCTGGAGCGACAAAATAATGGCCATGATGAGGGGCAACACGCCGAACATGAACACCCAGCTGAGCCAAGGTATGGAGTGGTGGAATAACAAAGACGAGGTGTTGACCGAAGCCGACCACTGGGCCAAGGAACGACTGATCCGTGATGCCAACGGCGTATTTGACAGTGTAAAGTCGAGAAATACCGTGACAAGCAAGCTGGCAGACCTGGTGTCGACTCAGGTCGCATTGGAGCTGGAGCGCCGGCTCAGCCTAGTCACTGGCAGTGCAGCAAGCAGCGTCGATGATATCCAGGATACTCTCAGAGAACTTGCTTGCGATATCACCACCTGCCAGCAGCAGCAGCAACATACGCTGTTCGACATTGCAGCATACGACAAGGCGAAAGACGAGAAGCGCGGGTCAACAGACAGCGCTCTTGCAGCGTTTGAGGAGTGGGTTCGCCCACCACTGGCTACATCTACAGACAGCCTCGACGATGACGACATACACACGGCGAAGAAGATACATGAATCAGCCATGTCATTCATTCTGTTTGTCGTTCAACACATCGACACCCTCATTCGTGCGTTGGATACGGGCCCTTTCAGCAGATACCTCGAGAGTTATTATCAGCTGCTGCCATGCACCCGTCCTAGACCCCAGTCCAGCGGCAATACCGACGCTTCGGAGTTTGAGGCAGGCATCAAGTTTCAGCACGCACTTACAGATATCGAGCTACTGACTGACTTTCACAGCAAAAATATGGTGGCCCTTATTGAAGCTCGATCCGGCAAGACCCGGCGCACAGTTGACAAGGCTTACGCGCAGCTGATGCAGAGGACACGCAGCATCTACAGGAATCAACCCAACAGACGCTTCGCTTGGGGTCTGACCGTGTGCGACAATGAGGTGCGAGTGTGCCTGTTTTCCAACGACGCGGCTTTTTCATCGAGCGCTCTCGACATGACAACAGCAGCCGGTCGTCGGCAGTTTGTCGAGCTGTTGGCTAACTTTGCACTGTGCGAGAAAGACCAACTCGGGTATGACAGAGGTATCCTCTGGAACCCTGAGCACAAATGCTGGACCATTGAGTGTCCTGATGCAGCAGGCAAGTCGTCGAGCCCTGCAACAACAAAAACGTACTACTTCGACAAGGTGCTACTGGCAGCGGACGGCATGTTTGGACGGCGTACGAGGTGCTATTTGGCGACAGACGAGAAACCCACTGGTGGCGGCATCATACCCAAGTTTGTTCTGAAAGACGCGTGGCCGGAGGCAGAGGAGGATCCTGTCCACGACAAGCGAGACGAGGTGCAGATTATGCACCGGATCACCACAGAGCTGGCGCAGTCAGATGTCGAGGACTTGGTCTATCCTAGGCTCGATGCTGGCGGCAGAGTCCATATCGATTCCAATGGCGAGGTCTTCGAGGACAACATGAAGCGCATACTGGGTCCATTGTTTTCATTGCGTATGCCAGCTGGAGCTGCAATTCCGTTCCGCGCGCACAAGCGGTTGGCCATGTCGCCGATCGGCGAGTCGCTCAGCACGGTCGAGTCAGTACATGAGTTCATTGCTGTTCTGGGCGATGCCATGCGCTGCCACTCGGAGCTGCTGAATCGGTGCAACATCCTCCACCGGGACATTTCAAGCAACAATATTCTTGTCGTGCGTGAGGAGGGCAAACCGGCGCGCGGACTGCTCATCGACTTTGATTGCGCACTCGATCTGAGTGGTTCGCAAGGGCCGAACCTGGAGACACGAGGAACGATCCCATTTATGAGCATCAACAACCTTGCCAAATCAGATGTGGAGCGAACTGCTCTGGACGATTGGGAGTCGCTGATATACCTGATCTGCTGGTGCGCTACAAAAGGCTTTGCTCCAGATAGCAGGCGGTCATCTGAGGAACTGAGGGAACTACCAATCAATCGCTGGCGTACTGGATCTGCGGATGATGCTGTTGATTCGAAAATGGCTCAACTAAGCTCCCCTGGTGGTTTAAATGGGAGAATCATGGTGAACTTTCACCTCGATAGAGATATTGATATCGCAAAAGATCTTGTGGAAGATCTCTACATGGATCTGTTCCAAAATCCGAACCTGCGTAAGGGTGACACGTGCGACGGTAGCCGCTACAAAGGCACGTGGTTTCATATAAATAGAAGAACGCGCGTAAGGTTTAATCCATTCAAGGAGCGGTTGGAGAAGAAGAGCGATATCACCACAGCACTGCTGAAGACGATGACCGAGGCCTGGAAGAGTTCAAGGAGTAAACTATAATCAATTTCAACTTAATACACTATCTTCGATATCTAAATCTACATTAGTACTATGTATTGAGATCGGGTAAAGTCAAGCGACCGGATGTTGATATACTTCGAACCTGTAATCCTAGTGATCAGTCAAGCGCACTCTGAAAGCTACAAGGCTAACAATGACAGGGGTTTATATATATAGTCAGAATGAGACCAATTTGGGCTTGAATATCAACATCTGGTATCACATACCAGTAGCAGAGCACCTAATTAGGAGCATGAATGTAGTGTTGCATGCCCAAGCCAGCGAATATTGGTGCAAGGATTCATGCCGATGTTCTAGGACCCAGCCAGGTGCATAATAGCAGGTGCAGTGACTCAGATGCGGATGATAAGGGTACAACCTCATATCCCCGACGCACACAATGGCATTCTGCCCTTTAGCACATCGCTTCTATCAAACAGATGCTGCAGTATTTTACCTGGAGAGAATCAAGAGGCCAGTGCTCAAGAGCCCTGGCTTTTCTTCTCTTTTTCATATATTATCGTGCTAATAGCATTTGAAATCCTTAGTCAAACCTCTATTCTCATTCCAAAACAGAGCCCCTATAATTTCAACATTTGCATTTTGCCTGGTCAGTGATACACTCAAATGTGTCAAAGGCTAGATCGGCGACTTGACTTCTGGTAGGATCCTCGTAACCAGGATCTACATTCCGATATAGCAGCTGGCCCTGCTCATTGTGGAGCACATCCATAGCTATATGTGCGTTCCTGAGAGCAAGGCCGAAAAGCAGCAGTCTGCCGACTATCGTCACATTTTGCCCTTCAAGAATGTTGACACCGGTCCACAAGGCAGGGACGACCAGCGGCGTGTTGATATTGGCCTGTACGCACAGGGTGTCAGCGACAACCGCTCCTTCGACAGCATTGAACTTCAGCGGGACATTGACTACAGCAGCACATTTGCTGTAGTGAAGGTCAAGCCTGACAGTTCGGCTACGTCGATTCGACAGGTGTTTTCTGTGGGGCTTTACGATGTGCAGCAATGAAGTTTGGATGTATCTGTTTCTAAAAGGGGCAACCAATATAGAAATATCCAAAATCAAAAAGAAAGCTAGGGAATGGAAAAGGAGAACCCCACTATGCCTAGTTGCTTAGTTTTTGCAAGGCATGCAGGCTGATGGTGATATCAAACCTTAAATACTCTCTGATATCAACCTGTTGCCCAGGAAGATTTGGCGGTCAAGCTATGAGTATAAGAGGCATGGTTGCGTGGTAGCAAAAAGCACATGCCGAGGTTGAAAAAACAAAACGGCACCATACAGATTCTTTCAGTATCTCCAGCCCGTGTTGGGTAGTACATTTCAGATATTATTGAAGATTTCTAAAGCTCTTTACAGAATTGGCCGAGCGAATTAACAGATAGGTTTCAGGATCCCGAGTTCTGCATGGATGCCGAGTAAAATGACACTTGATGCAAAGAGTTCACAGCCATTGAAGATTGAAGGTGTGAAGGCAACGCCGTCGACTCATTCAGAGTGCGAGTAGAGAAGAATTGCAGGATCACTGGAACTCTTGGGTTGATTCCTGTGTGGACATATGACAAACACAAGAGTAGGCTACTTAAAATCAGATGATAATATGTCGTATATCCACTTTTAGACATGTGTTGGTATGGCTACCTGTGAACAAACCATCACCTTAAGCATGAGTGGTGTTCCAGTTGGACATAGCCTGTACATTGATTTCAGTAGCTAGCCTCGTACATGTTGATTGCTGATGATGAAAAAACCATGTAGCATAAAGTATATTTTACTACTTCAGATTTGACAAATAAAAGCGTACTCGATTCCAGTATTCAAGAAAGATACTCGAGTAGCTTCTCGACAACCTGCGTCATAGGCGGGCGGGTATTCGGATTCTGTGCCCACATCTGCTGGACAAGGTCGAGTAGTTCACGCGGATAAGACTGCAGTTTTGCCAATGATGGGCGGTATCCGTGGTCGCGCACATTGATGTAGAGTTCGTGCTCGGTCATGTCATGGTAGGGGTAGGGTGCGGCGCCCCACTGCAGGATCTCCCAGAAGATCAGGCCGCACGCATAGACGTCGACCTTCTCTGTGTACGAGGGCTTGAGGGCCCAGAACTCGGGCGCCTGCCAGTTGGGCGTGCCGCAGGCAGTGTGCACCATGGTGTTCATGCGCGGGCGGATGCGGGCCAAGCCAAAGTCGTTGATTTTGGCGCGGTTGTCGGCGGAAATCAGCACATTCATCGACTTCAAATCCCTATGTATGATGCTAGGCCGTCTTGTGTGCAGATACGAGACGCCCAAGGCGATATCATGCATCAGCATCATCAATTGGGCGAACGGCGGCTTGGGTACGCGCTTCATAAAGTCGAACAAATCCCCTTTATCGCACAGCTCGGTGACTATACACAGGCGCTTCTTGTACGCCGAGACGCCAATGAATTTGACAATATTCTCGTGACGCAACTGCTTGACCACATTAATCTCATGCCTAATCTCGTCGAACTCGGCGGTGGAGAAATTGGCGATGCGGATTTCGCCTATGGCCACGGGCATGTTCTGGTAGGTGCCGCGGAAGCAGTCCTTGAAGCCGCCGGAGCCGATTTTCTCCAGGAACTCGAGCTGCGAGAAGGGGATTTCGTCGGTTTCAACGGAGCTGGCCGAGGCCTCGGCGTTGGTCAGCAGCTGGGCCTCGCGGGTGCTTAGCTGCTCGAGGTTTGGCAGCGAGGGGCAGGGGACAGGCAGTGTGTCGGTGCTCCAGTCGAGGAGCGACCGGATGAGCTGCGACTTGCTGCCCTCGGTGGGAAGGCCGCGCTCCAGGCACATGACGATGATATCAGCCTTTATGCGCTTGTTGAGCGTCAGCCAGGTCTCCTGCACCAGGGCCTCGTCAACATGTCGGGTAATGGAGTAGAACATTAGGAAAATACAGTAGAGTGGAGAATAAAAGGTTGCAAAGTCAAAAAAAAATAGGGTCACAGGAGCAAGCTGGCTTTTGTCTTGTTTTTCCACTTGCGGGCTTTTTTACACTATAATGATTGTCGTGCATTTTGTCCTTCCGCTGATTCTGCTGTCAGCAGCAATCTACGTGGTTCTGTATTTCCAGCCAGGCCTCGTGCAGCGCAATTTCGTTCCTGCGGCCAAGCTGGACAAGAAGCAAAAGCACGTTTTGTTTGTTACAGCGCACCCGGATGACGAATGCATGTTCTTCGCACCGACGATTTCAGCTCTCCAGCAGCAAAACACGATGGTCAGTATCTTGTGCCTGTCGACAGGCGACAGCGCCGGACTGGGCGCGGTACGCAAGACGGAGCTGGTGCGCTCAGCGGTCAGCATGGGACTGGCAGCCGAAAATGTTATCATCGTCGATGACCCGTCCTTGCCAGACAGCCCACACAAGGCATGGAATGCGGCACTGGTGGCGCGTACAGTGGAGGCTGTGTGCGCAGCGGGCGATGTGGATGCGATATTCACTTTTGACGGGAAGGGTGTGAGTGGGCATGCGAATCACATTGCGGCGTATGTGGGCGTCAAGCACATGGCGATGACGGCGCAGCGGTTCAAGTTCCATCCGGTGAACGTGTATGCATTGGAGAGCGTTGGGGTGGTGAGAAAGTATGCGTCGGTGTTGGATATGCTGTTTAGTTTGGGCACGTTCTGGGCGGCAAGAGATAGTCTGGTGTTTGTGGCCGATCTGAAGGCGTACGCCAGGGGCGTGGATGCGATGCGCATGCACGAGAGCCAGTATGTGTGGTTCCGTAAGCTGTACGTGACGTTCTCGCGGTACATGTTCATCAATACGTACAACAAGATCAACTGAGACTTTTCCATCCATAAAGGTCATATTGCAGAAACACGTTTTAAAAGTATAGATTTCGTTTTGCGGCATATTCGCTGTTTGAGTGATAGTCAACGTCTTGTCCTTTTTTTCACAAAATGTTTGCTGCTTTGAGAGCGCGTGCAGTCGTGTGTCTTGCCGGACGACTATCCCGCCAGGTCCACACATCCTTAGCAAGCCTGGACACACCGTCCTCGCCTCCCATGCCGCCTCCCCAGAAGAAGAAGAAGCAAAAGACGCCAGTGGTACTGGACCCGTTGGAGATAGAGGAAAAGCACGTGCGCGGATGGGGCAACGGCGGGCAGAAGCTCAACAAAACCAGCTCCTGCGTGCAGCTCCTTCACCGGCCCACCAACACCACGGTTATCTGTCAGGACACACGCTATTTGCAGCAGAACCGCAAGATCGCGTACAAGCGACTGCACGACAAGCTCGATCTTTTAATCAACGGCGAAATGAGCAAGATCGCCAGAAAGGTCGACAAGCTCAAGCAGCGCAAGCACAAGCAGCGTCAGCGCGCACGCAAAAAGTACGCCCAGGCAGAGGAGACCACAGGGGATCAGATCTAGCCGATTAGCGGGGAAAATAAAACCCATGTGACCAGGTGCGCGAATATTTCTTTGTCCCGTCACTCCAGCCAAGTCTGCTCTACCACCGTGTCATACAAGCAAGTCTTTAAGGATTTCCAAGCAGTCACAGCAAGTGCATGTTTTTTTTTTAAGAAAACAATGGTTTCACCGAGCCTATGTAGTATGCATTGCTCACATGCCAATGTGCCTGCCGCAAGAGGGAAGCATGGTGGACGGAGGGATCTTCGCGGAGGGTTTTTCAGTACGAACCGACGGCTAGATAGGAGAATTTCATCCTTGTATTCGTCCGCCGCATACACAGCGTACGAAAGGACAATAATTTTTTGCCCAGGGAGGGGCGGGCAATTTTTATCCCACGTCAACGAGATGAAGACACGCCCTGGTTAACTCTACATGGCTGGTATAAAAAGGAAGAGAAGGGGACATTGGAAAAACCTCCTAATACCCATCCCAGTTGTATTCTAAACCATGCTCTCTCGTACCACCCGCACACTGAAACCCGCGCTGCGCCGCTTCCACTCCTCCCAGGCCACAAATGGCGAGTTCACCGTGACGTCCTCGCACGGCTTCCTCCCTCGGCACGACCCGCTGGCGGTTCTGCCCAGCTACTTTGACAAGCTCTCTGAACTCCTCCATGAGATGCCTCTCTACAAAGGCGACGGTACATACGGACTCCTGCACAGCGGGCGGTTCGGCTCGCGCATCGAGACGGAGCTGCCGCTGTACGATGTGAATTTCATCTTTGACCGGCGGATCCTCTCGGCGCTGTTCCGCGACTACACGTTCCTCGCATCGGCGTATCTTTTGGAGCCCTGCGACATTCAGTTCCGGCTGGCGCGCAATCACGGGCTGGCAAGACGCATTTTGCCCATGAACATTGCCAGGCCACTGGAGGTCATTGCACAGAGAATCGGCGCCAGGCCGTTTCTGGAGCATTCGATGTCGTATACGTTCTATAACTACAGGCGCAAGGATCCGGAGCAAGCTCTGGTGGCAGAGAATCTGGAGCCGATCCGCATGTTCTCGGGCAGCAGTAGCGAGCACAGCTACATTATTGCGCATGTCCTGGCCGGGCAGCATACCGGGCAGATTGTCCAGGCGGCGCAAGACATCCTCAAGGCAGTGGAAACCGACAACCGCGCGCTGTTTGACCAGGCACTCGCGCAGTACACCGGGGCCATGCAGAAAGTAAATAATGTGATGGCCGAGACATTGAAGAGCTCGGGCGAGTACATGTCGTTCCGCACATACCTTAGCGGCTGCAAGGACTCGGCCATGTTCAACCACGGCGTGCAATTCGAGAATGCCCACGACACATCCCAGCGCGCGTACTTTGGCGTTGCACAGAGCTCCAATCCAGTGGCGTCTCTAAGCACGCATCTCTTCCAGCTCGCCCACCTCTCCCCCAATAGCTCCCTGCCGTGCTCTGACGGCATCGACAGGCATAGGCCGGCCAGCTACCAGGCATTTTTGTCTCATGTCGACCAGGAGTCGCAGAGACTTAATGTGCAGAGGTACGCCTTGGGCAGTGCCAAATCGTCGGCCAGCTATATGGGGGCCCTGGATCAGGTGCTGGCGTACAGGTATAGGCAGTGGGCGAATCTGCGCGAGGCCGGCGATGTGCAGGGGGCGGCGGCCTTCAGGGACGGGTTCAAGAGGCAGACTAACCATGTCAGGGAATTGGCTGGTCTGATCTTGCGCTCGCTGGCTAACACTGATGTCGAGTTGTTGGAGCCGCAGCAGAGGGCTAATACCGAGCATATTGCGCATCGCGCCGATGTCGTGCGTCGGTCGCTCAACCGCGTGCTGGCTGAGCCTGAGGCTGCAGCCGAGCAGCTGCCCGTCAGCATGATCGCGTACTAAAAGTGAAAAGCTACGTGAGGGCTGACATTTGGATGGAGTTCTTTGGTGGAGGAATTAAATAAATGTACTCTAAGTCTTAGTCTGCACGCACATAGAATAGCAGGTATGCAGCAGGCGTAGCCACGTCCTGCTCGCGGATGGGCGATACACGCGTGTCGTCGTAGTAGCTCCAGTTCTGCCTCAGCCCATTGAACACGCTGGCTGTGTAGTGCCCGCCCGACAATGTGCCGAAATGGTTAGCCACCGCATACAGATTGTATTCAGCCTTGCCTGCGGTACCTGGCGCCGTATAATTGCCGACCTGCAGGTGGCGGGTGGGGAAGCTGACGCGAGTCTCGAGCTTCTCGCGAAAATGCCCAATGGTCGAGAACCGCTTCAGATGCACGATCAGCACCAGCGGCAGTCTAGCAATTAGCAGCCGCTTGGTCGCACGGCGCTTAGCCTTGCATTGCGGGCATTTCCACCGGTCGTCGCCATCCAGCACTTCGGTCTCCGAGTAGGCATCCAGACACTTGTAAATATCAGTTGAGGGGGTGCCGCCCGGAATCGGCACCGACAGCTCCGTGAACGTCGCATACGTGGTGGATGTGTGGCGGCATGTCAGACACGTGAGCCGCGACTGCGCCTGGCCCTGGAAAATGCTGGTGACAATCGACCAGTTGCGGCGGATATGCCTCTCCCACATAAACTGCGCCTGGCGCGCATCCACCAGCTGCTCGAACACTTGCTCGTCCTCTGCCGACAGCTCCCTGTCGGGCGGCGGCCGCGGGCTGATAGTATTGAGAGCCTCGTGTAGCGCGTCCAGCAGGAACACAGCAAACTCCTGTGCGTCCTCCTGGTCGTTGCCACGGAACTGCTCCGACTGCCGGCCCACAGCATTGCGGAAGGCTACTGGCGACAGAGACGCATACTGCCCGCTCCACATGGTGTCCACTAGGCGCGCAAACTCCACCGCCACGTCGCTGCCGCCAGCAGTGCGACGCCAGTGGCCCTGGCGGAAGTACCGCACGAAGGGAGTGGTGCCGGCCAGGCACTGGATGATGCTGTTCATGAAGCACGTGTTGCCAAAGTTCTTCAGACCCGTGGATCCGAACCCACCCGCGTCCTCCTCTGTCTTCTGGCTGCTGGTGGCTACCACCGCCTGCGACCGGATCAGTCCGCCTGCGTGCATGCGTCCGTTGAGCGACGGGTCGGATCCGGCTGCTGTTGGGTTTGCATACAGTGTCGATGGCCGGGGGACTGCTGGTAATGGCGCGGCTGGCGGTGTGTGTCGCCGCTTGACCACCGCTGCTGTTGTCTGTGGAGATGGCTCTGTCTTTGTAGGAGATGGCTCAACTTTCGGAGGAGACAGCTCGGGCTTCTGAGGTGATGGCTCCTCCTTTTGTGTATAGCCCTCTGCCTCAGCCTTCTGCTGGTACGCTGCCGGCTTGGGTGGAATCGACGGCGGCTGAGACACTTGGATCTGCGCTTGCTGCTTGATCGCCTGCCTCTCACCGCCGCTGCCTGGGGACCCCGTGAACCCATAGACCGGATTGTCAAACACCGTCTTCCGCCGCTGTACGCGCGCCGCCGCCCCCGGGATCTCCGGCAACGGCTTGGGCGCAGCGATCTGATCCGCCGATTCAAGTCCCTGTGTATTGTATCCCTGCGTATACACTGCCGGCCACTGTGGCCGGTAGTTTGCATTTTGCTGGAAAAAGTCAAACACCGAGCCCACCGCTGGCTGCATAGGCATCGGCTGGTACCGGTACAGGTCCACTGACTGCTGCTGTTGCTGAGGCTCTGCCGTGTATTTCTGGGGCCCAGGCGTGTATTTCTGAGCTTGTGTATTCGTTAATGCCCCCGTCGGTGCATGGTACGACAGCATCGACGCGATATTCGGCGCCTTCTTGGCCGCTGTGTTCGACCAGAGGCACTTGTCCCTCCCCACCTCTGCCTCCCACGCGTCCATGCCACCAATCAATAGCAGCGGCGAGTGCTTCAATGTCTTGTCCACCTCGTAGTGATAGATGGCTGCCACCAGTTCCCGCAGCCCCTTTGTGTTCGAGTTGCGCGAGTTCTGGTCCATATACACTACTATGTCGAACTCGTTGCGCCGCCGGAACCACTCCTGCTGCTCCTCAGATACCAAGACCAGCGATTTTTCGATATCCCGAGACGTACATCCTGCATGTAGTCCCAGTGGATCCACATTCACTACTGTGCGGTGGTCGATGTGACCCCACGCGAACTCTTGGTGCATCCGCACGTCCAGGATCAGAACCGACGGCCGCCCGCCCGTCGACACCCGCGATTTCTGTATCAGGTCCCAGAGCTCGGTGGGCGTGCACGTGACCATGTTCTTGCCAACCCACTCCGCCGCTGCCCCGCCGCTGCCCTGCACTGCTGCCATGCCGGTCTGCGGTCCGCTCATATCCACCATGCGCGCCTGCGCGTCAATCTCCCGGAACCTGCTATTATGCTCATTGTACAAGACATCCTCAATAGTGCTTGCCGAGTTATACGACACTGGCTGCACTGGCGGCGTTGTCCACGGCTCGCCCGGGTGCTCCGGGAACTTGTTGGCGAATGCATCCTCCATCTCATCTACCTGCTCAGCCGTCATCGAGCGCTCCGGATACGGTCTCTGCTTGAGCACTGCCGCCAGCTCCTCGAGCTCATTGAGCACCGACCGGCCCAATTCACCGCGCAGCCTGACGTACACCGAGTCGCGCCTGTCAAACTCCTTCTGCTTGGGCACAATCTCTGTGATAATCGTCGAGCTTTTCATATACTTCACATATGCGTTCTCCAGCTCCCCGTTCCGTTTATCCGCCTTGGCTTCCTCCATGCAATGCTGTGCCGTCTTCAGCCACGCCTTCACCGACGCCGAGATGCTGCGGTCGATTTGCGCCCGCTTGTTCAAATCCGTCACCAGCGAGCGCTTCCGCCCCGTACTGGTGCGCAGTGCCAGACCGTCGTCGGCTGGGGGAGGCCTGGTCAATGGCAGGCTGTGCGGGCTTAATGGCGAAATGCTCAGCCCGCCTGCTTGCAGGTTGGGCCGGAGCTGGTCCGACCGGTGCAGGTCGCCCACCGGCCGGTGTGGTGGCGTCTGCGCCAGCTCCGGAAACGTCACTGCCTGGTCTTCCAGCACCGGTGCCAGTGCTGGTCGCGACGGCGATTGCTGTGTGACTGCTGCCGGCGAAATGCGTACCGGCCGGTCTGCCTTTTGCGGTATTGCTCCGCTGCCTTGCTGCTTCAACGCCAGGCTCTCAAACCTGCGGATGAGGTCATTGGTGCGTCCTCCGTGTGCTCCCGACATTTGTCCTAATTGTACATTTAGAAAAGAGAAATAAATATAGCACTACCTGTGCAAAAAAGCGAGGACGCTATTGCAGTTGCACGTCATCGAAAAACAGCGGAATGTCACACCCACCTGAGAGGCACGTTGCTCACTGTGTGGCCTTGGCATTAGTGCTGATTAGATTACTAGTGATTGCGATCACGCACATGCACTTTGGCCACACAATCCTGTCACATCTCCATCATCTGCCCCTCACCCACTGCACGACTACTTTGAGCCTGGATTGCTGCTTGGTGCTGCGCAGCAAGACAAAATCTATTATTAACTACGCAGCAAGGGCGCCAGGCACGCCTTTTGGGCCATTTACACTTGGCCACTGTAGCCCCAAGAAACCACCCACTGCGCTTTGCTATAGCAACCGTATGAGTAAAGAGGAAACACACAATTCCACCTGTCTTGGCACAGGCGCCATAGCAGCCTCCCGCATGGTTCCTCCTCCCAATCTGTTGAGGGATTTGCTGTTTTCATGACAGAAAGGAGATGCGTAGATGGATTGTCCACAAGGCAAGAGTGCACAGAAATTCAACGCACGGAAAACTCTTCATAGAACAAGAGCGACAATTGCGTTGAATTGTTTGGTTATGCCTCTTCTACGCCCAAAAAACGAACAAGCACAGCTGGAAGCAAGAACGATTTGCCTACATGAACCGCCCCGTCAGACATGAAGGCACGTCGCAAACTCCTCCATCCCTCAAGACTTTCTTTCTCTGCAGTATCTTGTCTATCTCACCACTGTTTTCAATTATGCCCGTGTTTTCAAATCTCCTGCGACAGCGCTCGACTGCGCGGTCGCTGCACTCCCAAGCGCCCATTGTCCCGCCCACACACCCCAGACACTCGACCTCTAACAGCGAGTGGGGCCTGGGCGCGCGAGCCTCGCTATCCCGCACTGCCCGCCACCCAAGCCCAGTCCGCACCAACACCATGAATGCAACCGCAAACCTTGCCGAGCTCACTGCAACGCAGCACGAAAAATGCCAGCCCGCGGGTCTTCTCCAGCCCATGCTGCTTCTGCGCCGCTCCCTGTTCAACAGCTGGATCAACATACTGCTTTTGCTGGTCCCGGTCGGCATCGCCTCGCACCCGGCCGGCTTCCCGGACGTGGCTGTCTTCATAATCAACTTCTTTGCCATCGTCCCCCTGGCCAGCCTTCTGGGGTATGCGACCGAGCAACTGGCACTGCATCTGGGCGAGACACTGGGCGGTCTTTTGAACGCGACCTTTGGCAATGCAGTCGAATTGCTGGTTAGTATTCTGGCGCTAGTCAAGGGCGAAGTCGAGATTGTGCAGACCTCTCTGGTGGGCTCGATTCTAAGCAACCTGCTGCTAGTCGGTGGCTGCTGTTTCTTCTTCGGTGGGCTGAAGAACAACGAGCAGCTGTTCAATGTCAATGCTGCGCAGTCGTACGGGTCGCTGCTGGCCATGGCCATTCTGTCGACCCTACTGCCGGCCGCCTATAATTCGCTCGAGGCCCGCCAGACCGAGCTCAAGAGCGGCACGCTGACATTGTCGCATGTCACGTCAATTTTCCTGCTTATCATCTACATCGCCTACCTGGTGTTCCAGCTCAAGACCCACGCAGGCATGTTTGTGGCGGTCGATAAGGCCGAAAAGGACCTGGCGGCGCTCAAGCCACACCAGCGCGAAGCCACAGCCCAGCTGGTCAAAAATGATGGCACCACTGTCCCGGCCACCCCCAGCGCCGCAGCTTACCTGAGCCCCGATGATGTGCAGTCAGCAAACTCGCTGCAAAACATTGAATCGCATGACAATGTGCCGGACGATGACGAGGAGGACATCGAATTGACGATTCCGGCGGCGCTCCTACTCCTGCTTATTATCACTGGTCTGACTGGCGTGTGTGCCGAGTTCCTGGTCGACTCAATCGATGGATTGACAACAAAGTGGAACCTGTCGCGTGCCTTTGTCGGCATGATTCTGCTCCCAATCGTTGGCAATGCCGCCGAGCACGTCACCGCCGTAACTGTCGCTATCCGCAACAAAATGGACCTGGCCATTGGCGTCGCCGTCGGCTCGAGCCTGCAGATTGCGCTGTTTGTGACTCCGTTCATGTGCGTGCTCGGCTGGATCATCAAGCAGCCGATGACCATTTACTTCAGCCCATTCACCACTGTCGTCCTGTTCGTCACGGTGCTTTTGGTCAACTACATCATTGGCGATGGCCGCACGAACTGGCTCGAGGGCCTGGTGCTGATTGTCGCCTATGTCATTATCGGCGTCGCCTACTTCCTCTACCCGAAGGATATTGTTACTGGGTAGTTTGCATTTTTCGAGTTTGTTTTCTATCTAGCCGTTTAATATTTTTGTGTATGAAATATAGCGCTTTCCATGCATTATAGCGAAGCTTCTCTAGTGACGTTCTACAATAGAATGATGGTGTTCCTTTAGAAATAACAAACCGGTTTTTTGCTTGACAAGAACATACAGAGCGTTCTTTTCATTCCAGGGACCCTAGATCCGTATCGCGGTACGTGCTCTGCATATACGCTATATAGGGCTGAAATGAGGTAAAGTAGAGCCGAAAGGAATCACCTTGCCAATTCTCAGCACATAGCCGCTAATTAATCACTCGGGTAATTGCTTAAACTACAGTCTGCATAAAATGAATCCCGATTTGGCTGAAGTCCGCACCTAGCACCTGCTTCCTCTATTTCCACCCCCGCCCAGCAAGAAATCCCGGGCATATGTTGTGCGTTGAGAGTCTGTGGGCCAAGGTCAGCTTTGTGCCTCCCCCAGCGGAACTGGGCTGATAGCAAAACCTCCAGAGTTGTCCCCGTGCACCGTGGGACCCGGCTCCTTTCAGCAGATGGCACGGCCTGGCACCGGTATCAAATAGGGTGAGCCGATACAGGGATGCAGGCGCGTACGTTTGTGTCACAAAGCAGGAGAAGAAATCAGCATCTGCTGAATGCGGAGTTGCCAGCAAAAGCACTCCCGGCGCATGCGCGTTTCCAATGTGCGCCTCGAACGAAGGCAGCATGCTACCCCACTCCTGCATTCCACCACCGCCCCTTTTGTCAATGTGCCTTCCAACATGGACCAGCTGTCACATTGGAGCTCGCCGCTGTCAAGTAAGGCAATTGTCAGACCAGAGGCCGCTGCCACTTTGTTGCGAGAACGCAACTTGGCACCCATGCATTTGCTGGTTTTGTTTGATTTCTCGTGTCGTGGGAACAGCGTGCTCGATGGTACCGCTTTCTGCTAAAGGAGTAGCAATTGGCTTCGGGACATGCGGGGGTGTTTTTGCACCCAAACAAAAACCCACGGCCAAATATCCATACATGCAAGCTACATCGGCACACTGCACCTCGATGGGCACGGCCCCCTGTTCTGTTTTTCTGGCCGGGGTGATTCCTTGCCCATTGGCAAGGATGCCCGGTTGCGACGTTGGCAGAACTGAGGGAAAGGGCCTACTTGGAAGCAGGTTGCTGTGCTTGCAGAGGATTGCCACGCCGATGCTTCTGTCCAGTAGGAGAGCACAATATCGAATTCGAGATTACTATATATAGGTTCGATTTAGATCGACACTTGCCCACGCATGTCCAAATCCGAGCTCGGGCGTAGCGCGCTCCGCGCGGGAGGAGCTTCCCAGGCGGCGCCTGCCGCGATATGGGCACAGCAGACGCTTCTGCGGATCACATGTATTCCTGGATAGAACAGGCAGGCAACGTGCGATTATTGGGGTGGGAACATTTTCTGTTGGTTTTTTCTTTCTGCGCAAAAAAGAACCTGCCGGCGCCTGGAGCCAGATGCGGAGGAGATTGCCAGACGAGTCTGCTAATGGACGGAGTTTTGTGTAGCAGCGATATTTCACACGCAACGGGATCCCTTGGATGCCTTGTTTTGGCAGACCGCGCTCACCTGGTGCTCCCTGCTGATGCCCATCGGCCAGCCTGCGTCGGTTCATTTTGCGAGCAGATGACACACTGATGGTTGGGGAGGAAAAAATAGAGAAGCTGTGCCCGCGGAGTGCGCTGTTGACACAGCAGAGCCTGTTCTGGGTAGCGCAAATAACAATCGATTGCAGGGAGCGAGTCCAATGCTATCAGAGAGACCATCGGTAGATCTGCTTACACTCTGCCCCTCGTCGCTCCGTCTGTCCTTGCCGTCCCTATGCATCCAAATTTCGCGTGATAGCCGGTTCTATCTGTAAAAATGTGCGACAAGGGGTCCCCGTCTCTGTCGCGCAAACACCCCCATGGCCACTCTGCGCATTCCATCTGCAGGCAGGCGCGGAACGGGGAGAACACATCTGCAATATACTGAATAGGCGCACTCTGCCAATCATGTAGCGAGACGGCCGGCACAGCAAACGCCTCGCAGGATGTGTGCATCCCCGTCCATGGCGACAGGCTGCGCGCTCCCTGGCTCATGATGATTGCCGTCGCTGCCGGTTCTTCGCTGCGTTTCCAGCGTGGGTGAAAAATGGGCCGTGCTGGGAGTGCGACAACGGGTGGCAACCGGTTTGCTGACACCCGGGGGTGGCACGGCTGAGCAGCTACACCGTCCCAGTATAAAGAGCATTGTACAGCGCGCCTGCCTCCCCCGGATGGTTCATTACTTGGAGTCGATTTATACAACCACCCTTGTTATTTTCTATTCTCTCTATTCTATTCAAATCTTTAACTTCTACTTCAATCACCCCTTCTTTTAATATTACCCTTTTTCCGCTACCTGGTACTATTTGAGATTTCCACTCCATAGCACCAAACATGGCCGAGGTTCAATATCCGCAATCTCACGGCTACGAGGGCGAAACCGGAGCCGCCCAGTACAACACCGCCATTGACGAGGAGAAGTATGTCGAGAAGGCAGCTGCTCACTTTGACGGCGAGGAGGAGGAGGAGGACTCGCCCTTTGAGATGGTCCGCATCGCCGTCTCCAACAAGGACGACCCCAACCTGCCGTGCCTGACATTCCGCTCGTGGGTGCTGGGCATTATCTTCGCTGCTGGCCTTGCGTTCATCAACCAGTTCTACTGGTTCCGCGATAACCCCATCACACTCGGCGGCTACGTCGTGCAGCTGCTGTCCTTCCCCTGTGGTTACCTGATGGCGCTGGTGCTGCCCAAGAAGAAGTTCCGCACGTTCGGCTGGGAGTGGACACTCAACCCCGGTCCCTTCAGCATCAAGGAGCACGTTATTATCTCCATTTTCGCCGGTACCTCTGTCAGCACGACCTACGGCATTGACGTGGTCACCATCAAGAAGCTGTACTACCAGTCGGATCTCGGCTTCGGTCCCTCGATTCTCTTCATCCTGACCTCGCAGATCATGGGCTACTCGTTCGCTGGCTTCTCGCGCGAGTTCCTCGTCTACCCCGCCGCCATGATTTGGCCTGCCAACCTGGTCAGCGTCACCCTGTTCCGTACCTTCCATGAGAAGCAGAACTGGGGCAAGCTGTCGCGCACAAAGGTCTTCTGGATTGCGTTCCTCGGTAGCTTCTGCTGGTACTTCCTTCCTGGTGTCATTTTCCCGACTCTCAGCTTCCTGAGCATCCTGTGCTTCGCTGCCCCCAACAACGTCATTGCCAACCAGCTTGGAGATGCGATGCATGGTGTGGGCATGCTCAACTTCTCGCTCGACTGGAGTTACATCTCGTCGGCTTACACACAGTCGCCGATTGCCATTCCGTGGGTCTACTGCTGCAACGTCTTTGCCGGCTTCGTCATTATCATGTGGATTGCGACCCCGATCGGCTACTACAAGAATGTGTGGGACACCCAGCTAATGCCCATCTACACATCGCAGCTGTACACTACGGGCGGTGCCAAGTACAACATCTCCATGGTCAGGAACGGTGATATGCTTGATGTTGAAAAGTTCAACGCGTACTCGCCGCTCCGCATGACGTTCACGTTCGCCATGACCTACGGTATTGGATTCGCTGGTCTCATCAACCTCATCGTCTACATCGCCCTGCACTACGGCAAGGAGATTGTCCAGCGCGTGCGCCAGTCGCGTTCGATGGAGGACGATATCCATGCCAAGCTGATGCGCCGGTACCCTGAGGTCCCGCACTGGTGGTACGCTATCACCTTCGTCATCACCTTTGTTGTGGCTATCATTACCTGCCAGGTCTTCCACCTCATGCCTTGGTACTGGGTCATTGTCGCTACTGTCATCCCATTCATCTTTACCATCCCCATTGGTATCGTCCAGGCCCTCAGCAACCAACAGCCCGGCCTCAACATCATTACCGAGTTCATCATTGGTTATGCCAGACCGGGAGACCCCATCGCCAACGTTACCTTCAAGGTGTACGGCTACATCACCATGACCCAGGCCCTGTCGCTGCTCGGAGACCAGAAGCTCGGCCACTACATGAAGGTGCCGCCTCGCGCCCTGTTCGTCGCACAGCTTGTCGGTACCATTATCTGTGCCTTTGTGCAGCTCGGCGTCGCCTTCTGGCTCATCAACACTATCGACGGGATGTGTACCGAGAAGGGTGGCCACTTCACTTGTATCCAGGCCAACACCTTCTTCTCGGCGTCGGTTATCTGGGGTCTGGTTGGCCCTGAGCGCATGTTCGGAAGCTCCTCGCCGTACCACCCTGTGCTGTACCTATTCATTCTCGGCCTGTTCCTCCCTATTCCATTCTGGCTCTACACGCGCAAGTACCCGGATAGCTGGGTCAAGCACATCCACACTCCTCTGCTCTTCATCGCCTCGGGCTACATGCCCCCTGCCCCGTCGTCGGTGTACACCAACTGGTTTATTGGCTGCTTCTTCTTCAACTACATCTGGCACAAGTACAGGAACTCCAGCTGGCAGCGCTATGCCTTCGCAATGTCTGCTGGTCTTGACTGTGGTCTTGCGATTTCAGGTATCGTTGTGTACTATGCGTTCCAGAATGTCACTCTACCGAACTGGTGGGGTAACCCAGAGGCGGGTACTCACTGCCCACTTGCCGCCCATGGATTCAAGGCGCTTCCTGTAGCAGCCTAGGCAGCTCTAGCCGTTGCACATATCGTCTAGCTTTTGTTGACAATGCTACCTTTTTGCCAAATAATATGCTCTTCTTTGGCACACTTTGGTTGATGTTTGGAGGGAATTCCAGGAGCAGCTGGCAGGGTGGGCCAAACAAAGCGGCGTTCGGCCCCATGATTTGCATGTGTGTGTGACAATACCAAACCACTCCCGATGTTTTGAGCAAGCCGGCAGCAAATGATTCAGCACTGCCAGGATAGGCAGCCTGATGAGGGTGGGAAAGTTGTACTGTCAAGACGCTTTGGCGTTGCCATTTCTGGTCGAGGAGACACAGCATGTGTTTTTGATCGAATTCCGCGCACCCCTGCACATCCTCCTTCGGCTCCTCAATATGGAGCTCGCAGAGCAAGGCTCGTTGTTTCATTCGTGCATCAAAGGTCGTGGCGGCACGGTAATGCTTTCCAAGGCTAGTCTTTATAAGTTGTTGTTTATTTGGACGAAATGGGCGTACCCGATTCTCGAGATTTGGGCAAAGCTGTTGCCGTATTTGCTCAAGCTGGAAAATCATGCGTAGTCGCGGTGCAGAGGTGGGAGGCGGATCGGGATATGAAGAGTAGGCGGGCCGAGCCCAAAATGGTACCGCACAACTATTGTCCTTAGGAAGAAGGCGAAAAGACTAAGCAAGAACGGTATAAAAGGAGCTCTAGCATCTGCGGGTGGCGTCTCCAGCACCTCACCCCCACCATTGTCGTCCATTGCTCTTTCATAATATTTTTATTCTATTCCTCTCGATTATTTGTCATGTTTACTGCTACTGGCCAACAGGCTATAGACGACAGGAGCCAGGCTGGGTTTGTAGATCAGGAATACAGCCTCGACATGCCAGCTGCTGACAAGGTCTTTGATAGCGAGAAGGATGAGGAAGAGGAGGACTCGCCGATCGAGATGGTGCGGATAGCAGTCTCCAACAAAGACGACCCGAACATGCCGTGCCTGACGTTCCGCTCATGTGTCCTTGGTGTCATATTCGCTGCCGGTCTTGCGTTCATCAACCAGTATTACTGGTTCCGTGAGAACCCCATCACACTCGGCGGCTATGTCGTGCAGCTAGTATCCTTTCCCTGTGGCTATTTGATGGCGCTGGTGCTGCCCAAGCGCCAGTTCAACACGTTTGGCTTCCGGTGGACGCTGAATCCCGGTCCCTTCAGCATCAAGGAGCATGTGCTCATCTCCATCTTTGCGGGTGCATCAGTCAGCACGACATACGGCATTGATGTGGTCACCATCAAGCGCATGTATTACAAGTCGGAGATGGGATTCGGCCCCTCGATTCTCTTCATCCTGACCTCGCAGATCATGGGCTACTCGTTCGCTGGCTTCTCGCGCGAGTTCCTCGTCTACCCCGCCGCCATGATTTGGCCTGCCAACCTCATCAGCGTCACCTTGTTCCGTACCTTCCACGAGCTGTCGAATTTTGGCAGCCGGCTCACTAGGACACATGTGTTCTGGATTGCGTTCCTCGGTAGCTTCTGCTGGTACTTTATCCCTGGGGTCATCTTCCCGACTCTCAGCTTTATAAGCATCCTGTGCTTTGCTGCTCCAGACAACATTATCGCCAACCAGCTTGGAGATGCGATGCATGGTGTGGGCATGCTCAACTTCTCGCTCGACTGGAGTTACATCTCGTCGGCTTACACACAGTCGCCGATTGCCATTCCGTGGGTCTACTGCTGCAACGTCTTTGCCGGCTTCGTCATTATCATGTGGATTGCGACCCCGATCGGCTACTACAAGAATGTGTGGGACACCCAGCTAATGCCCATCTACACGGCGACTCTATACACAACCAACGGAAGCGTATTTAACATTCACGAAGTTATGACGCCTACTGATAACCTGGATGTTGAGAAATACGCGTCGTATGGTCCTCTGCGCATGACGTTCACGTACGCCATGACTTACGGTCTAAGCTTCGCTGCCTTGATTAACCTCTTCGTCTACATTGCTCTCCACTACGGCAAGGAGATCGTCCAGCGCGTGCGCCAGTCGCGTTCGATGAACGACGATATCCATGCCAAGCTGATGCGCCGCTACCCTGAGGTCCCGCACTGGTGGTACGCTATCACCTTCGTCATCACCTTCGCTCTGGCGATTGTGACATGCGAGGTCTGGGGTATGATGAACTGGTACTACGTCATCCTGGCGACCGTGATTCCTCTGATTTTCACCATCCCCATCGGTATCATCCAGGCACTGAGCAACCAGCAGCCTGGCCTCAATGTGATCACCGAGTTCATAATCGGCTACGCTAAGCCAGGCGATCCCATCGCCAACGTTACCTTCAAGGTGTACGGCTACATCACCATGACCCAGGCCCTGTCGCTGCTCGGAGACCAGAAGCTCGGCCACTACATGAAGGTGCCGCCTCGCGCCCTGTTCTTCGCGCAGCTTGCCGGTACCATCATCTGCTCGTTTGTTCAGCTTGGTGTTGCCTTCTGGCTCATGGACACGATCAAGGGCATGTGCACGCCGGAAGGTATGCCGTTTACATGTCTGCAGGCCAACACCTTCTTCTCGGCATCGGTTATTTGGGGTCTGGTCGGCCCTGAGCGCATGTTTGGAACGGAATCGATATACCACTCGATGATGTACCTGTTCATTCTCGGCCTGCTGCTTCCTATTCCATTCTGGCTCTACACGCGCAAGTATCCGGATAGCTGGGTCAAGCACATCCACACCCCCATGCTGTTTATCGCCTCGGGCTACATGCCACCCGCACCATCCCACGTATATTTCAACTGGTGGGTTGGCTGCTTTGCTCTCAACTTCCTATGGGGAAGGCTCTTCAACCGTGGCTGGCAGCGCTATGCCTTCTCATTGTCGGCTGGCCTCGACTGTGGCCTTGCAATTTCGGGCATTGTTACATACTATGCTTTCCAGAACGTCGCTTTGCCGCACTGGTGGGGCATGGAATCAACTCACTGCAAGCTGGCACAGTACGGAAAGGCCAACTACAAGGAAATGCTGGCAGCAGCAGCATCCGCCGGCGCGTCTTAATCTATTCTCCGGTAGCCTCTATTTTTACAAAACGACTATAATTAACCCTACCTGTTTTCAATGGCCATCGTTGTTCCTTTGCGGACATGCCGTTCAGAGTGGAGAGGACCTACATGGCCGATGGCAATGCGGGTTTGGTGGGTCCTTTTTCTCACGGTAAGCCGATGCCAAGCAACGAACTGCATGCAACAGGGTCCCTCTCTGCTACCATTCTCACTGGGCAGGGACGATTGGCCATCATAGGGCAGGTAGACATTTGGTCGCCTTACCCTTTTCGCTCGATTTTTGGCAGCTGCGAAAACTGCGATTTGCCTTGAATCTCGCCTGTCATGTGCTTCTCGATAGAAGCCAGACCCACCTATCATTGCAGCGAATTATGCCAGAGGCATACGCTGTGCAAAGCAGGACTGGCCATGCTTCAATGCTGGCCTCCGGCCGTCCACTGCGCCCCTCCATCGGCGATGCAGCAGCATATGTCCCCAGACACTCCCCATCCGGATGGAAGCGCCGTGCCAGAATGCCGACTATCATGAGACCATCTGTAAAGGCGCAACGATTGCCCATCAGATGCTCCTCTCTTTATGGTGGCCATTATTACGCGACAAGTGCAGCAAGCGTGGGGACAGGAGCGCTGCAGTCGTACAGACGATTCTATGGCTATGCAGCATGCTTCTCTGGCGGTTTCTCCCTTCCCAAGTACATGTACGCCCCCCACACCACCATCACTGCCATCACTGCCATCGCTGATTTGCACACCCAGGTTGGATTTTCATTACACAGACTAGTCTGCCAAGTCGGAACTCGCATCAAGTCCGCAATCTGGCATACGGCCACTACAAACGCCATCGCTAGGGGCCAGCACGCCCATGTGATGGATGTCCGAGCAACTGTCAGCTATAAGAGACGAGAATTTCGCGCGCTTGTCCCCTTTTTGACCAGAAAACAAAATCATGGATTGCCATGTTGATCTGCCTACCGCATTGCCAGATAGAACGCCTATATGCAAAATCTATTGCAATTATCGCACGCATGTCTAGGGGCTGGGCGTTCTATGTTTCCTTTGTTCTGAGTATGTCTGCTACAGGAGCAGTGTGCAAAAGAGGGACTACACTGCCTCCCCCAAGTTTACTATTTGTTGTGGTTAGCACGGTGCGTATATAAGGGCGCAGTTTTTCTGTTGCGGGGTGCCTTGCATCTTGAGCACTACACGATTCTCTCCATCTGCCTCCTCACTCCCCTTCATTTTGGTATTGTTTTTGCTAAACGGAGTGCCTTTTCACTACTAGTTCACCTTATTTAATTAATACTATTTCTTTTCTCTTTAAACCACCAAACCAGCAGCATGGGGTTTATTGACCGCATTGGTGCGGCGCTATCCTCAAACAGGCAAGAGCAGCATGATTTTGAGCAGCCAGGCACCATGGAAGACCTGAAGGTGTCTGAGCAGGGTGTTGGTGTCGAGAAGGGTGGCCAGTTCGACGAGAATGAGGAGGAGGAGGACTCTCCATTCGAGATTGTGCGGATTGCGGTATCTAACAAGGACAATCCAGACACGCCCTGCCTGACGTTCCGCTCGTGGGTGCTCGGCATTATCTTCTGTGCTGCACTTGCATTTGTGAACCAGTTCTTCTACTTCCGCCAGAACCCGATCCTTCTCGGTGGCTACATTGTGCAGCTGCTGTCCTTCCCCTGCGGCTACCTGATGGCGCTGGTGCTGCCCAAGAAGAAGTTCCGCACCTTTGGAAAGGAATGGACGCTGAACCCCGGGCCGTTCAACATCAAGGAGCATGTGCTCATTTCCATCTTCGCCGGCACCTCTGTCAGCACGGTGTACGGTATCGATGTCACGGTTATCAAGAAGCTGTACTACAAGAGCCCGCTTGGATTCGGCCCTTCAATCCTGTTCTGTCTGACAACGCAAGTCATGGGCTACTCGTTTGCCGGTCTGTCGCGCAAGTATCTGGTCTACCCGGCGGCCATGCTGTGGCCAACTACGCTGATCAGCGCCACGCTGTTCCGCACATTCCACGAGATTCAGAACTTTGGCGGCAGGATGTCGCGCACAAAGTTCTTCTGGATCTTCTTCGTCATCAGCTTCGTCTACTACATCGTTCCTGGGTTCCTGTTTACCACGCTGACGATGATTCCAATCCTCTGCATTGCTGCTCCGAACAACATCATTGCCAACCATCTCGGCGACGGATACAACGGGCTGGGCTTCATGGCGCTGACTCTCGACTGGTCGACCATCTCGAACGCTTACACGCAGTCACCGATTGCCTGCCCGTTCCCGATGGCGTGCAATGTCTTTGCCGGCTTCGTTCTCTTTATATGGATCGTAACGCCAATCGGGTACTACAAGAACACGTGGAATGCAGGCAACTTGCCCATCTACACGTCGCAGCTGTTCCTGCCCAACGGCAGTGATTACGATATCGAGCAGGTCATGAACGGCGAGCACCTCAGCGCAGAAAAATACGCCGACTACGGGCCGCTCCGCATGACCTTCCAGTTTGGATTTACTTACGGTGTTGGTTTCGCGGGTCTCATCACGCTCATCGTCTATATTGCGCTCCACCACGGCAAGGATATTGTCCAGCGGTTCAGACAGTCGCGGTCCATGGATGATGACATTCACATGAAGCTGATGCGCCGCTACAAGGAGGTCCCGCAATGGTGGTACATGGTCACCTTTGCAATCACCTTTGCACTGTCGATTGTGACGTGCGAGGTTTGGCACATGATGAACTGGTACTATGTCGTCTTGGCAACGGCTCTGCCCTTCATCTTTACCATCCCCATCGGTATCATCCAGGCACTGAGCAACCAGCAGCCTGGCCTCAATGTGATCACCGAGTTCATCATCGGCTACGCTAAGCCAGGCGATCCCATTGCCAACGTCACATTCAAGGTGTACGGCTACATCACCATGACCCAGGCCCTGTCGCTGCTCGGAGACCAGAAGCTTGGCCACTACATGAAGATCCCGCCCCGCTCTCTGTTCATTGCGCAGCTCGTCGGTACCATTATCTGCGCGTTTGTGCAGCTCGGTGTTTCATATTGGCTCATGTCTACAGTTAAGGGCATGTGCACGCCAGAAGGATACCCTGTTACCTGTATCAACACCAATACGTTCTACTCAGCATCGGTTATCTGGGGTCTGGTCGGCCCTGGGCGCATGTTTGGAACAGAATCGCCATACCACAGCATGCTCTACCTGTTCATTCTCGGCCTGCTTGTGCCCTTCCCCTTCTGGTACCTGTCCAAGAGATTCCCGAACTCGTGGGTTGCGCAGATCAACATTGCCGTCATCTTCAATGTTGTGGGTAACCTGCCGCCGGCTCCTACCCACGACTATGTGTGGTTCTTTGTCGTCTGCGCTTTCACCAACTGGTATGTCCATTCGCGGTGGAATGGCTGGTGGCAGCGCTATGCCTTTGCGTTCTCGGCAGGCATGGACTCTGGACTGGCTATTTCAGGCATCATCATCTTCTTTGCCTTCGAGCATGTCAAGCTCAGATGGTGGGGCAACAGCCCGGATGGCCATTGTCCGCTGTCGATGACAGGCTTTATCTCCTCGTAAGCAAGCACCCGGCTCCCAACAATAAATTTCCAAGGAGTTGAATGCATAATGAACAGAGGCGCAGCATGGCTTTTTGTGCACAGCATAGATCGCAATGGCCTAATGTTTACAGCTTGTTGAGGGCGCAGCACCAGTGGATTTTCAAAATGGGGAGCCTAGAATTCACATGTCCGCCCCGGTTCCGATTCCATTGTTGCACAACCCACCTGCCAGTGCATATGAACCCTCCTCCCGCCGATTGTCTGCAGATAAAGATCGTGCCGAGCCATGTTGCCGCCTTTCTAGCGGGCAATGACACCGAGGTGGAAACCCTCCTCAAACAAAAGGAGTGCTCCGTTGCAGCGAAGCCCAAAAAAAAGTACTAGTGCCGCCCCGTATCAAACCCCGTATTTCTGGCATTGCACATGCGCAGCAGGCACCGAGACAAGGCAGAAAAGCTCTCTCTTCTCTGCATTCTGGCCGTGTGCTGCGAATAGTCAAGGCGCTGCGCGATGAGTCACTGGCCCTTCAGAGCAACCAGGCCAATCTGCCGAGATTCAAGCAGTGTATAAGACAATAAAACGCTCGTTGGGCCGAGCAGTTTGCGATTAGCTGCAGCAGATACAGCATACTAGAGATCCCTAGGCTAGTGTGCTGCCGACAACATGCCGAGAGATCTAGACCCGCCATATCTCGACTGGCACACTACCGGTTGGTGCGCCCATACGACGAACATCCGATCACCTACATGGAGGAGTGGCCAAAAGGGAATGCCTAAAAATACCCCAGGCCTATCCCACTATACACGTGGGATACAAGGGCAGCCTGCGTCCCCTCCTTTCGCCTGGTCGGGGGCATCTTCGAGAAGGGACGGGCGTTGCAGATAAAGAGGGCGCAATAAAGCATTGTGGTTCAGAACGCTTCGATGCTCAGGCTCCGCGTCACATCCGTGTGCTGCTGCCAAGAATTTTTTTGGGTGGGGGTAGAACAGCGGGCTGCGTAGACACGGCGGCAGCCGGCCAATGGGTGGGTTCGCAAGCTCAATAAGGTACGGACGGCGTTTGTGTTTGTGCGACACGACCCCCTGCTACCTTGCCTCCTCCATACACGGGTACAAGGAGAACACTGACGGGAAGCTGCTGGCACAGTGTTCTTGCGGGGACGGGATCGTCGATGGGTCGCAAGCACACCCAAGCTCGGGCGCTAGTGCTGCCGCTTTGGCTAAAAGGGAAGACTACGAGCAAAAAAGTTTTTTCCCTCTCGTAGCCAATTCCGCTCCTTCGTTTATTTTATTTTATTTTAGTTTTTTTTTTTTGAACAGGCGTAATACTTTCCTCACGCCCGATCCTCACGCGTTACAAAAGCGGGCATCCACCACTCGTATTTTTTCTCTCGTTGAAAAACTTCTCTCTTCCGTTCTCTTCATTGGGTCCCCAAGCACTTTTTCTGCACATTACTACAGCTATATTTCTCTTTATTTGGCACCGTATTTTTATCTTAGCCAGATCATGATCCACGCCAGCGACCAGTACCCGTACCCGCTCAGCGCACAGACAACGCCACAGAGCGCTTCCATGTCTGTAGGTGGATCCGTTGCCAACGCCGCTCAGATGTACAGCCAAGCCAACTATCACCACCACCACGCATCGATACCTACAGACCACCACCATGCGCTGCTGGCGACCCAGCAGCCGGTAACGACGATCTCTGTGGCTGCTGCCGCTGCCGCTGCTGTGGCTGCCAGTGGCCCGATGCACTCGATCCCGATCACACATGCAGCCCAGGCGCAGATGATGTTTCCCACCATGGGCGCCTTTGACAACAACCCCGCTGCTGCTGCTGCCGCTGCCGCTGCTGCCGCCATGGCCTCTGCCCATGGCCAGCAACAGCCTGGCATGCACAGCACGCCCCAGCCCCAGTTCTACCAGCAGCCGCAACAAACACAGCCGCAGCAGCAGCCGCTTCCAAGCACACCCGGCACGCCGGCAGCTCCGCCGGGGATCCAGGCTGATGTCCCGCTGCAGCAGCAGCTGCACCAGCACCAGCAGAAGCAGATGTCGCCGGAGCGCCTAAAGGACATGTACCGCACAGCGGCCATGTCGTCCCCGCAGGCCCAGCAGTTCGTCACGCAACTGCCCCCGCAGCCCCTGCCCCCTAACAGCAGTAGCACGGGGTTTGTCCAGCAGGCAAATCTCGCCGCACGCGACGAGGACCCCATCTACGTCAACGCAAAGCAGTACCACCGCATCATGAAGCGCCGCGAGGCCCGTGCCCGTCTGGCCGCCGAGCACAAGCTCAACGCCAAGCGGAAGCCGTATCTGCACGAGTCGCGCCATCGCCACGCCATGCGTCGCCCGCGCGGTCCTGGCGGCCGCTTCCTGACTGCTGCCGAAATCGCTGAGCTCGAAAAGAGCGGCAAGCTGAACAGCAAGAGCCCTGAGGCACCGTCTGCGTCGAAAAAGCGCAAGAGCAGTGCCGCAATCTCGGCCAATTCTTCGTAATTAAAAAAACGCAAGCTCCGTTTTTTTTTTGGGGGGGGGGAGCAAGACCGTCACTTAGAAACAGGCAGGAGAGAAGCCAGTTGGGGGTTAGAAAGCTGCTAGCGTCTCTAGAGAGCGGCTTTTGCCTGTGCTTGTTGCCGATCTGCTGCGCCCGCCACGATCCTCGCGTTTAGAACTATTATTTTCAATCTCTTTCCTTCTGTAATTTATCAACACGATTCGCGCATGTCCTTTTGCCACTCGTTTCCGAGCACTGCGACTCTTGCCCGTGCAACCGCAGCGGGCCGGCCTACCACGCGGCGCAGTGCTCGATGCTGCCCGACGTGTTGCCCCACCATTCGGCAAACAGCAGCGGCCGCCTCTGGTACGCGAGGATCTGCCCAATAGAAAACAGAGCCGCGACCGCGCATCTGGTTCCTGTGTCCATGGCAGCGCTGAACAGCGATCGGTCTACCAGTCTGAGCCCCCTGTGGCGGAACCACGATTGCCCGGCGACCGCGGCCGCAAGCCCAGTCACAATAAAGTTTGCTGGCAGCCCCGGGACCGCAACCATGCCTGTGAGAATGAGCGGGACCTGCACCTGCGCGCAGATTGCCCCAACACATGCGGTGATCCGATTGGGGCGCAGCTTGCATAAGCAGCGTGTGCACAGCAGGCTGACGCATGCCAGGAACAGCGGGGCAGCCACTCCGATCATCAGGCCTTGCAGGAACAGCAGCCGGTATGGGCTGTCGGCAGCAAATATCGAACGCGGGCCCACGATGCCCCAAACAACGAGCTCCGAGCTCAGCGATGCCGGTGCCCTCGCTATCTCCCCTGGCTCGCGCCAGCCAACCTGCGAGGTCTTGTCGCTCAGCTGCGCGGGGTCGAAGCTCAGCGCGACATATACGAGGTGGTTCATGCAGGCGCCCCACACAACGCCGATAAGCGTGCCTCTGCCTATCCATGCCAGTCGGCATTGGGAAGGCAGTCCCTGCGCAGTGCCTTCGGCCTCTGCTATCGTCGGCTTCTTGCTGTCTCTATTGTTTTCGTGGTGTCCATTGTCCCCGTCATCCCGATTGTTGCCAACATGTTGCACCGCAGCCGTGCAATGGTGGGCAAGCTGGAAGCTGCGTACGCCGGCCCACCCCAATGCCACACTTGTCGGCACTGTCGCCCACATGTGAAAGTAGCTGGTCTCGATAGGCGATCCGGGCTGGCGCAGCCATCCGCCGATGATGTGCGGGAGCAGGTCCATAGGCAGCGTGAATCCCGCGACCGCCTCGACAAACCCCGTTGGGATGGTCATGACGAACGACCACCCCAGGGCAAGCGCGATCTGCCAGCCATTCAGTGCTGATATACCAAAGTACGGTGTCAGGACAGCGAATCCCACAGACAGAACCAGCAAACACGCCCGAACCGCCTTGCTCAAAACTCTGCTGGAGAGCCACCACCACTGCAGCATAGGCGCTTCTTCAAGCACAGTATCAGCTGAGCCCATGTCTGCCTCTGGCAATGGCGGGCGTCTAGTGCGCGGGCGCCTCACTAGTGGCCGCGGATCCACGATGATCCAGAGGGTCTGGAACAGCTCTCGCAGTGCCCCGCCGAGCCACTCGCGGTGCCAGAGCAGCAGGTGTGTGACTGCTGCCGTGATAGCTGCCACTGCGCAGATATACCCCAAGGCGCTGTTTACCGACAGTCGCACAGGCGAATAGTTGCGAAACTTGATTCCCTCTGCAGTCATCGTGCTATTGATCTGCGATATCTGGTACGTTTTGCCGGTATTGTCAAACACGTTCATCGAGACAATCGGCAGGCTCTTGGACTGCCACCAGTTCAGTGTCCAGCCGACCGGCGTCAGCACGTACATCATCAGCAGCGCACCACCGTAAAAGTGCAGCTGAGCCCACAGCGGCGACACCAACGGCCCCAGCGTTCCCAGCGCCTCCCAGTCAAATGTGAGCGACAAGATTCCTGCGCCGTCCCACCCAGAGCCGAAAACGCCAAGAAGCCGGTTTGTAGGCGCCCAAATGCATAGCAGGCACAGCGATTTGAAAATGGGCGCAATAAAGCTCAGTATCACCTGGTAGACGAATGCGACTGCCGTGAACAGCGCCAGCCTGCGCTTGCGGGCGGGGGTCGGAAATTGGCCGATGGTGGCGGTGTTGCTTCTATCGAAAGATCCAGCTTCCCCTATTAATTCTTCGTCAGACCCGCTCTCTAGCCACCCGCTGGTGCGCCTACTCTGTGAAAGTGCCCGGCGGTCCTGTGGAAATAGTGTTTGTATCAAGTACGATAGAGGCATAACATCGGGCCAGACCATCCCGTGGCCGTGACCGACAAAAACGTGGCGAAACATTTGGCCTAGCGACCACCCAAACACCTGCGTGCCGATCACCAGTGCCAGCTTCATCCACGAGTTGACCGGCCCGCCAAAGTCCGAATCCACCGTAGCGATCCACAGATACGCTGGTGCAAGACTGCCGCCGGCTGCGACCATCGACGTGATCCACACCATTTCCTCGCGCGAAAATGCCTTTAGATACCAGTGCTCCGTGCACCACTGTAGATGATTCATGAATCCGCCGGCTGTCCAGATGGAGGCTGAGGACGACTGTGGGTGTTCAGGCGTTCTTTGCAGCGTGCGTCGACATATCGGATATATCAAAACTGGTATAAACAGCGGGGAAAACGGCATGCTGTATGTGCGATACAGAAACAGCGGCGCAATTAGGGCACTGATCGTGGTGAAGAACACTGCATAGACCCATGCCCGAGCACTTGGCTTGAAGGTGGCCAGCGCATCGGCATTTGACTCTGTGATTGCATCTGGTGCCGCCCCGTCCGGTGTCGATGTCATTCCTGTCTCGTGCAGATATATATTAGGAGTGTATACAGCACATTAGACTATAGAGCATCGGCGGGCAGAAGGATGAAGAAAGTGGGAGAGCAAACAGGGATATCCACAAGCAAGAGCGTTTATTCTTTCAATGAAATGAAGTGAGTTTTTACTAAGAGTTGAGAACAATTCGAATTGACAATATCTAGGAGGTTTTTCCCAGTCGGGCAAAGAATGGAAGCGCCATGTGGTTAATTATAGCAGTAGCGCTGCTTCGATGAACGTAGCTACTTCTCTGTTCCCCCATCGCCTTGGAATGGATATTTTAACTACTGCTATTTTCGCCGGCTTCATCATTATAAACGCAAGGGCATTAGCCGTACATTGGCCGTTCAACCACGGGCTATAATTTAATTTCAATAGGTCCTCCCCGCGCCCACATTCCATTTCGGCATATATTCAGCATCACCGTTGTTGCGTATATACACCCCGAGTGCCAAGTCGTGTATAATGGCCTGTGTCGTTGGCCATGCATGTAACAAGAGATGGTACGATGAATGTATGCGCCGAGCACAAATGCATGCAGCTGTTCAGAGTCGGCAGTAAGCGCTAACCACCGGAGCAAGAAAGCAGCGCCAGTACGCCTGCTGTGTCCTTGAGCCTCTCGAGTACTCACAAGCAACTGATCCTTAATTCACCTTTACCATCCACCGCAAATTACATATCGGCCTGTTTTCGCTGTTTCATTATTGTGCTGGGCGGTGGACAGCAATTGTGACTGCGTGAATAGGCCGAGTAGGAATTATCGAAAATATACCGCTCGTTGTTCTATTTGCTTCTCTTTGGCCGAAGGAGTGGATTCTCGGACACATCAAGCTCAGCACAAAAACGCAGATTTTTCTCCTTTTGTAAACCGCCGATGCAGAATCACTTGTGTGCGAGGCAGCTTGGCCCAGGCTCTTGAAAATCACCGCGCGTCGATGGGTTTTTGGAAATGCAGCATACATGACCTAACAGTGCATAGGGCATGTGCACCGTGCGCGGCGAAAATGCCTGTGCTCGCAACACCCAGTTTTCCGCTCCTCCAGCTGGACTAAACCTCCCGGGTGCTGGCTTATCTTGCTGCCCTCCTGAACTGACGATGTGCGCAAAAATGAGGGGAGGGGAGACGATCTCTTCTGCGCGGGGAATTTCTACAGACTGAGCAGGTTATCTGAGTGAAAAACAAAAATCTCCACGCTCGAGCTGCATTCAAAACTATGCGGCCAACCGCGCCCAAAAAGCCCAAAGGTACCCAGATCCCAAGACCGTCTAACGGACGGAGCCGTATAAAAGGGAAGCCAGCCGGAGTGGACATGTTGGCTTCCTCAGTTCTGGCATTCATCTGAATTACCGCTTCTACTTCCGACTAACCAACTCGCTTCGCCCCTTTCCAGCAATCGCAATGGAGTCCTCGATCATCAAGTCCCAGGCCTACGGTAAGGACCGCGTCCGCGTTGTCCGCGTCGTCCGCCACGCCGACGGCTGGCAGGAGGTTGCCGACTACTCGGTCTGCTGCCTGCTCTCGGGTGCCCAGTTCGAGTCCTCGTACACCAAGGGCGACAACAAGCTGGTCGTCGCCACCGACTCGCAGAAGAACACCGTCTACTACCTGGCCAAGACGCTGCCTGCCGAGAAGGTCATGGTCCCCGAGGTGTTCGCCACCGAGATCGCCAAGTTCATGGTCAACAAGTACGCCCACGTCACCTCGTGCCAGGTCAAGATCATCACCAAGCCGTGGGAGCGCATGAAGTTCGACAACCGCAGCCACCCCCACTCGTTCTACCGCGAGGGCAAGGAGACCCGCTGGACCGAGGCCGTGGTCACCAAGACCAACCCGCCGTCGAACGCGTCTCTGGTCGCCGACGTCACCTCGGGCTTCTACGACCTGGAGGTGCTCAAGACCACCAACTCGTCGTTCACCGACTTCTGGCGCGACGAGCTGGCCACCCTGCCGGACATGCCCGACCGCATGCTGTCGACCAAGGTTCTGTGCCAGTGGAAGGTTGTGTCCAAGGACATCGACACCATCCAGGCGCTGCCCTTCGACACCATCTACAACGGCGCCAAGCGCAACACCCTCGATGCGTTCGCCAACGACCCCCGTGCCTGGGTCCACGCCTCGGTCCAGACCACCCTGTACATCATGGCCGACCGCATCCTCAACGAGTTCGCTGCCGTCGACGACGTGTACTACGCTCTGCCCAACATCCACATCTTCCCGTTCGATCTGAGCAAGTTCGGCCTGAAGAACCTGGCTTCGGACGCCGAGGTCTACATGCCCATTGCCGACCCGTCCGGCTTCATCACTGCCACCATCTCGCGCCCCGCCACCAAGCTCTAAGTCTGCTGTCGGTTCCCAGCGTAAGATCGGAGGTTTAGCCAACCCAAGGTTTTCTTCGTTTTTGCTCTGCCAGAATTCCTAATCGCCGCCCCTCTGCGGTTCGGCGCTCCCATCCCCTCTGCCTTCTACCTACTTGTACATTAGAAATTCGGGTGTTGCTTTTTCTTTCTTTCCCTTTTTAGCTTTCATCCGGGCACAAAGCTGGATGCTGGCGATTAATGCACGAAAGAAAAATTCAATATATCTTTACCTATAAAGTCTGTCGCTTTGAGCAGTGTTTGTTCAGAACGTGTGCTATTTTATGACTCGGGCTTGAGAAGGGCCGTATATGGCGCTGATGGGCCCAGCTGTGAAAGCATGTGAAATCCATTTGAAGGCACTCATCATAGCATGAGTTCAGTCACATTGTAGTTACAATTATCCCATATACTAGGCGAAATGCTATGTTAAATTAATAAGGTACTAGTTGCACTTGCATCCCATCTGACAGCGACGGATACTCTTAAATAGCGGCGGGATCCCCGAGGACATGATGAAGGCACCGGCAACCTGCAGCTTTTCCTTGGTGGTTTCGGCGCGGAAATAGTCGCAGTACCTCATCTTCTTGACCTTGACGTCAGTTGGGTTATACTTTTCGTCATTGGTCAGGGTCTGTGCTTTATAGATGGTACCAGTGGAATCGGAGGAGTTTGAGCGGTGCATCGTATATAAATTTATAAAAAATAATCAATGGATATGCGGCCATGAACGATACAGACTGAGCCCCAGAGAAAGACGACTCTGGTATTTATACCCGTTGCACAAAAATCACCATACGCAGGCTGGTACGTAATCAAGTAGGTATGGAAAATCTGCCAAGCCTCCCTGAATGCAGTGCCAAGCCTTTGCCCATCCTTTCTGGAAAACAGAAATCACTAGCTGGTGGAGCCAAGGTCCACTAGCGCCGGCAGCTCCTGGTTCTGTACATACACCAGATAATACGGGTTCGCATTCTCCTCTTCAGGTATCGGCGAGCTCCTTAGAATCTCGCTCGCCTCCACAGTCGACACACTCGAGTCGTTAAACTTCACCCACCGCGTCTCGCCTGTCCTGCTATTCCGATCACGGATATACACCCAGTAATGGCCATACTCTGACGACACGCCGCTGTGGATGAACACAGCGTGCAAGGTGTACGCCATGTCGTTGTCCGGTATGTCTGCATAGATTCTCTCCAGCTCGTCGTGGATTCGCTGGTGCTCCGCCTCCCATGACTGCTTGGCAGAGTTCAGGGCGGTAAGCATTTGTGTCAGCTGGTCGCTGGCAAGCTTGGCAGTCTCGAGGAGGTCGGGGTCGTGGGGCAGCTCCGCCAGTAGTTGTTTTGTGACGTCATTGGCTGTCCAGCTGCTGACACCTGCGAGGAAGCTTTGCGCGCGCTCGATTGCTGGAATCACTGAATCGCCAGCCGCCCAGCCCTCCTTGGTAGGCTTGGTAGTGGGCACTTTCAGCGCCTGCAGATGGTTGTCAATCGCAGACAGCCGCTTCCGCAGCTTGTGACAGCATTTGGCATCGGCCGATTCGCCATCAAACTGGCAGAACCGCGCCAGCGAGATCTGCTCGCGCAGACGAATATGCGAGTTGACCTTGAATGGCTGCATAGTTGTCTTATCGAACTGCACACGCTGCACCTGCACAAACAGTACCGGCGGAGCGCGACTAACACGCGACTGCCTGACAACATCCCTTTCGCTGCTGGCCACGGTGTCATCAGCAAAGAACCCATCGAGACACTCGTTGATATCAGAGTTGGCACTAGGGATGTTCACCAGCAGGTTGTGGAACAACTCATGTGTGGTCTGCAGCTCGCCCTCGCTGGTCTGTCCGTTTGTGTACTCAAGGTTGCCGATTAGGAGTCGGTGGATCCAGGTTTCGGGCTCCTTCTTGCGCTTCTTTTTCTCCGATCCCTCTGCCTTCTCCATGTCACCAGCAGAGTCCTTCCACGGGCTATCAGGCGGCAGCGCGTGCTGAAGCAGGCTAATGCACTGGTCGATGCACTCGTCGACATCCTGCTGCTCCACAAACGACCGGGCCTGGTCAGGCTTTGTTGGCGTGTTGCTACCATTCGCAGGCTTCGCCGTATTATTGGTACCAGCTAACAGCAGCATATCGGCTAATTCGCGGTCCGGCGCGACTGCCACTGCTGTGCTTGCTAAAGGATGGCCACCACTTGATGCCAACATGGAGCTGTTGTCGATCCGCTGGTTCATCAGCTTACCAAATAGATCCTTGAGTAACCGGACAAACCGCAGCGCACGGCGGATCTCGAGCTCAGACAGCACATGCGAGCCGTCACGGCGCCCAGCAACTGCGTCTTCGTTCCATGTTTTACCATCGCCAAACTGCAGGACCGCATTGCGGATCGGGGTGATCGAGAAGAGGCACTGCAACATGCAGTTCAGGTAGCAGGTGTTGCCAATGTTTTTGAGCCCTGTTGGTCTATTCACAGATGAGCAGGCAGCGCGTGTTAGTACTTCGCAGGCAACCACAGCAGTGATTTTGAACAACATAGACATTGGCAGAAGGAGGTGCTGGGAAAGAAGTTGGCGCATTCCCTCATCCATCGTACTTACAGCTGGGTCCATAGATCAATGTTTCTCCTGACCTGACTCGTCGGCGACGTCATCCGCGATCCCTCATCCACGTCCTCCTCGGCGTCAACCGCGGATCTTACATTCACCACATATTCCTTCAATGCCTGGTCACGCTTCGCACTCGCCAGAATGTGTAGGTGGTTAACCAAACTCAGCTTGTCCTTTTTTCGCCCCAGGCTGCCTAGTTTGGCTGTGAACAGTTCGCGAATAGAATCCACGCCAATCGCATCCACCTCTAGCATCCGGTCACCGCAGATCTCGCCCAGCGCTGCCCGCAATGCGTCAGTTGCCACAAGCCCACGGTCCTCTTCGTTGGCAACCAGATCTCCAAGCTCCTTGGACGACCGTGCGGCGGCAATCCCCTGCAGTGCGTCGAATCGCTCCAGTGCATCTTTACCGCTGATAGGGTCGTCTGACTCGTCTTCCTCCGTCTGCCGCAAATACGCCCAGGCCACCAGAGAATCAGCAGCATCCTCAGGCGCGCCTAACCGGCGATAGCCTTCTTCGAGCGATGAGCGAGTGCCGATGATACTGCGGTTTGACGAAATCACTAGTGGTGAGCTTCCAGGCCGCTTCGGATACATATCCGACCCCAGCAGCTGCATGAGGGAGATAGCGCCGTTGAGATACCGGAACAATGCATCGCGGTCGTTTGGTGGTAGTCTGCGCATGAATTTGCCCGAAGCCACCAGAAGCTCTTCCATGGCGGCAACCAGCTGCTGGTACGAGAGACTGTCGCTGACCGAGCTCTTCAGTTCGTCATCTGAAATGCTGGCGACGATATCTGGTGGACAGAACTCGTCGCCGCGCATCACAAATCCGACCGCCGCCAGAATCTCATTGCATGCTGTGTCGAATTTCAGCAGCTGCCTTGGTTTGGGGCTGGTTGACTTTATCGGCCGAACGTCGCCACCGACGGCATTCTTTGCGATCCGGAACATTGTCTTCAGCGTAACCAGCACCTCGCGTACCGCCTGTGTGCTGTGGTGCTCGTGGCCTGCCGCCCGCGCCCGCTCCAGCGCTGCCACCTGCAGCGAGGAGATCACTGGCGCGGTCAGCGACAGCTCGACCTGTGAGTTGCATTTGCAGCACCACGCGCCGCCGGCATACACACTGCGACCTTGTATTTGCGAGACCGGCGCATCAGATAAGCGTGTGTGAAAGTGGTGGCCGAGCTCGTCTGTGCACGGAGCCTTGCCGCCGGTGGTTGTGCGGTCGGATATTACACCCAGCACACGCAGTTTACAGAGACACTCCGTGCAGGTTGCCTCCCACCTGCTTGGAGAAAGTAGTGTGTCGGGGTGCGTCTGCGGCTGGGCCCAGTCGTGCCGGTGCAGCTTTGTCTGCTGCTTGCGGAGCTCGGGCGGCGACCATTCAGCGAGCTGGGTGTTGACAAAGTATGCGCAGAGAACGCCAATAGGCTGAGATGCGAAGGCCATTAACAATATAAAAAGTCTTAATTGGAAATGCAATCGAGGCAAGAAAAACACGGGCTTGTCCGTGCTGCCCTAGAGCGTGCCTATACTTGAAGCAAGAGGTGACGCAATGGGGATTGTTCTTGATCACAAAGCGGCACTAGCATAATCACGGCAGGATTTATGGCAGTGGTTCGAACAGCCCAAAAAGAGTCGCGCGCCAGCTATCCAAAAAAAACTGATCCACGAGCTTTCCTTTCTATCTCCACATTGTGCTATCATTCTTTTTCACAAACGCCCCCCATGAACGCCATCCGGACATCCAAGCAGAAGCTGCGTAAGCGCATGCACAGTGTGCTTTCACAGCTATCTGCGTCCGCACTTACCGACCAGTCTTGCCGAGTCGCAAAGCAGGTGGTCCAGCTTTCGGCCTACCAGCGTGCCCAGCACATCAGCATCTACATTAGCATGGACTCGGGCGAGCTGCAGACTAGGCAGCTTTTGTACGATGCACTGGAGTCCGGCAAGCGCGTGTATGTGCCCAGATGCGATGGCACATTCATGGACATGGTGGAGCTGCAAGGAAAGGAGGACCTGGAGTCTTTGCCGAAAAACAGGTGGGGCATTCCGGAGCCAGCCAAGGACAGGAAGGGCGTGGATGCCAGCGCGCTGGATTTCATCCTGGTGCCAGGCGTCGCATTCGACACGGCCGGCAATCGGTGTGGCCATGGGAAGGGCTACTACGACAGGTTTCTGACAGGAAACCCGCATCTGTTCAAGTGCGCGGTCTGCCTAAACGAGCAGGTGGTTGAGACTGTACCGACCGACGAGTTTGACAAGACACCAGACATTGTCCTTGCCGCACAAGGCGTTGTGTTCCAAAGCAAGAGTGTGAATTCGGATACCAGCTAATATATTGCAATAGTGACACTGACGGAGGGGAGCTAGAAGCGGAAAAAGGAAATATGGAACTCGGGTGCGAAGAAAGGGAAGGAAGAGGATGGGGAGAAGGGGGAGGGGGAGAGTTGTATCATTTGAGTTTGAGGCTTTGGTCCAGCACACCAAGTTGCCGGATGTCCTCGGACTGCTTGAGACTGACGGACCGCATCGACGGCCCACGCCGCCCGCTGCGCGAATACGGGTGCATCGATGACCGACTGGACACTGACGCCTGCCGCTGCTGGCCATGCGACCGGTCCGCCGTCGTCGCCAGCAGCGACAGGGAGTCGGGGTAGTTGTTGCGGTGCGGCGGGCTTGTCCGCTCACCATCAAAGCCAAGCGATGCAGTCTGCCTTGGCGTGGGCATGGGGCTCGGCAGCGCTGATGACCGTGCCGCCGAGACGCTGGTGTGCAAAATGCCGAGCCCGCCCAGCGAACACGTTGTTTCTGGCGGCGAGTCGTTGCGCAGGCTAGCTGATATCGACGGCAGCCGCCGCGGGCCCTCTTTGACGTCGCCGCGGATGCCCGCCAGGCTGATAGGCGTGTAGTCTGGAAGCATAGGCGCGGCACCGCCAGCCGACGCGGGCTGCGGCAACTGTGGGGGATGGACCGGCGAAAGCAGCAGCGGCATGGGCGGCGGCGCTCCACGCACAAAACTGGGTCGCCGCGACGACTCGGCAGTATCGCACATCATCGGCGAATGGTTGGTGTTGAACTCGGTGGCCAAAGGGCTGCTGAGGGGCTCGCCGGCGGACACGTGCGACGAGGATGACGACGAGTTGAATGTGTTGCGCGAGTACACGCCTGCCGTTGTAATGGAGCGCGCTGGAGGGGCGCGCCGGGTCGTGTGGCCGCCACCCAGTCCCAGTGGACCACCCAGGCCCAGGTATTTGGGACCGCTTTTGTAGCCACTCGAAGGCTGGTAGTGCGGCGGGGCGGCGGCTTGGCCCTGGCTCGCTGCAGGCAGGTGCGAGTACGACGCCGGCTGATAGTTTGTTCCGCTGCTGAAGCTGTTACTGCTTGGCCGCATGCCCGCGGCAGTAGCAATATTCATGGGCAGCACCGAATGGGGGCTCCTTTGGTGCTCGCCTGAGGGCCGCGATGCCGGCAGCTGGCTGGCATACAGGTGGTGCGACGGCGACATGGACGTGCCAGGGATGCTGGGGGCATCATCGACAAGTGACTGGACACGTGTTTTGGACGACTGATATGTCGGCGTGGTTGCTGCGCTGTGCGGAGCCGGCGGATGCTGCGGCGCCAGCGAGTGGCTGGGCGACGATGCTGAGGGCAGCATGTCCACGTCCATTGACGACGTGCCGGGGTTCGAGTGGCCGCGGCCCAGCCGACGAGTGTTTTCCTCGTTGCTGTCGCTGTTATTTGAGTCGCGCGTCCTCGGCCCAAGGTCGGTGGTACCGCGCGTCGGTGATGTGGTGCTGAGTGAGTGACTGGCGCCATACATGGACTCGGGCGACATGTCGGGATATAGGTTGGGCGGCACCACCAGCTTGGGGAAGTTGGGGTCGTTGGTGGGTGTCAGCAGCCGGCGGCGCGCATGGTCCTCCTTGGAGTAGTACGCGATGATATGCAGCTTTTTGCCGTCGTTGGTCTTGATTGACAATGCCTTCTTTAGCATGCCGTTCTCCTTGGGGAACCCGTACTGTACCTGCGACGAGCCTGCCTTGGTTGGTCCGCCTGTAAAATGCCCGTACCGGGCGATACCCATGGGAATGGGCTGTGATGGCATACCGTGGATGCCCGCCATCGACGCTGGCAGCATCGACATGTTGAAGCCGTGCATTGTGTGGAATGTCGGGTGTCGCTGCGCTCGGCGCCGGCCCTCCCACTCGTGGTATGTCAGAAAGCAGCCCTGCACGCGGGACGGCGACCAGCTGCGCCCGTCCGTCCACCGCTTCATGCCAGACTCGTTCTCCTCCCAAACAAATATCGACCCTGATCGAATGGCTGCGCGCTCGGCGTCGCTGAGGCGTCGTGGCACCCGCTGCTTGTATCCTAGCCGACACGCCTCGAACAAGGCGAGGGCGTCTTCGCTGGTGCTTACAAAGCCGTAGTACGTTTCCATGCGTGTATCTCCCATGGCTGTGTCAGGGATAATGTAGGTAATAATAAAAGAGGGTAGAGAAAAGGTTGTTCGCGGAAACTGGAATAATAGAGAAAAGAAATGCTGTAAAGGAGAGGGGTGCGAGGGAGAGAGAAAAACTGGTGGTTTATAACGAACCCGAAGAAAAAAATGATTCCTTCGTGAATAATGTGCTCAGAAGAGGGAGCAGAAAATAAAATAAAAAACAGAATGACAAAAATTAGAGGAATTGAACGACACGGCACATCAAAGGGATGTAGGCGAGACTAAAAATATGTGAGCAAAGTTGGCACGCCTGGAGATGAGAGGAGAAATGCGGTGCCAGGTCGCTCTAGCTGAGGGAGAAAAGTAGGAAGAGCAAGGGACACTAATCTTAAAGAGAGCGGAGTGTTAAAAAGGGTTTGTTGTACACAGAACGGTTGGAGCCTGCCGGGCTGTAGAGGAGTGGGAAGCGGGCAGTTTTTTTTCGAGCACAGACAGTACGCGGTTTGTTCGCCCGTTTGTGAGCCTGTGGCGCTTTGTGCTGTCAAAGCTCCTTTTTAAAATGGTCCCAGGCTCGTGGCGTATAAGGGAGGGAGCACAATTACTGCGTGAAAAATGATGTTTGTTTGCTGGGAACAAAGCGGTAGAGCGCTTGTTGGTCTCCTTGCAGGTTAATGCGTAGTTCCTGGCGACAAAAAATACAGCCAGACCGCGTACAAGCTACGATGGCTTAGTATAATAAGAAAAGTAAGCTTAGCAAGTGTGGGAAGGGGAGGGAAAATTGATGGAGCTATAGACAACTAGAGAAAAAGGAGGAAATAATCTTTTTGGCGCAGAAAGGGTGGAAAAAGGCAGAAGGGCTGGGTGCACGCATACGCCAGCGACGTCAGGAGTGTATATGCGAAATAGTGCTTATTTGTGTAGTTTGTTGCGAGTGCTTTTCTGGGTTTGCCGCCCCGCTTAACACATGAGCAAATATTATAGTCGATTGAATATAGCTGTGGCTGGGAAACCCGACTAGATGCCTTTCACCCGCCGAGGAAACGCGTGTACAGCAAGAAAATAGAGGTGGAAGCGAAATTAAAAAGCAGAGGAGAGAGAAGTCTAAAAGCAACTTTCGCAAAGAGTATGCTTTATTGCTGGGCGGCCAATGGATGGGGTGGAATAGTGATACGCAAAACACCCTGTTTTTCAGAGCCTAAAAGCACTCTTTTTTGCACTGGACAGGAGGACCCAAACCGCTCAAAAATTTGGCCAGACGGTTCTGAGCCAAAACAGCCCGCTGTCGATCCCTATTCGGGAGCAAGGAACCTATTTTCTCCTCCGGCATGTCCTTGGGTCATGGCCAGCGGTTTCCAACATCGCTTGGCCGGGCGAGTTCAATGAACGTCTATTGTACGTGTCTTCCTGAACGTCTTGGAACCGTAAACAAATCTTCGATACCTCGGCCCCGTCTGTTTTGGATTTGCAAGGGGGGTAGAGCCGCGCATTTGTCGCTGGCAATAGTGCGCCTGCAGATATTTTCTGTACTTGGGATACAGAGGTGGGGGAATCAGCCAGCGATTTGCCTCTTCGCTTTCCCCTCCTCATTCCCATGGCTCTCTCGATTCCTTTTCAAAAGCCCACTGGCCAGATAGCCTCAATTAGTGGTAACTGCGGCCGTTGAATTGCCCACTCAACGGGAGACATGACAATGGCTACCTCATGTATCTCATTAATAATGACTACCATATATGAACCCGCTTTCCCAGTTCTACCCCCTTTCCCCGCCAAGTCTGTGCTTGCAGCTCTAGCCCCTTTCAGCACCCATGGCCAAAGCCACACCTCCACATTGGACCTCCTCAATGATTCTGCATCAATCCCACCCTCCTGCCCGTCTGCTCGCTTGCCTTACAAAAATAGAAAGAAAAATCAAAACAAACCGCTTCGTATGCATGTGCTGAGACCGCATACAATTGCAATGTACCTTGCATCGATTTTTTCAGTGACCGTGCATTGTCCATTCTAGCAGGCGAGAAAGACAACCAGGCAGTAGCAACCTTAACGGCGCAGTCTACAATGACACGGCTCCTACCACGCTAGCGTTTTCCTTCAGTTGTGTCCATTGTCTGGTCGCTTCCGGTTATACGGCCGCACGGCTTCGTCTTTTGTGGACTCGCTGTCCTTTTGCTGTAATTGCAGACAGTTGTCCAATAGCAACCATCAGTAATTGCATCTCGCAACGACACAATTGTGGCCCCACATGACCGACTAGCCGTCCTAAATTACGCTCTTTTTAGGAGAAATCACAACCAGCATGGGCAATCCACCCAATAGCGCACGTTTCTGCACATAGCAGCGGCTCTGGCATCCAACACGCACACACATATATACAGCAGCCATTGGCGACGCGTAGTTGACTGAGCGAATATAGCACTAATATACACGGGGTATTGAGCTCTGAAAAGCGCCTATATTGTGTACAGCCTCTCAATTTCTCTCAACCCCCGGAGCCAGCCAGGCCGACACGCCTCCCGCCAATAATTACTCTTTCCGCTGACTCGACTGGGCAAAAGCGCCTCGCTGCAATTCCATGCCTGATTATATCTGCCGACACACTTGCGAATAGCGTGCCGACGTCTTTTGCACAGTCTCCCATTCCGCTGTGTACCCCAAGACTTTTTCTTCGTCAAAGTGATCGGATGATCGACTTGCTGATCACATACTTTGCACTTCCCCCAACTTTTTTCTATCCTTTGCCACATGTGAGCATCGACATGCGATCCCCGTTGGTGAAAGGAAAAGGGGTCGAAAAACGGAATTTCACAGTAACCCCTCATTCCCTACTGCAGTCCAGCGCTCTTCTTAATATTCCCTGCATGTACACCCTTGCGCTTGCGCAATATGACTCGTGCACGGCATACATATCCATGTATTAGCCCTCCATCCCCACCACCACAGGGGTGTACCACGATTGATTCCATGGTGTATACCAAATATCTCTCCTGCGCGAAGGGCGTCGTATAAAATGAAAATGGTCTGACAATCACCTTGCCGGTTCTTATTCCACGCACCCCCTCACCACCACTCCCTCACTCAGATACGCTTTTTTTTACCATGAACGTCATTGTAGTATCGCTCATTGCCCCACTCTCACTGGGTGCAATCATTTCGCCTACTGTTCTAGTGTCCTCGCCCACTGCGGCGCTATTTGCGTCCACAGCCAGTGCCCAATGCCAAGGTGATTGCCAAAGCAGTGTTGCACCAGGCGGCGGTATTCTGGCACTTCTCGATAAGATCGCCAGCCCTGCTTCCACTCGTCCAGCCAGACTATATGGCGTCGAATCACAAACACCCATTTCGATCATTGAGCTCACCGCACCTGCAATCGACATGTTGTATGGGTTTATTTCTGCCGAGTCTAGTTCCACTATCGGCATGCTTGATGCCTGGCCCATCCCAACTGTCTCGCCGAAAGCCAGCATGTCAGCGGAATTCAGTAGCGCATTTGGCGCCATGGGCTTTGCTGGATCTGCAGGTGCCTCTTTGGACTCTGCAGAGCCCGCAGAGGTCGACGACATCGCTACTGTTGGGCTTGACTCTGCGGAATTTGACCCAAATCAGCTGGATTTTCTCGCTACTGAGGATAGCCTTAACTCGGACTGGGCACAAAATGACGTTGCGGGGCTGGACCTCAACAGGGCTGCTGCTGATGACGGCAATGCCGACGAGGAGACATTCGATGTCAAGTTGTGGGGAGACGGTGTCAAGAGAGCTGCCGACGAGTTTGTCGACAATGTAGGCAGTGCACTCGGGCGGTTCTTCCCAACCCGCGGCACCCCAGCAGCGACAGTTTCACATGTAGTCCGGATCGAGCCAGTGGTAACTGACGACCAGTGGATTTAACATATGTTTTATAAAAGCAGGCTGTTGCACTTTTTGGAAAGCACTATAATAAGGTAAATGAGGTTACAAAAGGCGAATTGAATAAACTAGAAAGACAATGTTTTTTACTTGTGCTCGGCCATGTCATTGTTCCCGCTTAGGTATCCACCGGGTCCACGAATGGTTGACCGCAAGCCACTGGTGCGGCCCCATGGCTCTCCCATGTACCGGCCGCGGGCACCGGACAGTTCCACCGACGAGGGGGCATTGGCTGGTCGCCGCTTTGAAATTTGCTCGACTGCGTTGAACAGGTCAGAGATGGGCGGGAGCCGCACACTGCTCGACGATGGCGAGCTGCTGGTGCCAGCCATGCTGGTCGTGGTGCTTGACCGCTGGCACGGCACCATGGCCAACGGTAAGACCTCGGTGGATTGCGAGATGCTGCTGCGTGGGGGCACGGGCTGGCTCATGCTGCGGTGATTGATGACTCCGCTCCGGGAAGTAGCCGAGTATTGAAGCTCGGAGATCGGGTGCGCCGGGTGATGTTGCTGCTGGTGCTGCAGTTGCTGGATGGCGGAATTTTGCTCCTGCTTAGTCTCAGTGCGGAGAAGCGGGGCAGACCGAGGGCCCTGAGGCATGGAGATCGGGTCGTATTTGGAAATCGCCAGAGTTTGGTGATTATTGACCTTGTTGGCGGTGGGCTGTGGGCTACCGGCAGGAACCGAGACCATATAGTGCGGCTGAAATAGCGGTGATTGGTGCGTGTCATGCATTACTGGTCCAGAGTGACACTGATGCCTAATGGGGCGAGCCTGGGGGCTTGCACACTGAGAGGCCAAGTATTGCGGTGGTGCCTGCCGATGCACAAGCGGATATTGGTTGCGGAGGTAGTCTGAACCTACTGCCACCGATGACAAAGCACTAGAGCGCGACTGGCCACTGCACCGCTGGGCAGATGACAACGACGACGACTGGGCCACTGGGTACAAAGAGAGCGCAGACGAGCGCGAATACGAATCGGCGCGCATCGGATAGCCCGAGATGCTGTGGCTGGAAGCGACGTGGATGAGCTCTGGGATCACATCTGGATACAGGCTGCGCGGGATCGGGAGCTTGCACAGAAGCGGGTCCTGCGACGGTGTAATCAGCTTGCCGTTGTTCAGATCCTCCTTGTTGTAGTAGCAGACAAGGTGCAGCTTGCTCGCATGTGCTGTGAACAGCGACAGGGCCTTCTTGACCAACCCGGGCTTGGACGGCGACGAGGCGGCGGCGGTCTTGGGCTCAAGCTCGGTGTAAATCAGGAAGCAGCCGTTGACACGCGACGGCGACCAGCGCTTGCCATCGGTCCAGCGCCGGATGCCCGACTCGCTCTCGTCCCAGACGTAGACAGAGCCAGACTGAATGCAGTTGCGCTCTTCCTCGACGAGTCGCCGGCTCACGCGCTGCAGCATGCCGAGGCGGCACGCCTCAAAAATGAGAAGGGCATCATCGGTGGTCTCGATGCAGCCTCTATATGTCTCCATGTCTTTAGATGTGATAAATAGGACGTAAATGGCAAAACTAATATAGCTGGATTGGGGCGTAAGGGTATGGAGCAACGGGGATGGGGAGAGAGAGCTGCTGTTGATCTATAGGCGCAAGGCGTAGGATTGAGGGGACGCGGTGAATATATCGGGAAATGTGGGAACCCCGTTCGCTGTACAAGGGATTTGAGAAAGAAAAGGTAAAAGTAAAAGTAAAAGTAAAAGAGCTGTTGAAAAAGGGTCTATTGTTGATGATAAGAACTAAGAAACAAGAAAGGCATCAGGGAATGAGGGGTTCCTTATATCCTCAGGACGCGATCCATCCGATGCCGGCACGAGAAAAGACCGGGCAGCACATACTCTTGTACCAGCACCAGTTGTGATGTGGAAGGTGACCTAATTTTTTTTGTGCGAGAGCGGTTGCATATTTGTTTGCCAGTGTGCAGAGCGAAAGAAACCCATCCTTAAAAATAAACATGTGGTTTTTTCTTCTTGAAATTTGCGATTGCGGGCTTGGACACCCCATACTGAAGACCCGAATTCCAATGGTCTCGGCGACTTTTATCAGGTCTGCTACCCAGCTGCCAAACCCCCGGTTGGGTGGGTGCCTCCCCCTTTGCACTGGCAGCCGGAATGTTCTGCTTTTGTGCACCCAATCTTTCAAGGTGCGTTGGCTATTTGTCTTACAGCTGAATTTTCGCATACTCGGTGTCGTTACGGCTTTTGGTTAAAGTTGAGAGCGATTGTCAATTACAAAACGATCTTGTACTACATGGCCTGCCATTTCACAGGCTCATTATCGCCAGCGCTTTTCAGCAGAGAGCGGGCGGGGAACTCTAGCTGGGTTCTGGCCGCCCCTCCCAAACATTTTTCGAGGCCTTGACCATTGTTGGTGCTGAATGCATTGGGACCCACCAGAATTGCCATGTTCCAAATGTAGGCGAGTTGCGATCACCTAGCCCACTGCAGGACATGTGAAGGCGGGTCTAGTGCACGGCCTGCAAGGAGTGCCAGCCGTTGCAGCCACAGCTGAATTCTATTTTTAACCCTCGGGTCCGTCTTGTCTTGATCACCCTGAGCATTCCTTTTGTTTGTTGCAATGGATCTTGCGTAGGGGTTGAATGACGATGAAGGCGTGTAATTGGTCTGATCACTCGCCTAGCCTTTGTTTATTTGCCGGCCATTCAACACATAGGTCACCTTACCTTAAGCTTATTTCCACTGTGAGGTGTTGCAACCACCAGCCTTCTGAAAATATTAACGGAGTTTATGCGCATTATAGACCCTAAAGCTCGAGAAATGCGTGACCACTCGACATGTCAGGAACGTGGGAGAGGGGGCTGTCATTCATTAGGGCTGGCAAACACCATGCGCCCTGTGCAAGAAAGGGCCCAGCCCATGCCCTACGAGCCGAATATTTCGCTGCCTTGATCCGCTCCCCATTTCGTTTGCATATGTGGGGGGGGGGCGCGATGGGCCAGGCTGGATCCGAGTTTGACCTGCCCCACTCTGCGCGACAGACAGATCATTGTCGAGCAGTCCCCATGCGCTATTAAGGAAAGTGACTCAAGAGTCAAGCGATGCCATCATGTATTCTACAAAGCGTCACTAGGGTGTACAGTCCAGTCGATTGCGTAGTTGGTCTTGCTTGGGGATGCAAGACAGCTGCAAAGCTGTGCGCATCAGGCATACTTGTGGAACCATTGTGGACTTGCATCAATAAAGGGGAAGTGGAATCCCAAGGGTACTCGGACTTATTGCAAGGAGGCGGTGCCTGTTTGTGGGCTTGCTTCCCCTGAAGCATGTGGCTGCTTTGCCTGCTAGCCAAGTGCAACATGAAGCAATAGTTGCTTATTCAATTCGTTTTCAATCATCTGTTTTTGCAATCTGTTTACTAATGAAGTTGCGATTAAGGACCAATCCCATACATCTGTCTTGATAGGCAATACACATTTCATATGGATTGATCAGGCCGCGGTTCTAGCGCATGGATGTTTTGGCCACTGTCTATCTCATTTCCCCCATCCTTTCCGATCGACCAAACACATATAGCAGCCAATTTATTTATCCCACAAGAAGGAATTTCAATGGTAAGAGTCAGCGCTTTGTACCAGGAGTCAGTGCTTTGTAGGGATCCTGACACAATGTGGAGGGGTGGTACGGATCTTTATAAAGTTATATGAAGCTAATACAGCCGCCTTCCGTTTTTGCATTCGGACGCACAAGCACCAAGTGCGCGCACAACTGCGGTATTTGGTTGCAATTTCACCAGCCCGGATTTGAACTCCGCTTAGAGCAAACGCTTTCAACTGCTCTTTGAGCCCAACAGCCTCCTTTTCTCCCCTCTCTCGTCCCCAGACTACTTCACCATGCATGCTGCCGCTCAGACAAGGGCAATCCTATGAATAATCCACTGTCACAATCTATGCTTGTAGGCAACTAGTGAATCGCAAATTGATATTGATGAGACCGTCAATCGCTTGGCGTCAAAGCGTGGAGTCGAGTCAGTAATAGTAATGACCAAGGATGGGCGTGTGATCCGCACAACAGGAGAGACTGAGCGAAGCGAACTGCACGGAAAGCTACTGAGTAAGCTGGCAAGGGACGCGGCGGAGATTGTCGAAGAGTTAGAGAGCTCTGATGAGCTGTCGTTCTTGCGGATCAGGACGACGAAGCACGAGATCATGGTTGCGCTCGACCACAGCTACCTGCTGGTTGTTATCCAAGCACCGCAGCTGAGCGACTGAGTGCATTTGCGACTTTGGCAATCCTTTCCGTCTCGGCCTTTGCTCATTCCCCCTAATCATTGGCAGTATTGTGGCAGGGGTTGGGTTGTTTGATTCATGCAAAAAAAACGTACCACTCACTTACACTTGTCCCGAACCACTTTCTTTGTTTCATCGAAATTCCTATTCTGGGGCTATTATTACGAGAGATATTCGAAGTAGCCCACACTCTTTTCAACTCATTAGCTATCGATATTTCATTTCGACAAGAGGTTGATTAGCAAAGTAATATGCGGCGCAGCGCTATGATTATGGCACTTCGCCATTCGCGTCAGTTCGCACTGGGCCCACGACTGGTTCTCCACAACGCACCTCATATTGCAACTTGGCGATCCGTATCTTTGTTACAGGCGAAATCTCGATTTTTGCCCGGTGGCAGTGGCATTGTAACGCCAATGGGCATAATGGCTGATCGACGTGCGTTCAGTACCTCGAAATTCATGCAAACCTCGTCGGCTGACAGTGATAAAGATATGTTGGTAACACAAGGCCACCGGGGAAGTCTTGGGGACATTGATATCGTGGGGGGCAATGCTGATGCCAGCTACCCGTTTATCTTCAAGCTGGTGCAGGCGCTCCTTGAGACATCGCATGGGGGCGCGGCAACGGCGACACCGTGGTGGGCAGTAATTGTTGGGTCAGCAGTGGTGCTGCGTGGGAGTCTGACATTGCCCGTGTTTATCTACCAGCAACGGGCAATGGCACGCGCACAGCGGTTGGGGCGGGTCAGCGCGGCATGGCAGCACAGCATGAGGGCGTCCCTGCGGCTGGAGACGGCCGACAAAAGCTTGACACCAATGCAATTCCAGGCGCTGCTGGAGCAGCGGGTCCGGCGGAAGCACCACGAGCTGCTGTTGAAACAGGGGAGCCACCCGATCATGAACTTTCTGCTACCGCTGGCGCAGCTCCCCATATGGGTCTCGATGACGTACGTGTTGCGCCATCTGTGCGGCGTGCCGCTGCCATATTTCGACACAGTGGGATCAAGCGTAGACGTCGCGCCCGCCATGGCACATGAGGGCATCCTGTGGTTCTCGGACCTGACGGTGGCAGACCCCACGTTTGTGCTGCCAGCAATCACAGGTGCGCTGTATTTGGCCAATGCTGTAGTTGCCCGGCGCTCGGCCGCCAAATTTATGCGCAGAGGACCGCCAACCACAATGTCCAGGGTCATTGACGTTGTTGCGTTTGGCAGCCCGGTGCTGATGACATACATTGCTGCTGGCCAGCCCGTAGCGATCGTGCTTTACTGGGCAGTGTCGGCGGCATTCAGTCTGGTGCAGAACCTGGTGTTCCAGCACGTGGGGCTGCGTAAAGTGCTCAAATTTCCACTACCAAAATAAAAGACATCTAGAAGCGCTCCTTCATCCGCGAGGCGATTGTGCGCAGGTTGGCGTAGACCTTGCCAGGCGGGCTACCGAGAATCAGGCTGACGACAGCGTCCCGCGCAACCTTGATATTCTGGAAAGTGCCCAGCACATGGATCTTGGAGTCGGCCAGCACGATACGCGTCTTAGTGGCATTCTCAATGGTGAACTTTGTCTTGCCGTCCTTTCCGGCAATGCGACCAATAGCGCGCGACAGATGGTCGCCGTTCAGTGTCTTCACATCCTTGATCTCGAAGCTCTCCAGGTACAGGTCGTCCATACGCAGCAGCGCCAGCGCGTCCTCGGCTGAGAAGCCCAGGACAAAGGCACGCACAAAATCGGCTGCCTTCTGCACCGCTCCAGGGTCCTCGGTCTCCGCGCATGTGCGGATCTCAATCATGCGCGACTTGGGGTTCATCCGCACCTGCAGCTTCAGGTACTCGACGATGGGCGAGTAGATTTTCAGCCAGTCGTTCTTCAGCGGCGCAAACCGGTGCGGCGGCACCCGGATTCGCCGGAACTCATTCTTTTTGCTGCGCACCTCCTTGGCCGACAGCGGCGCAAAATCAGGCTTGTCGGTGGTGGCTGCAGGCTGTGTGGGGCCGGCTGACGTGGTGCTGGCCGGGAGCTGGTCCGCTGTGATAATGACTTCTTCGGCGTCCATGGCGACGTCCTGTGCAACTGGCTTGGCGTCTGTCATTCTGAAATGTATGGTCGTAATAGAGTTGTTTTGTGAAAGAGAAGGAGGAGCTTGGTGTGGCCAAATGAGAAGCAAGCGGCTAGGAGAAAAAATATTTGGGTTGAGAAATTTTTTATTTTCACCGAGCTGATCTCCTCCTTAGCGATCAATCGGCTCGGCTCGATCAGCTGCTCGGCTCCAAAAGTCACCGCACAGCGCTAAAGATGAATGCATGGCAAATTATCTCATCCTTTCCTCCAAACTATATCTCTCATTATTTTTCAGCACATAAACACGCAATGTCTTCCGCTCGAGTAATGGTTAGAATGGCGCCCGCGCTGAAGGGCCGCCGCAGCCCACTCACATTGGTAAGTCTGGAAATGGAGAGGACTGCAGCCAAGGCACGCAGCCTGTCGAGACTAGGAACTAAGCTATGCTCTCTAGACCCAAGCCGCGGTTACCCGGTTAAAGGAGCTTTCGGCAAACAGCTCCACGCAGGATCAGAACAAGACACTGAAGATTGGGATCCAGGGCAAAGGGTGTTCGGGCAACGCATACACGCTATCGTGGGTAGACCAGGCCAAAAAATTCGACGAGAAAGTGACGCAGGACGGTACGTTATCTTGATTAGCGCGGAATATCCGAAGGCAGCCCGAGCGATTACTAATAAGCACTTTTCTGCTGTAGGTGTCACCGTGCTCATTGACTCGAAGGCGCTTTTGACGCTTATTGGTACCGAAATGGACTGGTTCGAGGGCAAGCTGGCAAGCCAGTTTGTGTTCAACAACCCGAATGTCAAGGCGGCGTGCGGATGCGGTGAGAGTTTCCTGGTGTGAACCCTAGCTATGTGTAAAACAATGATCATGAATACATTACATTTCGATTCGAATCGGCTGCCACATGTAGAAGCATGCAGGCGATATCAGCCACATGCAGACCGTCTTTGAAGCAGCAGTACCAGTGATCGGTGACAAATGGCCGACCGACGGTCCAGACGGCGCTTTGTCAGCTTAGAATAAACAATGGAATGAAGCCAACCTAAGCTTGGACGCGCACATCCTCGCGCCCTGGTGGCTGCGGAAGAATGGCCCAGTGTTCATGTCACGCTATTAGTGTCCCCATTACTGTCTCTTGCTCACTTCTTCGCTGTTCGTCAACCGTGTAGCATGTGCATTTCTCTTACAGAAACTAATAGATTCGCATTTGCTGCGTGGCTAGATCGGCGAACATCAGCGCAATGATTAGGGCCGGTGGCCTGAGACTGAGCCAACCGCATGGCAATGTGCACACAGACTTAGATCCCCGAAGTGCACAATATCCATCTGTCCCCAAGCACACTGCTCCCATCAAACCGAGGAGGCAGTGCAATGCTGGAGGGGTCAAGAAGCTAGCGCTTGGGATATAGGCATCGTGCATATCAGGTGTAGGTCCATCATGTCTGCCACCGCCACAAGCGCCGAACTGATACAGGATGACAAGCCCAGGGTATATGTCGGTGTTGAAGAGAGGATAGTGCCTGGCGTCGACAATATCGTAGCTGTACCTATCGTCCCTGTATGCTGTCCATACATACTGACAGTACCGTCTGAATAAACGCTGGTAAGCATCTTTCGAGTAGTGTCTTTTGGTACCAACTATGAAGTGCTGGAGCTTGACATCTGCACGTATAGCCTCAGTGATAGTTTTGATGTGGCTGCTCTCTTCTTGAACGAACTGTTATTTCATGTGGCTGAAATAATCGATATTCAATTAGCATGATTTAGCATACGCTGTCAATATCCATCTAGTCAAGAACTAGAAAAGCACCAAGGGAATAACCAATGTTGACGCTGCGCCAACAAAAAACTCCTATAAATACGCACACATCACCATTTATGACCAACACATCTAGATAGGATACAGTTTCAACTTTGCTTTCTACAGCGGCTAGCATGGAATTATATTTCGCCGTGAGACCTCAGCAAGAAACTAACAAAATTCTCTGCCTTCTCATTATCCCCAGGGGTCTGGTGGCGCTCTCTAGGCGCCCTCAGCAGTACAGTGGAAAACACACTGGCAACCCGCTGTGCCGACACAGACCCCTGGTCCACGGCTTCACGCAAGAATGCCAGCAGATACACGACCACGTTCAGGTTGCCAGGTGGCAGTACCTCCATCGCCTCAAGCGCTGCAGCACGTGAAATACCGCCTGCTTCCACGCATGCCGAGTACATCTCTGTAGGGATCAATGGTTCGGGCAGACTCTTCAAAAAGTCTACTAGTACCATGGCCACAGTATCCACGCCCACATCGTGCGCTATATTTGCAGCATCAGCAATTGTCTCTGGTAGCGGCGAGCCCGCTAGTGCTTCATCACCACCTGTAGACTGCAGTGACGGTCGCATTGGGATCTGGTCCTGGGCGATAGAATCTGAATCCGACACCGAAAGCCGTACCTCCTCATTCTGCTGCTCAGTAGCTTCTGGCTCATACTGATGGCTCTGTGCCGGTGAAATCGCGCTCCACGGATTCAGCGTTAGCCGCTCCAGCGCCTCTGCTGTACTGGGAACCGACGACAACGCAAACCCACTTAGCGCTGACTGCATGGCGGATGATGACACTAGTGTCTGATCGGTCAAGCTCAGGTTCGCTGTGTTACCACGTGCTAGCCCTACCGGTTCGCTGGCAGTCCGCGCCACATGGCCCTCAGCTTCGCCCTGCCACTGCAGAATGCGATCCGGGTTCAGCTTCTCGCCCGTATCCAGGCACTCGCGCACACTCCATGCCAACTCGCTATCTCCTTTCCAGTAGAACAACGAGTAGCCGCGGTCAATACCGAATCTCGTCAGGAAATCTGTCAGCGTCCATATGCATACTGGAACGCTATACTGACCCGAGCCTAGGCAAGCCTCAAAGTCCTCGCGCGACATTAGGCGCACTGGTCGCTTGCAGTGCACCAAAACATCCATGCTCATGCCAAACACCGACGACATGTAGTCGCCTTGCACTTGGATAAAATAATCGCGCCCGCGGTTGAGATGTAGGATTAGAATGTCGTTGAGCTCGTCAATGCGCGTGCTCAGAGGCATGGCCGTGGCAGAGTCGACAAACACCGAGAACTCCATGTTAATGTGCTCGCCTGGCAGCAGCATCCCGCTCTCAGGAGAGATCCGCAGCCACTCAGGCGCACTCCGCTCGCGCGCTGGTGTCGATATAAAGCCGAATTCCAGTGGCACCTGGCCCGTGTTGGCCAGCTTCAGCGTAGCTTTAGCCGGCTTTCCATAGTACACATACCCAAAGTCTACAATCGATGAGTCCAGTGTGGCAAGCGGAATGCACTCGTTCTCGTATCTATCCAGCTCACGCAACACTTCCAAGAACACTGCTTGCCGTTTCTCCTCCTGTACCTTCCAGACATCCAGCTCGAGCCTAGACCGCACGGGCTTGTGGTCCGATATAGATAGCGACGGAACCGACTCGTACGAGAGACTCCGCACCCCACCGTCGCACCCTGGCCGCGTCCACCATAGAATCCGGTCACACCACGCAGGGCGCCGCTTGGCATCGTACTCCCCGGTCCCAATCATGTACTTGTATGTAGGGGCAAAGTCCACTTTGGCTTCCTCGAACCCGACAAATGCCTGCTTGTTCAGAATTGAGATCTTGAGCTGGTCCAGCCCCAGGATCGCTTCGTACTCGTGCCTCGCAATATACTCTTCCGAGTCGCCAGTATCTACAGCTAGACGGTAGTTCAGATCACCGAACCACAGCAGATAGCTGTGGTCGAATACAGTCAGTGGCCGGCCAACTGCTGCCCCTGTTCCAGTCACGCTCTGTTGGCTAGCAGGCACCAGCGGATCCGCTGCCGGCACGCCCTCAGTGCTACTGAATGTGAGCCGCTTGCACAGGTCATGGAACTGCGCGTTTCTTTTCTCCAGCTGCAACGCATCGTGTGCCAGGTGCGAGCATACGAGGCAGATGGGAGTATGCCGGAACACCAGATGCACAGCAACCGCACCCTTATTGCCCACCATTCCCATGATCCCACACCCAATTGACGCGGCCTGCACATCCACAATCTCGTCCATGACATCGATACGGGCGTACACCATAATAAACATGCCAATGAGCTGTTTCGACGCAAGCTTGGCGTATGAGTACCGGGTTTCGCCAAGACTCCGCTCCACCGCCTGTGTCCATTCCCCGTCCTTTACCGCGTTATTATATACAAAGGCTTCGGCGCGCACATCCAGCTCCTGGAACCCGAGTACCAGGAGCTCAGGAAGCTCTGCCACTACCACAGGTGCATTAGCTGGGGGCACGAACCCAAGCCACTCCGCCAGCTCCTCAACACTGGCAGCTGCCTGTCCGTTGACGTTCCATGTGCCAACGAATGCCTGGATCGTCGATGTCGACAGAAACTCGCTTCGCCGTTTCCGCAGCGATTGCAGAATCCACGCTTCCTTGGTTGGATTGCTCACACGCGCCTCAGAACCTTTGTGCCCATTCACTCCAGGACCGGCCATAGCTGCGTCCACTAGCGTTTTGTCTGATATCGAATTAGCCTCCATACTAGTGGGATTAAAAGAAAACGAAATGTGTATGTGCGGGAAAAGGGAGGGGAAATTCGTCAGAGCCGAAATTGCGCAAAATGAAGGAGCATAAAACCACGTTGGCGGTGATTGGATGTATGCTGCGCTCCTGTCATGTGATGCCCATCATATCTCAGAAACACGCCTTGCATGCTGCTACCGCTGCGCACAGCCAAGGGCCATCTGCTACACTGGCGGCATAGACTATACTGTATATCCACATTCATTTGCATCATTGGCATACCATTGTTTTTTGTAAACGATATATATTGAATTTTTCTTTCGTGCATTAATCGCCAGCATCCAGCTTTGCGCCCGGATGAAAGCTAAAAAGGGAAAGAAAGAAAAAGCAACACCCGAATTTCTAATGTACAAGTAGGCAGAAGGCAGAGGGGATGGGAGCGCCGAACCGCAGAGGGGCGGCGATTAGGAATTCTGGCAGAGCAAAAACGAAGAAAACCTTGGGTTGGCTAAACCTCCGATCTTACGCTGGGAACCGACAGCAGGCTTAGAGCTTGGTGGCGGGGCGCGAGATGGTGGCAGTGATGAAGCCGGACGGGTCGGCAATGGGCATGTAGACCTCGGCGTCCGAAGCCAGGTTCTTCAGGCCGAACTTGCTCAGATCGAACGGGAAGATGTGGATGTTGGGCAGAGCGTAGTACACGTCGTCGACGGCAGCGAACTCGTTGAGGATGCGGTCGGCCATGATGTACAGGGTGGTCTGGACCGAGGCGTGGACCCAGGCACGGGGGTCGTTGGCGAACGCATCGAGGGTGTTGCGCTTGGCGCCGTTGTAGATGGTGTCGAAGGGCAGCGCCTGGATGGTGTCGATGTCCTTGGACACAACCTTCCACTGGCACAGAACCTTGGTCGACAGCATGCGGTCGGGCATGTCCGGCAGGGTGGCCAGCTCGTCGCGCCAGAAGTCGGTGAACGACGAGTTGGTGGTCTTGAGCACCTCCAGGTCGTAGAAGCCCGAGGTGACGTCGGCGACCAGAGACGCGTTCGACGGCGGGTTGGTCTTGGTGACCACGGCCTCGGTCCAGCGGGTCTCCTTGCCCTCGCGGTAGAACGAGTGGGGGTGGCTGCGGTTGTCGAACTTCATGCGCTCCCACGGCTTGGTGATGATCTTGACCTGGCACGAGGTGACGTGGGCGTACTTGTTGACCATGAACTTGGCGATCTCGGTGGCGAACACCTCGGGGACCATGACCTTCTCGGCAGGCAGCGTCTTGGCCAGGTAGTAGACGGTGTTCTTCTGCGAGTCGGTGGCGACGACCAGCTTGTTGTCGCCCTTGGTGTACGAGGACTCGAACTGGGCACCCGAGAGCAGGCAGCAGACCGAGTAGTCGGCAACCTCCTGCCAGCCGTCGGCGTGGCGGACGACGCGGACAACGCGGACGCGGTCCTTACCGTAGGCCTGGGACTTGATGATCGAGGACTCCATTGCGATTGCTGGAAAGGGGCGAAGCGAGTTGGTTAGTCGGAAGTAGAAGCGGTAATTCAGATGAATGCCAGAACTGAGGATGCCAATATGTCCACTCCGGCTGGCCTCCCTTTTATACCCCTCTCTGGTGGTCAGCTGGCGGTAGCAGGGAATGCGATTCTCCCCATCCCTCCTCGGAATCGGAGAGAGCGATATCTCTCCATTGCCATACTGTAAGCAGCGGGAAAGTGACGACGGGCGACCCCCTGTGCTCCATCCTCACTGGTTGTCCAGGACGGCTTTTACTCGTATGCAAGAAAAATAGAAGCACAGATGGCGATCCCTTCCGTGCCAGTGCGGCGAATTTTTCAGTATCTCCCAGCCATCGCGACTGCATGACTGATCCTCCAAGCACCACCCTATCCAACATGTCAGGCGTCCCGAGCACACCCATCCCCTGTTTGCTCGATTCAAAGGTACACATTTCTGCTTCCCTTGAGAATATCTGGCCGGTGCCCATCTGCGATGTCTTAATGGCCGGGAGTCCATTTGCAAAAATATATCGCCGCCCATGCGCATCAACATGCATCCTCAAAACCGCGTCACCGAGAGGAGCGCGTTTGGGAGATTGGACATGTGCCCCTATCTGCGCCAATGCACATAAGGAGAATTTCCCTTTTGTCTGTTCTATTGCGCCAATTTTTCGCATCCAGCAGCAGCCCCGGTAGAGAGATTCCAAGAGCAGCATCGCGCATGCTGGATAGCCTGCCTGCCACAGCAGCCTTGCACGCGATTCGACGTGAAATAAATTCCCCGCAGAGTCAACGATATGCCTCATGAAAACGCTTAACCCTCGCCCGAATAGGAAAACCTGTGGTCGACGTTTTTGAAAGAGCTTTATTTTGCTGTTTGACAGACGCAACACCCGTGCATCGCGGAGAAAAAAGTACATTTTGGAAAGCAATCAATTTTTTTAGTGCATCGCGTCCTTGGCCGAGTTCTTTGCATCGTGGCCTGCGTCCTTGGCCGAGTTCTTTGCATCGTGAGCCGCATCCTTGGCCGAGTTCTTTGTATCGTGAGCCGCATCCTTGGCCGAGTTCTTCATGCCGCGGGCTGCGTCCTTGGCCGAATTGGTCATGTCGCGGGCTGCGTCCTTGGCGGAGCTGGCCATGTCGCGGGCGGAGCCCTTAGCAGAGCTGGCCATGTCCTTGGCAGACTGGGTGGTGGAATCAGAATTCATCTTGGCTTCACCCGATCCTTTCCAGGACCCTCCGGATTCCTTCCACGAGTCGAGGCCGAAGGTGTCGCCGATAGACTGCTCGACGGCACCGATGCCGTATTGGATTCCACCAGCGAGCTTGTCAAGCGGGTTAGACATGGTTGTTACGAGGGACTTGAGGAGCTTGTGTTGGCTATTGGCAAACCGAGAAAAGATGTTATGTTCGAAAGGCCTTGGGTATATGTAAGCTGGGAGGTTACGACAGAATTTCAAGAGAGAAATAGCGAGATGCTGCTAGAGTGTATGACGGATGGTGGCTCCAGTGCCAGCGAAGGGCGCTGGGACTTTTATATGTTGCTCTTCAGCTGCCAAGAACCCCTTGTCCTCTCCTCTGACGGATGCTCTGGCTGCGACAGCGATTTTGACAGGCATTCGTTGTCGGCACTGGTGACGTCGACGCCTCTCTCGCTATAAGAGCGCTGGTTTGCTGGTCCGTCAAATGCCCAAACAAACATCCATATTATTACTACTATTATCTCTAACGCCGCCAGTTAATGCGTGCCCTCGCACAAGGCTTTGCGCACGCCCTCGGCAGTTGGTGTCAATGCAACCGTGACCTCACACCGATTTGCACCATGTGAGATAAGCGCAGCCAGAGTTGTGTCACCTATCGCTGCCATTCTATATGAGACACTCTGGCGCAAAAGGGGGGTCTTGGCAGGTCTGGGCTCTCTCTGGCTATCATGCAGAGAATGGCAGAGCATTTCTGGCAGATTCTGTAGCACTGGCCAGACTGCTCGTACGCCCGAGGGGCTAAAGAACACAAGCCAAAGAGTAACTGACGAGCCGGCTTGTGAATGCTGCTGCTGCTGTCCTGCGCATGCTTGTACGGCCGAGCCGATTCGCTCCGCCAGATCATACTGTATGTCGCCAGCACTGAGACCCACAGTCGTGTATGCCACTACCTCTTCTAGGTCGGCAAGTCCGCTGCTCCGTAGCCTGTCTGGCAGGGTGTCTCTGCGCAGATCGCCGCAGAAAAACAATAGGCGGCACCGCCTGTTCTCGAACTGGCTGCAATATGCAAGAATTTCTGGCAGCAGCACCGTCGCCTTGCCTGAGTCCTCGCCGCGGATATCCAGCTCGGCCGATCCGCCCAATGCCTGTCTGCATGCTGCTGCAGTGGCGCGGCCAACTACAAACACAGGCCTACGCATAAACTCTTGCCACTGGGCTCTCCGACTCTGGAGATCACCTTGACTGTGCCATGCGCATACCGCCTGGCTCAATGCGGCGACTGCGTTTTTGCTCGTCAATATCAGTGCGTCGAATGGATGGGCCGACTCGTGCATCGCGAGCACCCTGTCTACATCAGCCGCGGTCAGGGTCATCTGGTGTCCGATTGCTGGTACGCTGGCCACATACGAGTGGTCCTGCGAAACCAGTCGACTGTAGTCATCACCTTCTTTGGCCTGATCGCGAAACAGAATGACGGCAGACATTGGTATCGACGGTAGGAGAATGCCGAGTATTATTAATAGCTAATGGGGGGGGAGTATGGGCATTTATTCAGGATACCAGGTATCCTTTGGGACGCTTGCTTAACTTTGCCTACTATCTTATCAGACTGCAGTATCGTTCTGCGTCTCGTTGTGGGGATCATTCTCTCCATACTTGGCCGCACAGGCGGAGGAGCTGAAAATCGTGCGGCATTGCCCCACTCGCTAGGGTTATTACGCTTCTAGTACGCGTCAACACCAATTACCCTAGCAATACTCGACATAGACATGGAACCTACTGCTGCCGCTGCCCAACGCATTTTCAAGGAATTTGACAGCTACGACTTTGCCAACGACCAGGCGTTCCAACAAGGCATCAAATCGATCCCCAACCACGAGGACACCCAAGTCCAGAGCAAAGCCAAGCACTTCTACTACTGCAGGACCAGGGATGAGTTTGACTACGAGGCTTATCTACAATGGAAGACTGAGCAGTCTGGAGGCGAGCAGCCCGATGGTGTCGGTGAGGCATCGATGGTCCCAGGCGCGCCGTATTCAGCGCCCTTTGCCGAGGTCGTACGCAAGATCCTGAACAACGAGCCGTTCGACGACATCCGCCAGATCCCCGAGCAACTGAACGAGAACCCGCCTAGTGTCTCCACTGCCAAAGCACCCAGGAAGCCCTGGGAGCAGGACTAGTAGTCGCTGTTGTCCATGTATTCTTAGCAGAATGGAAAAATGCGCTTAACCCTTGCACGCCTTAGCTGACAATCATTCCTGTGGCCTCAGTAAGCGCCGAGTCCTCTGTTGTGTTCTTGCCCGCCTCCTGCTTTTCCATTTCGATCTGGCTCGCCGGTTTGCACTTGACGAGCTTGATCGTCTTGATGCTGTTCAGATCGCCGTCCCATGCCCGCAGGGCTTTGACAACGCTGCCGTTTGTCAGCTCAGGGACCTCCAGACCTGCCAACCGTGCCTCCTTGTTCTCGAATTCAGCTACCTGCAGCACCAGCTCGTCCTTGGCGGCCAACGGGCGTCCTGGCCGCTTACGCTCCTTGATCTCCTCGATCTCCTCATCATTCCGAGTGAGGTACTCATCTAGTAGCAGGCACAGCTCAAGCTTCGTCCATACGGTTTTCAACGCTTTGCGGTCCTCAATAGTGTTGCCCTTGTCGTCCAGATCCATGTGATCGCGGAACCACAGCACCTTTTGTCCCATCGCCATGTTTGTCTCAATGCGCTGTGACTTTGCTGCGGCAATCTTGGCCTCAGCCTCCATAGCGCGGTTGATCTGCCGTGCCTTGCGCGAGTACGGGTGCGCCTTGTCCCGGCCCTTGATCTTGCTGACTCTCTTGCGCTTGTTGTTAGGCTACAGGTGTGTATGCGTGCAGGTCGTTTTTAGCTCGTGTATTGATCAAACGCCATATGCACGACCCCCTGTCTTGCTGTTCCCTACCATTGTACCCCGCTGTGAAAATGTGGTTGTGAAATTGAGGAAGAAACAAGTACAGTCAACCAAAAAGAAAACTAGGTCAATTTTTCATCAAGCTGGTGGTTCAAAGGAAAAAAAACGAAAATCCAGGTGCGTATCTGATCAAGCGATTACCCTGTTTTAAAATGTCTCGATGCGGATATGCCCCTAATGCAAAGATGCGTAGCATATGCAGAGGTTTGCTGGTGCTATATTAACTGTGATACCTGGTCTGCTTGGAGGACCACTGGCGATGTAGGTTATACCAATACATTTCGGATGGCACAGCTACCAAAGAAGATGATTTCAAGCTGTCTTGAGGTACTGTATACTAGTGTTTCATGAGCCATGTATATTTGACTATATCCAACAATAAAGTGGTATTTAAACATAAATGCACCATGTACCGCAAGTTTTAAGCTATCTTTTTATTAACTGCGAACACCTCAATAGAACATCGACCACACATGCATATATCGCCCTGAATGTACCTTACTAAATATTACTCTACATTATAAACTTGACAAACCTATTTTAGCAACTGTTTGTAGTTGGGACATGGACATTAGATTGTTGTTTGAAGAGTAATACGTCTTTGGTGTCGAATCGGCCATCTTAATTGCTACATAAAATATCCATTATACTTTAAGGTAGTGTGCTTTATTCCAGCTATGCATACTAGAATTACCCCACCCGCGATGCGAGCTCGGCTGCTAGTCAGCATGAGTTGACACGTCGATAAGGGCATCACGGCAAACTGATCATTTGAACGTGTCGGATGGTTGTTCGTGCAATGTCGATCATGGACATCTCCCACCTTGGTGGCCTGCTCAGCGCAGGCGCTTCAGCGCTGGTTCGCTGCTGCTGGCAGCAGAATCGCCTGCTGCTGCACGCCTCTTGCACGACCTCTTTGTTGCAGGGGTGGTGCCAGAAGCATTGGCAACAATGGCCGTAGGGCAACAGAACTGTTCAGGAATACTGCCTGAATCACAGAGTGACTGGAAAATGAGTCTGAAGTTTAGAACTGCTGCGAGATCGCGGTTCAAGAGCCGAGACGAATAGGCCCACCTGTATTGTGCCATCGCCCGCTTACATGACTCGCTTGTACAGCGGAGAAGGCCATGGCACTTCACAATTGGGTTCTTCGATCTCTGGTAGGGCCGCGGATTGGGAACATGCCGGAATGTCTGCAGCGACTTTTCGCAGCAGAACGGGCACATCGACGATGTCCGAAATTCGTCGATCAGATAGACTTCAAAGCCATGGTGCTTGAACTTGTTGTACCACTCCTTGCCATGAATCGGCACATGGTATCGGGCCATCAGCGCACTCCAATTGCCCATGATCAGCACTGGATCTGGACCGAACTTGCTCTAGAGTTTTGCGGCAAGCCTGTGGTCTGCACGGGCCTGGTTCATGAATGAATCAAGGCGCAGCTTGCGGTGAAGCAGGTACACCTTGGGACTGGTACTGACACCTGGATGGGCCTTCCAGCGCCTTTGGTGCTGCTTGTTTGACTTAGTGAGCTGCTGCTCTGGTAACCTTTGCGCTGTCATCATGTTGGCATAAAACGGTGCTAGGACACACCGCACAGATGCACGGGCAGCAACGTAGGCATGGAATTTTGCTGGGCTAAGGGTCCGGCAGCAGTGCTTGGAAAGCTCAGCCTCTGCTCTGCGTGTCAGAAGGTTACAAGCGATATAAATAAAATTATAGAGCGGGCTGGAACACCCGAAGATGGATATATTGGTTAAAAATGTGAGAGAGTGCAGAACGGCACTAAGCAAGTAGAAAAATATAGAAAGAAGACAAGAAGGATCCAGTCCAGTATTGGACTGGGTAGCAAAATATAAAGAGAAAATAGAACAATGAAATGAGGAAAATCTAATTCTGATATACCCCCGTTTTACGATATTTCATTCATTCCCATGTCTTTCCGGCATCGTTCGAATCCCTGAGTTGGTAATCTTTTAGTTAGGAAGTCAGCGGTTTGTTGGTCAGTGGGCACGTGTCTGATGTCTATGAGCTTCTCTTCAAACATCTGGTTTGGTAGGACAATGTCGCGTACATAATGCTTGTTACGGTCAGTGGTATTGCCATTCCTGATGTTTGATACTGTAGCCGCATTGTCGCAATAGATTACGCATCTGTCTACTGGGAATCCGGCTTCGAGGAGGAAGTCCATGGTCCATTTCAGATCCTTTGTCCCGCTATTAACAGCAATCGTCTCAGCTTCTGTCGTCGACTGGGGAGCGGCTCCTTTTCGCTTCGTGGACTTCCATGAGACTGCACCATTCGCGAGAAGTACAGCATACCCTATCACCATTTCCTTTGGAGTACGCAGGTTGTACGAGGCATCAGTGAAGGTAACTGGAGCTAGCTTGTCACAGCGTTTGTACTCAATGCCTAATTCTGGGGTCTTCTTTAGGTATCTGAGCACTCGCTTGGCCATACCGAGATGCTTTAGCGATGGATCTTGGTTATATGATGCCAGAGCTGAAGCTATCTGGGCAATGTCGGGTCGGGTCACCATTGCCAGGTATTGTAGAGATCCAACTATTGATCTATACAACGTTGCATCAGCTCTTTTCTCATGTGCTTCGGCTGGAACCAAGTCAACTGATGTACAGTGTGGCAACGCACTTGGATTAGCAGCAGTCATGCCAAATTTGTCTAGCATTAACTGTATCGCACTTCTTTGATGGATTAAGAAGCCCGACTTGGTCCGCTTGAGGTTGAAGCCGAGAATGCTGTTTGCCTCACCCAGGTCCTTCATTTGAAACTCTGCCGCAAGTCCTTTCTTCACAGTAGTGAGTACTTGATCATCCGTGGCTGCGAGAATCAGATCATCAACGTAAGTTGCGATGAAGCAGAAGGACCTGTTGTCACCAAAAACAAAGACCCCTCGATCTGATGCGAATGGCTTGCACTTTAGGTTATCTATGAGATAATCCCGCAGTCGCTTATTCCATGCTCGAGGTGCTTGTTTTAGACCATATAATGATCGGTTCAGCTTACAGACTGTAGATAGGCGATCACCAGGTAGTCCATCAGGGATCCTGATATAGACATCCTCTTCTAGGTGTCCATTCAAGAATGCTGTTTTGACATCCATGCAGTGAACTTGTAGTCCTTGTTGTGCCGCTATTGCAAGAATAATGCGGATGGACTTATATTGCACTACTGGGGCAAAGATGTCTCCATAGTCACCTGGTTGTTGCATATAGCCACGAACCACAAGTCGAGCTTTATAGATCGGTGGTTTGTCATCAGCTGGGAGCTTCTTAACAAACACCCACCGTGTGTCCAGAATGCGCCTGCCAGTGGGTTTCTTTACGATCTCAAGGACCTCGTTTTCACGGATTGAGTCAAGTTCTGACTGGATGCTTGTCAGCCACTTACTCGCCTCCATACCTTGAACTGCTTGACGGTAGTTGTCTGGACCTGGGACTGAGGCACACATATATATGGTTCCATGTGACATCAGCTGGTCTTCATACTTGTCATTTGCATATTGGTCCTTGTCGGCCTGGCTCGTATGGAGCATTATCTGACCAAGACCAAACATAAGCTCATTTGTGCTTGACTGATCAGCATATGTTTGGGTTGATTCTAGATCAGTCTCCAGGGTAAGATCAATCACATCATTTTGTCGTGATGATTCTGCACGATTCCACTCTAGTTGGGCCCTGCGAGTTGAATATGGTAGCAGATCTATGATCTCTATATCTGCTTGAGGTAGAGCTCTCTCTGAGGATGCCTCATATATGCGTTTACCCTGGTGGTTTTTGCGCCGATATTTTGGCTGAACTTGTGCATCAGGATCAGTGCCAGTATCACCTAGAGATTGATAGGTTCGAGTTCTCCTTGGTGCTTCTGGAGGGGGTGAACTCATCATTTCATCCCTCAACTCAGGATCCCTAGCCCTAGTCAACTCGAGTGCTGATTCTCTCATTTCAACCAGTGGTCCTGCATGCGACTCAGACATTGTAGTGTCATTGGTGGGCATTGGCAGCATCTGAGGCATTCGCGGCTCGGGTAGCATGGGGAGTTCTGGCGAATTTAGTGGTTGGATCTCTAGGTCTATCTCCGATACTGGTGAGTCGACTATGTATGAGATATCTGGACTAGGCTGGTGATCTGCTTGAGTCGCACTTCTCTGCACTTGTGGCTCAGTCTGCACTGGTATCACCACAGACCGATTTGAGTCAGTTGGCATTGACTGTGGTTGGTTTGTTTGTCTTCTGCCCTGTGGCTGCCTACGAGTGCCTCTTGGTTGGACTTGCACTGTTGGTCTACCAATGTTTCGCGGATTCAACCGATTCATTTGACTACGAGTTCTCCCTGCAATCGGCCCAGCCTCAATTTCTCTTGCCCATCTCTCATTTTCTCTCAGTTGATGTTGATAGCGAGTTGATCTGGCAATGGGCTCTGCGGCATGGGTTGATGGTTGAGCAGCGTTTGTTGGCAGTTCCGGCAGACTCTGTGGTGGTGGTACTCTATCTGGATTTCTCACCATTATTGATCGTGGTTGACTTGGTAGATTTGGTGAGAGAGAGTTTGCATTCGATGGCTCCTGTGGATCATCACTACGCTGGGAATACTCTGAGACATTTGTCCTCGTTGTTGAACCATTGTTCTCAACAAACTGTCCTAGGTCCTCATGGGACGCTGAGGACATTGACTCATCATCAGAAATTCCAGTGCACCGATCATGTTCACCGATATAGGGAACCGGATCTAAGGAATTTGGGGTCGTGCCGTGGAATATGTCCTCGTCTGACTCCTCCTCCATCAATGTGTCTGTCACCTCTTCTCCATCGTCGTCGATCATGCTGTTGTTGCTTGGCTGACCATCTGCACCCTCAACAGTCGCAGCTGTATCGTTTTCGGCTCTGATAATCATCCCACTGCCTCCAGTACTAATCGGTGATTTTCCTGTTGCTGGGTCGAAATATATCCAACCGGGATGCCTCTCTCCGTTTTTGAGTGGGAACTCTTGCTCTTGGAAAAGAGCACGAGTTGTTGAGAAAACTCGGCCAGTTTCCAAACGATAGAGAATTGCTTTTCC